TCATATTTGGGTCATACAAGGTAGTTGAGGTCTAGTTTGTGTCAAAAAAATTTCGTCACGGTTGAGTGAACACGGACCTTAAAATTGGAAAAATTCGACTCCGGTTAGGGGTGATCAGTTTATTACAGGGTATTTGTACTTCTCAATGGACTAGAGGTGTCGGGGGCAGAGCGCCGGACGAATTTCCGTCATTCGTCCGGCGCAACGACCCGGGTCCTTCAACAAACTGCAAACAAACATCTGCTTCTTAATTTACTAAAAATATTTCTATACATTTCCCCTCGCGGGTAGCGCAGCGACCTCCCCTGGATGGTCAGGCAACAGTGTAGCACTTTAGTGCGTATGCACAGTAATGGTCAAAAGACTTTGCGCGTAGGGCAAAAATAATGTGACGAAGTCTCTTGGCTAAGACCCATCGAGTTACCATTTCCCAGAAAACTGGCGGGCCGATCGGGACGAAACTTGGCATGTAGTAGGGGGCAGTTACCAAAATAGCAAATAATTTTTCAGAACGATCGGGCCAAAGGAAGTGGGCCAAAACGGGCTTTTGGTGGCCCAAATTTAAGGTTGCGTGACATTAATTACAGGCTGTCAATCAAGTCTCGCAAGAGTGATTTTGGGGTTTAGAAGCCGTTTAGCTGCGTTTCCGGGGCCAGAAAGCGTTTGCCCGAGTATTGGGATTTTTTCCAAGTGCAATTGGGGGTGGGGGCACTGCCACCGCCCCCCCAGTGGTGAGAAAACGTGTGGAAAGCCACGCCCACTTAGATAATATGGTTTTTGGGCTATTAGGAGCACTTGGAATTGGTTTTTGGGCAAAGTGATGCTTAAATCTCAAAGGGACTAATATATAGAATATTTCACCACCTGAATCTTGGGAATTCCCCCTCCCAATCGCCCTCCAGTGGCGTAAGAAGGTTGCGCACCTAAAAATTAAGCTATCGAGAAATAAAATAGATAGATATGTTGGGAAAATTTAGTTTAATGCTTTTTTCAAGAAATTTTTTTTCTCTCACTCCCCAGTCATGGTCTAGTGATTTTGGCTTATTGCAGGCCTCTGAAAGGACCTGTTGAGAAAGTAAAGGCATGGGCATGTTTAGAAAAATTATTTGAATCTATTTTGAAAGAAATTTTATTTCTCCATCGCCTCAGTCACGCTCCAGTGATTTCACGTTATATCTCGAGAATGGTAGAAGGTAGAGGCGCCATATTGGGTCATACAAGGTAGTTGAGGTCTAGTTTATGTCAAAAAAATTTCGTAACGGTTGAGTGATCACGGACCTTAAAATTGGAAAAATTCGACTCCGGTTAGGGGTGATCAGTTTATTACAGGGTATTTGAACTTCTTAATGGACTAGAGTGGTCGGGGGCACAGCGCCGGACGAATTTCCGTCATTCGTCCGGCGCAACGACCCGGGTCCTCCAACAAACTTCAAACAAACATATGCTTCTAAATTTACTAAAAATATTTCCATACATTTCCCCTCGCGGGTAGCGCAGCGACCTTACCCTGGATACAGTATTGAGAGATCATCTTGATGCCGCAACTGTTTCGAAAGGGACATCTAAGGATATCCAAAAATGATTTGCTCGACTCAATGTATAAAATTTATTTACAACATTTGGCTCTGGAAATTGAGAATTGCCAGTTCCTTTCGATTCAGTCTGACGAGACAACTGACATCACGTGCGTTTTCCAACTGGCTGTGATTTTTCGGTTTGTGGAAGATGGTAAACCTACCGAGAGATTTCACAGCTTTGTACCAATCGTTGATCGCACGGCTTGCGGGATATCGGCTGTACTGAAAGAAGTGTTACAGCCTTACAACGCGAAATCAAAATTGATAGCTCAAACTTATGACGGCGCGGCAGTCATGAGTGGGTCGAAACATGGTTTTAAGTTTATATAAAAGAAGATTTTCCTCATGCGCATTTTTTACATTGTTATGCACACCAATTTAACCTCGTTATTAAAAATATGTGTCTTGATACCCCTCTCGTCCGTATATTTTTTGCAAATGTTTCGGGGTTTTCTTCATTTTTTTTCCGTTTCGCCGAAGCGCTCTGACCTCCTTCGCCAGATATGTAGCCGCCGTCTCCCAGCTTGTGCACCAACACGTTGGAACTTCCAATCACGCGTGGTGCAGGGCGTGTCCGAAATTAGGTCTGAGCTCATTGAGTGTTTCAATGGCATTCAGAGCTCTCCGGTTTGGGACGAACGCCCTGTGAGGGAAGCGGCAGGTCTAAAGCGTCTGCTAGAAGATGGTGAGTTTTCATTTTTTCTCCACAATATTCTATCACGTGGATGTATTATACGGCGCATTGCAGTCAAGGCTAATGGACGGAGCGTCTGTGCAGTCGTGTATTTCAGACTTCTGCGATGCTGTATCTCGTAACCGAGAAACAATAAAATACGACGACACATGGAGTGCTTCTTTACGCCGCGGGCAAACAACGCAGCGTTTGATTTTGTCTGCAAAGGAATGCTGTAACATTCTGGTGAATCAAATAGGCGATCGTCCGCGCACTGAACACCTTGCCGCGTTCTCTTTGATGAACCCCAAAAATTTTTCAAAATTTGCACGTCAATTTCCCATCCATTTATTGGCTACTGTCTCCAAATTTTACCCCATGATAAACGTGGGTAAATTGGAAAATGAATTGCGATGTATATACACCAATCAAACTTTTTTGAACATCACATCAACTTGCGCGCTCTATGGGTTCCTCATAGATAACACTCTAGTAACTACCTTTGTGGCGTCTGCAAAATTTCTGGACATCATTTTGACGACGCCTATTTCTTCCGCCGACGCAGAGCGAACATTCAGCACGCTGAAGCGTATTAAAACGTATCTCAGAAACACAATGAAGCAAGATAGATTAAATTCCTTGGCTGTTTTATCCATTCACAGAGACGTTATTTCTGGGATGCATGACTTTAATCAGCGCGTTATTGAGCATTTTGCTTCCAAGAAACCGCGGCGTGTTGCATATATGTTCAAGCAGTAGAAGTCTAGCAGCATATATATATCTATGAGTGAGCGACGCATGTCCTTATCTTTGCATTAACTTTCCTTTCTTCATAGTAACGTTTTAAACCTTATTTTAGGTTTTGTCTGCTTTCCCGAAGTTTCTGTTAATATGTCATTGTATTTATCTGGGTAAATATTGCCTTTCCTTTTGAAAGAGGTTTCAAAATAAACTATGTCTATATTTATTAATTCCTTGACTTGGACCGGTTTTAAAGACACTTTCTTATCGTTAAAAATTGTCGCTTTTGCCGATTGGTTGTTACCGATGGAATGGTTTTTATACTCATAAAATGATGGAAGAACTTACAGCGCTCATCCTGTCCCCGTAGATGGGGGTGACTTGGTCCCGCAGTAGCTTGCCCCGGTTGTCAAAATGACCACGCGCCGCCACTGGTTAAAAGTATAAATCATGGCAGCATCTGGCGGGCCATATTATATTTCCCAACGGGACGGATTTGTTCCGCGGGCGAAGTTTGCCTATATTATCTATACCGAGCTCTAAAATAGATTCGGCATGATTTTCCAAAATTTGAAAACTTACTGATAGTGAGTTGGATACGAAAAAGAACCACAAGATCGATTAGATACCCCATATCTAAAGTCTCAAACTTATATAGTATATACTAGACTACTAGTATATTTAAGTGTACATTTTGAATAAATTTGGTATTGCAAGATGATCGCCGTGGATTACTGACATATTCACTCTTTGCAATACGTTAGATGTGCCGAACCGGACGACGTCTGTTTGCATTGTGGTTTTTAAGAGGTAGTTCACGAGGACGTAGACATTCAAGTATGGAAGTGGGGATAATGGTTACAATAAACATCATGATTAGGCTTAACGATAGTGAACATCCAAAGATGTTAATTGAAGTATAATACAGCGGTGTTGATTATGAATAATATTGTACGTCCCGCAGAAAATGCAGATCGGGTTCGTTTATTCATTATAATACTCTGAATCACCTAATGATATTTTATTAACTATGAACCTCAGTTTCCCACGTGCGAATCTTTAATGTTTACTTTTAGGGCTTCCGACCTATTGACGATTTGCTGTACACTATATTACAACTTGTATACAAATATATGATGACAACGTTCTGCTGGGCGAGCAGTCAGTCAAGGTTGGGACTACGCCAGAAGCAGATAGCAATTGTAAACGATTGAAAAGGACGATTTCCAAGCAGTTGACTCGAATTGCTCCCCGTCCTTTTGTCTACATATTTTAATATCGTGACTCTAAACCAATATCTGTCAACGTTTTGTGACTGATGCACACATTAGATGGCGTTGTAATGAACTATATTAAGAATAAATATAAATATTAATTAAAACATGAAACTTATGTGAAATCAGAAGCTTTGTATTTACATCATTTGCTCGTGAAAGTCAATCAGACACAACGAATTTGAGTTGATTGTTGTCTGTGTTCTCGATGTATTTAAAAAGCCACCAACCGACGGAGTAATCCAGATGCCAAGAATTTACGATAAGTTGTTGCTTCGATTAAATTCCGATCCGGAAAAAAAAATTTCACAAAGCAATTCAAAAAATATATTTGAAAACTTTTTAAAATTACAAACTGTACTTATTTGTTTTGTTTGGCGTAAGTCTGCAGAATGTGATATTTCAATGCTCATAAAATATTTTGATGAAATCGGTAATGCAGAAAATATTTATACCAGGTGAACTTTGAAGAAGTCGCTCGTGTAATTTCTTCTGTACGTAAAGAGAATAGCATTAAACAAGCTTTCACACAAACAAAACTAACGCTATGTCAAGTGCAACTGTTTTAGCTAAAGCTTGTTTGGTCGTCTCCATGTATAAAGAATTCAAAAATTTCCAGTGCCGATCATCGTGCGAAAATCAGGAGGAAGATTCTAAAAGCGATCAAAAATCTAGAGTTGATAATCCGCTTGTAGATGAGATAATAGCAAGGTAGATGGCCAAGAAAGTTCAAAAATGGCAACCTATGTCATATTCGACCTAGAAACTACTGACTTGCGAGATCGAAAAATCACAGAATTTTGTATGTCTGCCGTTGCGAGATGCCATCTCGATGTCACGGAAAATGTAAATCCATATTCAGTGATACAGGAAAAGATTCGAATATCTGTCGACCCCAAAAGAACTGTCGAACCAGTAGCAGTAGACCTAACTGACTTAACACGGAAAGATCTCTTGCTACGTCAGAAACTACCGTGGAGTTTGCTCACAAACACACTAATTGCTGATTTTTTGAAACGGCAGACACAACCATTGTGTATTCTTGCTTTCAATGGAAATAGATTTAACTTCAAGGTGTTGAAAACGCATATAGGTTCTATGCCCGTCGAGAAATATTTCTCTCGATACTTCAGCGCAGACGTAATGGTTGGAACGAGTCGCCTCTTGATGGAAAAGGGCGTAAAACTAGGGAATAAAAAAATTGGATACTATGTTCAAACATTTGGTTGGAGAATGTGAAATCCAGGAGCGTCATTCAACTGAAGAAGATGTAAATGTCATAATAGCATCATTGCAGAGATCGCCAGGGGATATTCTTCAATGGTTTGATCAATATAAGGTAGCTTTTAACCGTCGCTCTTTAGCACGACCTCAGCTGAAGAAAAATAGGACAGTGGAAAAATGGGATGAAAAAGAAAACGTCACATCACCTTTAAAAAAAAAAATAAAGAAAATGAGAATGAATTGTCACCTTATTTTGACACGGAGAATTAGAATGACTCGTCATCTCCAACGTCATAAACACAAGTTACCAATTGATGTTTCTTAACTGAATTAAATAGAACTATATATGTATTTGTATGGGGTTCAACTTGGGAGCGGATAAAACGAAATACCTGGATTGGCCCAAAGAAATAGAAGGTATAAATATGATAAATTTAGAAAAAAAATTTGTTATTGCCCAGAATATGAAATACATCAAATACTCTTGAACGAGGAAATTAACCCAGTGTGGAAAATGGCTTGATGGATGTGCTGACAATTACTGTTTTAAACAATGCTTGAAGTAAAATTGAGCTCAAGTTCATATGTTGTGAAGCATTTACCTTTAACATTCATACAAAATGTATTTAAAAACTGGCATTTCCATAAAAATGTCATTTTTGATTGGAAAATGTCAAATTTTGATCAACCTATATGGTACAACAATTTTATATCAAGTCTTGGTATGATCATGGTATAAACGAAGTAAAACACTTAGCAAATGCGGGTAATTTGTTTACTTATAGAGAATTGACTGAAAAATATGGCATGCAATATAGTGATGAAGAATATGTAAATTATTTTCGCCTCACTGGAGTACCTGATTATTGGTTGTGTAATATTGGACACTGTATTGATTTTAGTGCATTAAGTGACCTTGAAGAGAATGCATCTCATTTTTATTCTGAAACATTCGAATCGGGACAAGTAAATAAAGGTATCTATGAAATATTGAACCTGATCAAATTTATGCTACATCAAGAAAAAAATGGGCAGATCTGATTTTTTTAAAGAATGACTTTAATTTGAATAAAATGTATATGTATATTTTATATTGTACTGTTGAAACTAAATTGCAATCATTTCATATGAAGATGTTTCATGTTGCCATAGTACTAAACGATAGATTGTTTAAATTTGAACTTGTTTCATCGAAGTTATGTGATTTCTGTAATGTTGAAAATACTAGCCACTTTTTTATGATTGTAAAATTGTTCAGCAGTTTGAGAATCTCTGAACAGGTGAATATCTTCGAAAACAGGAACAAATTTTAACTTTTCCAAAAGAGATTGCATGTTGGGATGTGTATGTAATTTTTATAACAAATTGTGTATCTGTAAACTTCTAGCTTCCCGGTTTTATCCAAATCGTTGTAAGATAAAAAAAAAAGAAACCTCTGTTCAATGTTTTTACTACATATCTGTATGAAGTGAGCAAAATTGAACGGTTCATTCAAAAATGGAAACTTTTAAGATATATGTACAATAATTGATGGTATTTATATTATTGTACATGCATATTTCCTGTGATTAGTGAGTTTAAGGCTGTAACTGTACCGATCAAATGTGTTTTACATATTTGATGAATATATATAAAAAGAAAAATCTCCGACGTTGAAGATGAAGATTTGTTAAAGCAAATAATTGTATGCTGATCTGCTACAAATCTGTATCTGCATGATTCTAATCCCCGCAGTTGTTTTGACTGATGTTTATTCAATCATTTTTAATCATACTGTAATCATATCATCTTGTTGTAAATTCTAAATAATGAAGTTATTGTACAAATAATGGATTGCACTTCGAAACCATGGCACAAACACCGCATAACTAACAAACGAATAATATAAATGTTCGTATTCTTCAATTAATTATCATGTCAAAGTGAAGGTTCGTGGTATTTTGAATAAGTTCAATTGTTGAATTGCGTTATTGTTGCATTGTTTCACTGCCAAGCCAAAGGTCACGAAAATAATGAAAATATTAAATGTTGTTAATTATATTTTTAAAGTAATTTGAGTAATATTAGTTTTGGATACTTTTTCGTTGAAAATGAGTTTATCTTTGGTAAATTTGCATGTTCATTTTGTTTCAAAGTCAGTTGCCAAGGGGTGACTCATTTAAAACTTCGACTTGTATATGCAAATGCGTGCAGACCCCACAGCGTTCCGCAATTGGGCGATCAGTAAATTTTTGGTATGTGATAGCAAACTGTCTGAAATAATTACAGTATTTTTATGAGTTTCATAAATTTTTAAGCACGAAAAATAGATACAAACAAGTCCGAGCTACGTAATTTAACTAATCCTACCAGTGCAGTGTTCAGACTCTCAAATTATGCAACTTTGACTTTTGTCGCTGAGAAATCACTGATATACCTGTCGACAATATCTCATCTCTAAAAGTGCTTATGGAACGTACGTTTTGTTTGCATGATTTAGATTTAACTTATTCCAAGTTTTTTCTAATTTATCTGCTTGACGCATTTTGTACAAGAAGTTTTAAATGAAAGACTGAGTTGACCATAAACTATTTTGTATATACCTTGACAATATTTCTGGGGATATGCTAATTGTATCCAAAGTCATACTTACCGCTTCATCGCATGTCAGTGAGTGTTAACGAATTGAAAGTGTAAAGAAAGTTTAAATATAAATCATAAATGAGTCATTTTGATATACTGATATAACAATTCGAACAAAAGCGAACGTCAGTATTTTGCATGAAAAACGAGACGATCTGTATGGTGTGTGCCCCGATTTCTGCCCAGCTAACAAAAAATTGTAATGTCATATACCCTCGGTATTATTTCAGTTTTCTCTGTATACCGCCATTTAAAGCAGATCGAGTTAGTTTTTCAACACCCAAACTAAGTCCGTGGATACAAAATGTATGAAATATAAACGAAAAGCGCCTTATTGTTACAAGGCCGTTTCTCACGAAATTATTTTTGGTAGAAAACCTCAATCTTCGAATGATATTTTGTCATCATTTATGACAACAAAACAATGAAATTATTACAATATTTGCTCTTATGAAAATGAAGGAAAATTTATCCGAAAGAATTTAGAGGCAACTTATATTTAATTGCCAGAATTATTTCTATAGCGCGGCGCACATATATATGCAGCAAAGGTATTGTTGAAGTGAAGTTATCCGCAGGTTGGAATTTGATTGAAAACTGAAAAATATAGTTTAAACACTTATTCCATGCGACAAAATAGTCTCACGTATAAAAAATTGAATCCAGTTCATCTAATTCTGTACGACGAACAAAAAGTAACATTTGCATTAGCAGATGCATGTAACAAGCTCATATTGATTTCAGAGTATCAAATACTTACTAGAAAAGTCATTGGTTAACTACGAATATGGATGATGTTCCGCAATCCTACGAGTAAGACACAACCAGTAAACCAACATTTTTGGCTGTGAATGGCAATCAATGTAATATGTACATCTCAAAATCTGTACGACATTCATAGACTCGCGGAACCGTCGTGAAGGGCAACTCTATAGCACCACCCATGTTGAAGCGTGTTACTTTAAAGCGGTTAAACGAACAAAACTGAAAACAATGCTTGGTAGAAACTTTTGTGACTTTCATCACGGAGGGCCCAAATTTCGACACTTAGTAAGTAAATACCTTATGTACATTAACTCAGTTCCTATGCTTCAATCTTATCTACCTAACGAAATCAATATACATTTTCTGGCGCTCCAGAAGTATGTGTACCAATATATAGGTACCTAAATTTGTTCGCCTACTTTGCATCAAGTTGTGTAAAGTGACTGGAAAAAATGGACGGATATTCACTTGGCTAAGACAGACAGTCCCCGAACTCGTAATAGAACTAAAATAAGGAAAAGCGGAACAAAATTATGGCCTAACCATGACGGCGCCTCAAACCGTGACGGTGCGGATTGGACAAGCCATCCCTGGTTTGGTTCCAAGGACTCAGTAATAGTTTAAACGTTTTCTATAGTATACCATTGTGGGGAGATTACGGCATCAAAATTATCTGTAAATCCTAATAAATTAATCTTCATTGGTCTTTGCTTCAAATAAAATTGTTCAACTCATTGAAAAACTTGCACTTCGTTTCCGGCATTTTGATGATTCATCGACAGCACAGTTGGGTGATTTAACTAACGCATGGTTCATACTTCATATCATAACTATGACATAACAACTTTTCTCCTTATCTGAACTAGTTAAGTGAGACCCAAATCAATGGTAAATCGGCTGCCTCCGTTAACAAAAAATAATTTTGTAATAGTATCAAATAGAAAATTATTCATGACTGTCGTACTGCAAGTGCAACACCGGGACCTTTAAGTCTATCGCCGGAACGGCAGAAAAACATGCTGAAACCGGAATTTTCCCGGCTAAACGGGACGTATGATAAGCCTACCTGGCCCTACCCTGGTACGCATACAACGGGAGTACCCAATTTCAATATAGATGATAATACATATTCACAAAGTCTATATCACTAGTTTTAATAGAACTATAATAAATATATATGTATACAAAGATTGAAATACGAAAGTCATATAATACAGTAGCGCAATTTCTGTAAGCGGTATCATGGATATATATGTGCTCGAAAATCATTCAGCTGAAACTGATTCAAAAACGGAACGGCTTGTAGTAGAATCGTTCACAAAATCCAGGCATTAAAATTTCATGTGTGGTGAATTTTACGTTTAACATTCGCTTAAAATATTAGGATAGATAGACATTCAAATCAGAACTAGGAGCTTATAGTCTGACCAATAGTCACAAAGATTAGTAGCAGCAACAATTTGATAATTTTCGATATTCGAGAGATGATTGGGAATTAAGACTTTGAAATTTCGGAAATCCAGATGGAACTGGAGTTATCAGGTTAAAAACCACATCTACAAATTTTAATTGCTTAATCAAAATGGTATTCAATTGAAACGAACTGTTAAAATTCGGACCTCATATCGCGTCTGAGCTCTCCTGTTAAAACGCAAATGTTGAATCTAGTCTACTTGGTTTCCCGCTCTGTTGTTCTATGTAAAAGCATTGGTATGATAGCGATAGGCAATACTTGCTATTTTCTTTCCAAACGTGAATATACTTTTTTAAAAGTACAATCATGTCCGTGAAAAAAGTGTCGTGGATATGTTCGTCTGCATTACGATCGCAAATAGCAGGAATTTTTCTATCTTTGCTTCATAATAAGCTTGACAACTTTGCTAAGCGCGAATTTATGCTGTAAAAAATTGAGCTTGCGTCGTTTTGAAAATTAATTGGTGAGCCACTTTCGTTGTGCGGTCCATGAGCAATCAGAGAAATCAAAGTTCAAATTTGTAGAAACGGCACATATATAATTTTTTAATATGAGTTATAAGGTTTTAGTCCATTGTTGCGTTTCAAATAATAACCCGAAATGAAATTCTAAAATTCTTAAAACCACTGCCATAATCTTGACAACAATCGCTTGAGATAGTAATAGCGCGCTGGTATTCCATACCATGTAAGTTGATCGCAGTGAAATATCACCCAATAGCAAGGAGTCAAGACAAACGAAATGATAAAAATGAATGAAACAACGATTCCAAAATAATTACCATATTACACAGTGTTTGAACTGAAATTGTGACAGCTATGGAAATCGAAACAATTAAAATCACAATTGGATTTAGGTAGGATATTTATTATGCAAATTGTAGAATAACACAAATCTTTTAAAATTTTATCTAGAGATAATTGCGGATGCATATATTTGATATATGTTCTTAGATAGTTCAATTTGAAATTTGTTCCTGACCTTGGGCTTTGGCATGAACTTTCAGCGCTAGTATTGTTGAGAATGCCAATATAAGCTAATAAAAAAGGTAGTTCATTTTTAGACTGTATACTTTTATTACCTCCAGTTGGATGAAACACTAGAAAATTCTACCAGATGTACATCAATGTACGAAGTGAAATGGATGCGTGACTGAAATACCCATAAATTCAAATTGATTTTCATCATTTTGCTAACAGCCATGACTGTCACCTGTAATTTGGAATAACCTAAAAGCATGTCGAACGTCACAAACAAAAGCATCGTTTCTCGTTAATTAATTATTTAAGTCTGACTTGCAGTCGCCCTAATCAGTTACACAAAGCAGTTGTTCCCCTCTCGCTTCGTTTATTACTTCGACTCAAGACAGATAACGCAAAGAAACACCTTACTGAATTAATAATCATTTTCTTTCTCGAAAAAGCACACTTCGTCTGTTCATATTTATATCATAATGTATGAATAGCAACCTTTCAGTTGTAGATTTATCACTTGGCGCGAAGACAGGTCTCAGAAAGAAGCTAGTGGGGCATATACGCCTGGATGGCTGATATGTGATTGCTTTCAGATGGGGTTGAGATTAAAAGAAATTGTGAACTGCCATTCGTTTTATCTAAAATTACTATGCTCGTTCGTTAAAATATACTCTATGATATTTTATCACTAGCTCTCGTTCGCTATCATGTGAAGCTGCGTTTCTTAACGTCCCCTCCGTCACCTCGCGGATTTGAACTTTTTTTTTTAATCGAAATTTTATTCTTTACGTTTTTATTTCATCCGTTCTGTGGTACTTTATACAGCTCTTGCCAAATCGAATGTATGTTTTCTACCTCATTCAATAGTTGCTTCTTTAAGGAGTTGCATCAGGCTAGTTTGTTACGGAAACAATTACGGAATTTAAGGAAAGGTTTGTTAGATAATTGATTCAAAATCTAATAGCAGCTAAGCTGGGAATTAATGGAACCAAATGCATCAAGATTCTTTCTACGAAACCCGTGTCAAAATATTGTTCTGATTGTAATACTGGGCTCCGAATATAACAAGAGAAAATATCTTTTATTTTACTTTACAAGGCAATAACTTAACTCTCAATATAATTTTAGCAATGTCGCGCGATATATAACTTCTATTCGTAATACCTAATTCACTTGATTAGTGTGAAAACTAACTTTTGTTCATTTTTCAAGTCTTATTTCAGAAATGTATAATAGTTTTTAACAGGGCCTAAAAATATAGCAAATTCCGTGTTTGATAAGTCTGATTGTACAAATAATTTAAAAAAGTCTACAACAAATTTTCCGAGGGTTAATGCGTTATACAGTTTTTTCATCATGAAAACAGGTGAGTAACACAATTTTTTTTTTCCATCTTCTGTTAAGAGCATTTGTTTTTAAAATATTTTTGACACGTTTAAAAATAAATTAAAAATACCCTCTTCGTGCTATTCAGATTTATTCAATATTTTCCCAAACTCTCATTACCTATAAAATGTTTGCGTCTGTGAGTCTCGATATACTAGATGAAAATATGCACAAAATTTTTGGTATGTGATTAAGTGCTACTCGGTTATTATCTTATCTTGTTTTCGAAAATTAATATCGATAATTTGGCTTCAATCATAGGAAATATTCTTCCTTCATGAATTATTCTGTGATAATAAAATTGTTTGATTTCTACAAAATACATTCATTATGTGACCTGTAAAATCACAATTGATAATGTGCTCATGTCGGTGTTGTGAACCTTTTTTACCTTCATATGTGGTTGTTCTTAAAGTGACGAACAACTGTAAATTATTTTTTCAGATCGGAGATTCAAGTATTTAATGAAAATTATTAGGATTGTGACTTTAATCATGTCTTGTGCAGTATTGAAATCAGTATTTGCTGCCTCGTCAGTGGAAAAATGTCGACAGAATAGTTCAGACACAAAATTTGCAAACAACGGGTAAGATTTGAAATATTATTTTTGTTACATATTTGTTATTTTTGAATTGAAGTGTCTGTGGATTGGAATTGTAAGAAACCAATTCTAATTCACGTTTTTGTATATACATGGTTATCATTTGCTACATAGATGATGTACAGGAATCACGCTAATTGTTGAGTCTGATGTTGAAAACTTATTCCATGCTAAAAATAAATTGTTGGGTATATAAATGTAATTGTTATCTTATCAAATAGAAATTATGGCTCTTTTTATTTATTCTTTGGCTTTACAAAGGTTACAGACCAGACATTCCAAAATGGCCGTTATTTAGAGGTGTTTGTCTAAGACAGGGGTCACCAAACTACGGCCCGCGGGCCGGATCCGGCCCGCAGCGTCATTTTATCCGGCCCGCAATAACACGCAAAAATGGCTAAATTTTTTTCCAAGGAAGATTAATTTATTTTATTGCATTGACAAAAATATTCATCCGGCCCGTTTCAACCCAGTTTGAGTCATACCCGGCCCGCGGTCAAAAAAGTTTGGTGACCCCTGGTCTAAGATGCCAAGATGGCTTCTCATATTATACAAATAAATGAATTTAATCTGAGAATGAAAAATAGGTTTAAAACGAAATTAACTGTAACTTATATTTCACTACCAAAAAATTATCGTTTTTGTTTTATCATCATTGGCGCCTTATGCGTTATAGTCGATCAAATAAGTTATTTCATAACAGAAACATTTTGGCGTGTAATACTTTCACAAACACATACTAGTTTTCATAAATAATCCACTAACGATTTTTTCAAATATTCCGAATATGAGATTATGTACGCAGAGTAGGAAATCGGCTTGTTTGAATCCGTGTGACTTTGTGTTTTTGTCGCGACGAATCGAATTCACTAATATCCTATCTCCAGAAGCGAGGTTTGTTATAAGCCACACTATCGGGATGTATTTACATATTATAATGTCGCGCGAGAAGTAGTTAAGTTTAATATTTGATGATTGTTTGTTTGTTTGTCCGTTTTTATCCGATGATTAGCCGGAAAACTAATCCCCACATCCATTGCTGTTTTGCTGTATAAAGATTGTTAATAAATGAAGTTAGAGGACGGAAAAAATACAGATTAGAAAAATCATATTATAGGGATTCCTGCAATCGAAGCATTTTAGTCTGTTCAAATTTTTTACACAATTATCACCTAAAGTTTACGTTATCCCATGAAAATTTATGCTTATCCGCGAATAAAACATGCAAATAGCATGCAAGTTTTCTTATTGTGCCATAGTTACTGTATTGCATTTTCCCTGGGAATTTGTGTGAAATGTAACAATTTAAGAGTATTACCTCTTATATGGTCAATGTTCAAGCAATGTGTTTTGAAAAAGTATTTTGAGCTGCGTGTCGAGTAATTGCACCCAAGAAAGCATTGATCTGATGTAGCGGAATCTAGAATTTAAATTATGGATAAGACTACTTGATGTATGACTATAAATGAGGTGTCATCAAACAACAGCGCATAATTTCAATCGTTATATTAGCAATTTTTGCCAAATATAACCGCCGTACATGTTTTTGTTGACGCAATGAGTTGTCATGACACAATTCATTATGAATTCAACAGAAGCCAAGATGTAAACAAATTTAGGGAACACTAACATTAGTGCCATATCCATTTGTGTTTGATTTAAATAAGTTGAAGTCAAAAGTTTTTGTGGCTTAACTAGGAAAATTCCCTTTTCAAAATTCTTTTGTCATCAAAATACAAACGTAAAGATTTATTAACAAGAACATATCTACATTAAAATCGGTGTTGTTTTGTTTTTTGTCAGACAGTAGTTGCAAACCGTGAATTTTTAATAAAGTTTATAGATTCAAATTCTGTTCTGTTTAAAAATAAAAAGTTTCATTCCATCTTGTTAGTAATAGAATAAAACCCAAACACATTATTTCTCATAGATTATCCATTCTGATTTTTTTTAAGCGTATCTATATAATTGAGTAAATTTTGAATACCTCATCGCTCCCAAGATCGACTGTTTTGGACTTTCCTACCAGATAGGAAGTGATAACGATAGTGCTTTCATTTTATCACATGAGTCACAGGGCACCAGATATGAGTGAAAAGAATAATCCAGATCCGTAAAACTGATGCATATTGCCAGGGTTCGTGACCCCACTTTCGACAGAAACATGCCGCTCTTCACACAAAATCTATACTTTAATTTTTTATTTCATTGCTCAATCAATCTACATTGTACTATATTTTTCATTATTGCATTACCAGATACGAAAGACTTGTAGTTGTGGTTGGAGACGACATAGAACAAGACTACAGTCTAATAGAAGACTTGCGAAAACTAATAACCGCAACTTCCGAAAAAATGTTTCAAGTTACCAAGTAAGAACACGAAAAAGCTTTTTCCGTATCCGCCATTTTAGTTCATTCACTTCACGTTTATGGTTCAATGTTAGATATTCTGATCTACGGCATTTAAGGTTATTTTATAACCCAAGAAAAGTAAATTATATGAATATTTTATATAAATTAGCTTTCTTTTTATTAAAGATGATATCAGTGCATAGATACTAGCGTATATTCACAAACATAACGTGGGGATCTATATAAAGTTATGGCTGATACAGATAACAAAGCTATGTCAAAATTATTATTTGAGACTAGGGCCTGAAGCGAATTAGCATCTCTAATCCTACCGTTGAAACATTTTTTGAATATTTTCACAGGCGTCGAGCATATATTCGACAAGTTTCTGTTTTGTTACCTCGATCGTGGGGTGTTCCTCCAAAAGAATTTGAGAATATCATGAGTGTTAAAACTGACACAGTTCATACAGTGGATAGAGGAGATTTTAGGCTACGCAATCGATCTCCGAGGTAAATCAATGATATAATCAATCATGAGTCAGCTGCTGAAATCTTCTCTCATTCGAGGTGTTTTACAAAGAATTGATTCAAATTAAATTATTTAAATCAGAAAATTACAACTCCCTTTTTTACAATCACATGTCTTATTTTTGATGAACGAGTCAAATATTGTTATTGTAATAAATTCAAATATTTAGGCAAATTAAATAGTTTGAATAACATTGTACTATATGCCAATTCAGCCACGAAGGAAAATGATTGTCAATTTTAATAAAATTTAGTTGAATTATATTCAAATGCAGGTCAGATAATGAAGACATTTCTTGGCAACTGGGGCGATGAGGAGGCACAAGTTGACATGCCATATGTTATCAAACCGACACCATGTGGATACTCAGGTCGATATCTCCGATTGACCCCAGAATTTGTGAGGTTTGGCGGAAAGGCATCGGAAATGGGCAAGATGGGATCGCCCGAAAAAATCTTAGTCAGACAATGGGCTAAATTACGTTGGGGAGTGTATGACGAAATTCCTCTCGACGACTCAGAGTCGAACTTTTATAGACACACCGACTTAGAGGTTCATCCGATTGCTTGCTCGGCTGCTATTACAGGTTAGTTTGAAATACATCATATTGACTCATTATGAGGTTGATTTAAATAACTGTCTTCGAAAAGAACATGTACTTGTCGTTGCCGTGTTTAAAGAGTCGTTAATAGTACTGGATAAAATACTTTATGGGTTATAACGTAGGAGTAATTATTGAGAGAATGACTCCAGCACAGATCTAACGACAACAGCAATCGTCGTTAATTACACATAACTACGCAAATTTCGCCATGCCATGTGAAATGCATACATGCTACTTTGAAATGCAATTATCCCTCGCTATTCCCCTTTGTCTGTCTCTTTGTAGTGACCAAAACAACGCGGATACGATTATCGTGTAGGTAATCCTATGTTTCGCGGAACCACCTTTTGGTGTGACACTGTTTGAACCATATTCGTCGTGAATCTGGTTTATTATTGGTAAATAAAAGTGGATATCACCACGGAAACACACCTATATCTTGCAAATCAGATGCAAGGACTTTTAGCTATATAAATTATGTATATGTTTAAGGGCCGATACGAATTACACAAACTTTGTCTGCAAGTAAATATTCCGGATTGTCGAAATATAACACTTTTGATGCTACATCAACATGCACAATACAATTTTTTCATATCACTCATGTAAAACAAAAACGGTTCATTTTATCGCCAATCGAGTAGAATCTAACGAAATATTTTTACAATTTTCTCCAATTGCAGGAAATGAGCCAAAAAGTGGCTAATTATTCGAAAAACCACAAATATAAGAAATTTATTTTAATTATTAAAGCACTTCACTGCAATGTAGTCGGGTAACTTATTATTATATAAGGAAAACAATTTTGAAGAATATTTTCAATAAGCAATATACTTAATTTCCGGGTTAAAACTCATTATAAACGTTCAATAACTCGTTTCTAATGATTACAAATTTATTTTTAATCTAATGAATTCAAAAATATTAATCATTTCAGTTTGGAAGATATTTTAGAAAAGTAATACATATAATGGTTTCACTAGTTTACCTCAAAACGAAAATTAGTTTTTTATGTTTCAAAATGAAAAATTGCCAGCTGGCATAAATATTTTAGCGTTTGTTCCATGTTGCAATTTAACGAAAACGACATCAGACTTTTAAGATATGGACCCGACAACATATTTCTGTGCGAAAGAAATTAATATTTAATTACGTTTCAGGTAAAATAATAAAATTGGACAATCCGGAAGTACCGTGTAGTAAAGAGGAAGCTCTTGTAAACAAGAATTGTACATTTAAGCCTGACTCTACGCCGTCGAAGACTGTAACTTCCAGAAAAACTTCTTTTGATGAAACCGTCGGAATTACAGGATTCGCCTCATTAATGTACAGGTACAAGAAATATAGCTGCGTGGGAAGTGTACTAAATAAAAGTCGATATTAAATCGTAATGACTACATTATGCAATAATGTTATCTCAACTATTTTCTCGTTAAATCAGGATGTGTAACTGCGCAAATGTTGATACCATAAGTATTATTTTGTGTGAATTTCACACTTCACAAAATTTTGTTTACAGTGCATGAGTTGGCCTAGTATGGCACTGATATAGACTTTGTTGACATCGCAGGTTCTAAGTTCAATTCCCATGCCCACGTTATCGTCCAGTGGTGTAATAAATTAAGCACCAGCATTCGATGCTTTTAAAAAGGGCTTGTTTGGGGTGACAGGCGTATGAAACGTTCGTAAATAATATAATGCGTTTAGTCGATACGATATATATTTTCTATTTCAGTCCTGATTTGAGTTACGTCGATCATTTCTGTGACACTGTAGAAGAATCAGAACAAGAAGTGCCCGAAGAACAACAGCATAATGCAGAAGCACCCACGTTACATAATTTGCATTGTCAAGGTAGGCTAAGATACTTTGTTTTATTTCGCCTATTGCAACGGACCTGGTGTTTGGTTTTAGTGTGCGTCAATTTGTTCCTGATAGAGTTTCAAACCGAATTTCTTCAAACCCCCCTGATGGAAATTGGAACTTATCAGCTTTCTTGAAGCGTTCCTGAGTCGTAGTAAAAGCTGATCCGAACCAACAGTCTGCCTAAATTTTTTTTTATCAATTTATGCTTTTTACAGGAAAAAGTGTATGGGAAGTAATAAGAACTCATCCAGACTTTGCGAACGGAAATAACCCCCCACTTCCAGAAAGTTCTATTCCTCCACCGATTGAATTCAGCCTATTAAAAAATCCGGGACAGGTACTGAAATAAAAAATTCAAAAATACCACGGAGTTCTGCTTTGGTCTCATTTTGAAATCCAAACTGAAAACTAACACAGACATACAAATATTTCTCAAAGCGCGTTGGGCTGTACGGGTTACTTCATCAAAAGCAATTCGTGCCTATTTACTATAAATGTTCAAATTTATATTTCAAACTTAGACGTATGGCTGCCTGATATTGATTGTATTGTGGAAACTTATTTGCTCGATGTTAATTTAAATTTTTTTAAATTAAACTAACTGTTAACATAAATTCGAATAAATGTCAGAAAGTTTCGACCATACAGATAAAATAAGTTTATTATCTAAAGTTAATAATAAAATGTATTCTGCCAAACAATTTATTTATACACCAATTCTAAACGTATTATTGATGATCAGCAATATAAAACGTATATACTCACGTTTATGTAGAGTAAAAACTGTTAGTATCCGGTATTTTTAATTATGGTTTTTTGTGTCATTTCTAGGAGGATGTTCTCGTTCTCGACATTTCGTCTAGTATTGAAGTTTTTCAATCGAATGAATTAATGAGACAAGCAGCAAGTCAATTCATTGATACCGTACCGGAAAACTCTTGGATCGGGATTGTTACATTTGCAGCGTAAGTTAGTAATGAAATAATAATCAACAACAAATTTTCAATATAGTATGCCATTCGAAAGGTATATCCTTTATAAAGTACACTTCAAACAATATCAAATTATCTCTTTAGAGAAGGAACGGTGATGTCAGAACTCATCAGAGTTTCATCAAACGACGTGAGAAGGTTATTAAAAGAACGTCTTCCCAATTTTCTTGTCCCCGGTGAGTATGCGCGATTAGATATTTTTTAAATTTATTTCTCCAGTATGTGGTTGATGCATTTATGAGTGTATCATTGTTCTACATTTATTGTCTAAAAAATTTCAATCATTTCCCCTGTAGAATGTTATAAATGTATTCATAACAGTTCCAATCTCCGTACCAAAAGTAATGAAATTGAAATAATGAAATGAAAGTAATTCTTTTATAATATCTAATTTAAAATCTACGACGGCAAATATCTCCTGTTAGGGGCAAAAAAAATTTAAAATCGCGATATTTAACAACACTGAAATTAGTAAAAAACGCATTACGATTGCGAAAAGACATTCATTACTAAAACGAATAGGCGCTAATTGTGAATACTGAATTACCAAAGGTTTGAAGAGACTCTAATTCTAAAATAAAACATTATTTACTTGCAGGGACCAGTATCGGTAGCGGTATTAAACTTGCACTGCAAGTTTTAAAATCATCTGGTCCAAAGCATATGAGAAAATCGGGTGGAAGTATGCTTGTTTTGAGTGATGGAAAAGAACACAACAGTCCAAAGATCAATGACACATTGTTGGAAGTAAAAAAAATTATTATCTTCTAGTACAGAAAAATACAAACTCCTTGCATGGTTTATAATACGAAGGATGTATCTTTAATGTACAATAAATTTTTAAATCTGCTGCTAATTGTCATCGTTTTTGAAATATTTAATTTTATAATCCAGGTTATTGATTTTGGAGTTCGCGTTACAACAATTGCTTTTGGTGCACAAGTAGCAGACGATTTGGATGTTTTAGCCGAAGTGACTGGAGGTTCTGCATATTTTGCGAGCTCAGGGGAGTTTAGCGACAATAGTGAGTTACGTGATGCATTCCTGGCAACGATTGACAATCCAGAAGGTAAACTCCCAGCAAAAATTCTTTATGCAGATTGATTTTGAGCGATTATCTTAGTACAATCAATTCATATGAAGATATTGAGTACAGGCGACGCATTTTAAAAAAATATATGATATATTAAAAAAAATAAAATAATGGCAAGTGAAAAAACTCTAAGTCGTATGAGATCATTAGCGTATCTGGAGTTTATACACTTATCGTATATTTTCAGGTGTCGCTGGTAAATATCGAAATCATTAGATATATAATGGATGCAGGCTCAAAATAAATTTTTATAAAGTAAATAATAGTATATTAATGTGCAATATATAGTAACCTAGTGTCCCAGTTCATAGCTAAATTTATTTTAAATTTACCAAGAGTTCAAAAAAAAACTAGTTGTTCAATCTAATTAGCTTTAGAATTTATTTGCAGATGACATGGTTGTTGTTTCAAGTCAGTCGATACGATTGAAAGCTAATTCGTCCGAAGGTCACACTTTCATTATAGATGAAACAATCGGAAGAGAAACTAGGATTACCATGCTTTACACCGACACCGTAGCACCTAAGGTAAATAGTAGAAATGGTGATGAAAAAATGAATTGTGAATTTCACAATTACTAGTCTTTGCTACTTTCTATACCAAGTTTCACCCAGAACAAGGCCATGTGCAAGTAGACACTGCCACGTAAGAGGCTACTATTTTTTATTGAAGTGTCGTAATTTTTACGGTTCAGGATTATCTTTCCAATTTATTACACTCTGGGCGAAGTGTTATCCATGGTTCATTTTAACAGTTTTGTCCGACAAAGGAAAGATTCGTTTCTGTGATATTAAGCATGCATACGAATATTCAAATTCAATCTTTCTCCAAAGTATATTTTTACTTATTTATTACCATTTGTGAGAAATTATTATTTTTAATCTAAAAAGGAAGTTACTATATATTATAATGATGAATATTTTAAGATCGGACTGGAAAATCCTTGGGGTGATGTAATGTGGGAAGACGATGATATGTTTGATACGAACATTACAGCTGAGTTTTCTTCAGATGAAAATTTTTCAACAAAAACCATTCAATACTTTGGATACATGGAGGTAAAATATAGTTTTCAGTCAACATAATAAATAATAATAGTGAACATTTTATTAAAAATTAGATTTTGCTAAATCTGCCTTATATAATCCCTGTTATTTGACTCCTTTTTTTCTTGTTCAACTAAAATTCTTTGAAAGCGTTGTGTTTTGTGCATTTACACTGCAACTAAACTTATTTTGGTAAGAAAAATTTTATGTAATTACTATTTACCTCACTCCATATAAATTTAATTTGGTCGAATTGAATTCTTAATCACGTACTTAACTAAACCTTCGAATAATATTCATAAACGTAGTAATTTCAACTCTTATATCATTGTATTAAAAACGAATCTGGCAAAATTCCCAATCAATTACTTTTTGGTATATCCGTAACAAAATAACCGAAAAAATTGTCGTAGAGCGAAGTAGTAACTTATTCAGTGTAGAGAGATAATTAAATTTGTGGATGAAATTTGAGTTTACCAAAAAGGGAAGTAGAGATATATATTTTGTGGGGAATACCTAGCATTTTAAATATTCCACATGTCAAAACACGGTCACTGTTTTCAATTGTTTAGTGCATTTCATTAATAATTTTCGTGTTTGAGTGCTGAACCGCATGAAATTTTAATGCCTGTGCTATCTCAGCACAAATCCTATACAACAAGAATGATTTTAGTCATACATTATTTGTTTTCAAATGTACATGTAAAATATTCTATGACAAAAATTAATGCAAAACAAAATTTAATACAAAAACAATCATTAAAAAAAGCAACAATAGGTGAAGCACGGATATTTATATTTTTAGCCTGGAACGTGGACGCTTCTGTTGAAAAACCAGAGGTTGCAAAACAGTGTTACTGCTGACATCTCGGTTTTCTCCCATCCCGCAGAAGAACAGGAAAGTTTGGTTCTCTCACCAGCATTACTTTGTAGGATAATAAATTACAGTGGAAGCGAAAGCATTGTCATTTATGCACATCTGAGTTATGGTAATCCATTAAATTAATTGTACTTAAATAAACTTTTGCTTCATGTTACGTTATTGTATCAGTTTGCAATGCTGTTTTTTTATTCATTGAAAACGAAAACTACCATCCTGTAGCATTATTAGCTGACGTAGCCGTTACTTTCTACTGTCAGCTAAACAGTTAGTTTGGCAGTTTTTAGTGCTGTCAGTTATTTGCTATTGTCTTCAATTATATGTTGTTCATTTACACAATTAGTTTTGGTATCGGTGGATCAACTCACAAACTGAAAGAGCAAAATATTTTACCTGTTAAATCGGTTCTTATCACTCTTATTGCTTTTATTAGAAAACTCCCCGGACAATAAAATTTGACTGTACTGTGCCAAGCAAGCATGCGCCAAAGTTTTATTTGTGCCTCAATTGTTCTCACTATTTTTCAGGTGAGTTTGCTGTTCTCGATGCAACAGTGGAAGCTGTTGTGACTCGGCCTTTATCACTGGCTGGCAGTTATGATACGGCCACCGTTGAATTGAAGGACGATGGTCGTGGTGCTGATGTTATTGCAAATGATGGAATATATTCAGGATATTTTACTAGATTCACATTGCAAGGAAGATACAACGTCAAGGTAACTTTAAACATTGAGTACATTGTCCACCATAAATAATCTGTTAATCTTATTATATTACGTTGTAATCATACTGCAGCAATCGTCCCTCGCATTTTAACCCCAGTAAGACTCACGCGCAGAAGATGTTTTCCCAAGCAACTCATTCTCGTGATTTGTAGGATACCCATCGCATAGCACTTTTATTTATCTTACATATGACAGTATCTTTTTGGATTATTTTGTAATCAAAATGTCATTCATGTGCATGTGGCTAATCTACAAATTGTTTTACAACCTGGATTTGTCAACGCAGTTGAGCGTAGTCACTAATCAAAGTCCATCCAGGCTTGCTATGTTTTTGATATAATTCTCTCTGATCTCAGTGCCAATTGTAATTATCTTTTTTATTTTTGGATTAAAGGTTAATGCCGCCGGAGACGGAGATAAGGCGCGACTTGACATTAATCATATTCTTGGTCTGGGACGTCGAAAAAATGAACTTGGTAAAGTTGATACAAAAAGATGTTTTACAAAATATGGGGAACAAAGAAGAGAATAAGTATGTCTACGATTATATGCGTGTATCACTGAATTCAGTCTATTCTAAAATGCATCATTTGGTCTCTCTATTTATATATCTTAATAATTAAATTATTTTTTCACCAAAAGACGAAAAATCCAGAAAAACGACGCTCAATTAGAGGGAATAACGAGTAGGATGGGAAAACTGAAGCTTTCAAACGATGAGCACACAACAGAAAGATTCATCGTAAATGACACAACTGCTGTAGTTTTGTCCAGATGGGTAAAGATTTATACTAATTCGAACTAAGATTTTGGGACCGTACAAACATTCGAAATTATTCATCAAACAAAAAAGCAAAACTCATTGCTTTATATTTTGAATGAATCGGATATCGAGCCGGTGCCTTGTGAGAACTATAGAGAAGTCCCACCCCAATCTGTGCGCATACCTAGAGGGAACTTGCCAAATCAAACATTTCTCGCAAATTAATATTTGCATTGCTTATAATATGTTGATATTTCTGTAAAATGGGAGAAATTGACTGTATGTTATTCTAATCGGACAAAGAAAGCAAATCGTCTCTAGATTTATTTTGTATTATTTCGGTGCGATAACGTATACAAGTTTATCGAATCAATACAATAAGCATACATACCGAAGCAGCCATAAAAGTATGGCACTCACAAGAATACCTTGAAAAAAAAATTATTCTATTTTATAATATTAATATATTCAGATATTACCACTTTCAAGACAGTTGCTATAAGTTTGTCCGAACTCCAATGGCATCATTCACTGATGCATCGAAATTTTGTGCAAATGACGGCGGATACCTCGCACACGTGAATTCAAATCAAGAACTTTTATATATAATGGACACCATTGGAAAAAAAGATACATGGTTCGGAGGAATTCATCAAGTGGGTTATAACTTATAAAACAACAAAGTAATTTTCGTATTTTTATGCATTTATTTATCTTTTATCCTGCATACTTTTATTCCCTTCTACAGTCGCTGAACAGAGATGACATATCAGTTGAGTTTGTAACAAAAAGCATTAAAAGAGGACACGAAGATGAGATCTAGTCGTATTGGCAAATTATTCAACGAAATTTACCTCAATGAAATACCAGAAAAATAATTGAATCATTTGAACCAGATTTAGCTGGGATAAGCAGAAAAGAGATTAACAAGTATGAAAAGAAGTGAAAGTAACTTTTATCAATAACATTTCAAATTACAATCAAAGTAAAATAATGTTGTCGACGCATCAGTGTAAACTCGCAGAATTCAAAATATCAGTTACAATCCCTATTTACACCCCATTATCAGGATGTAATAAATTGAGTAAGCTATTCTTAACAGGAAACATCAAAGTCCTTCCACAAAAAGTAACTCCCTGAATATTAGTGTTTAGTTTTTGTATGTAGCCTTTTTCAGATCATACGTGGTCCAAATGGCTCAGTAGTAGTAATTTCCAATTTTTTCTGTCATTTTTATCAATTCTTAGATTTATAATGCTATGCGCTCGACTTATATAGTTTATTTATACATTTAAAGGATTATTCGAGTACTGGGAGGAACATCAGAATCTGACATTCCTTTACTGAAAGAAGCAAAATTACTGAGACTACAAAATGTCCAAGATATGTTGACGACAGCAAGTATGCGCACTCGTACTACACAACACATGACAACAGTGAGGATACATACTATTTAAGTTTGCTAATTAAACTGACAAAACTGACTGACCTTCAATTTTTGAATTAAATGGAATATTCCAATTTCAAACATTGACCTTTTACACTATGAATGTCCCTGGGTTTCTCAGACTTTCGTTATCCGTGGCCTTCGGAAGACTCTCGAGACATGTGGCCGCATGTTTTTCTATAAAAATCAGTCGTTCTATGTGCTACATTCAATAATACGAAAACAAAACAGGTTAACGCGAATGAATAAATGCATTACAATAAAAAGAATCAACGTGAACTGCCTTCAAATTAACGAAGTTAGTGTAAATATTACCTAGTGAACAACTTTGCTAGTGGCACCCAAATAACCACTCCGTGCTTATGCTTATAATGTAACAGAGGAGCTGAATATGTATTACAACTTGAACTGTCATGAAAAATGCTTTTTACTTTATCTAATATAACGTCAGGAATAATATTGGCTATCATAAAATATATATTTATATATATATACATATTAGAGCTACATTTTGGTGTTAATATTTTGCTATTTTTCTGACACCATTCACCAGACAAATCATAGCCACATTCACTTTGTTGTCTGCGGGGAATTTAACTATATTCTGCGTTTAGACTGTGAGTTCGAGGAATCGACGACAAGCTGAAACTCCACCATCATCGAGTGGTGATTCTAGCGAACCATCAACAGGCGTATTTACAACGATAGCAACATCTACTGAAAATGCAACACTGGCACTTGCAAAGAAATACCCAGATGTAATTAATTTTAGTTGATGATAACTTTTTTAATTTGAATTGCTAGTGGTATTTTTTTATCAAAAAAACTCAATTATATTATTCACTGTATTTCTTTTTCTATGTTCTTTCGTCACTATTGCTGAGATGAACAATAATTTTGAAACAGAAAAATGAAAACACAGAGTGTGTTACTTAAAATACACACCGCTGTAATTGAAATCGAACGAATAAAAATACTAACAACTTTATCCCCTGAAAACTCATTGAATTTAGCAAAAAGACTATTTTGGAAGTGGAGAGCAGGATCCAGAATGCTCATGGTTTAACGATGGTAAAGTAGTTGAAACGTCAGGCGATGAAGTTTGCAACAGGGACAAAGCATTCTTTTGTGAAAGACCAAGTATGAATATGAAAATATGAATGATTTATTATATTATATTGACTTGTTTGATGCATAATACATCAACCAAACTAAAAAAACATTTAGTAAACAGCGGCTTGGTGGGTTATCTGTATCTCATCATATGCTTTGCTCGATTATTGTGAACAAATATACTTTATTAAAACAATATTGAATCTTAGCGAGTATGAAGATAATTTTCAAAGAAAATCTCGATAACTTCAAAGCAAAAAATGCATGCGAAGGCAGTACTCACACAATATACGACCGTGGATTGAATGCTCATAAAAGTTTCTCCTTCATCGCAGCATTCGCATGTTTTCGTATGTGTAATATTTAATTTAGGACTTTGAGAAGTTGAACGGTTTATTCCAAGATAAGAAATTATAGAAATTATATATATATTCGGGTTGTCCATTCGCAGTTTAGAAAAATAAACCCTACAAATCTATATCATTCCAGAGATTGATCTTTTTGAACCTTCCCGCATCACTGATTTGAAAGTCAAAGTTACTGAAGATCTCAATATTGTTCGACTTGTATGGACGGCCACAGGCGATGACAAGACTAATGGAAGAGGTACGTTATAATATATTTTTGTAATCTAGTTTTGACCATTTGGAGACTCGTTGCCAATTTCAATCTAAACTAACGTTATAATGAGGTATCAAGATGAAGCCACCATTTTACTCAAAGTAGCAAGTTTAATGACCTTAGTCAACAATGGTTCTTGAAAAATTCGCCGTAGGAAATCTTCCCCGCAGAAAATTTCGCCGGATAGGAAAAATCGCCACAAGAGTATTTTGCTGTAAACAAGTATTTGCTGATAAAACAGTTTTTGAAGTTCTTTTTATTTAAAAAAGATTCGTTATTTAAAAAGCATACCGTAACCCTGCGACGAAATTTTCTGCGGTGAATTTTCCGGGCACGGGCAACAACAGCTAGATTAACCTAAAGCATACATTAGAAATGTTAGTCCCGTTTCACTTTCACTTGTATTAGAATACAGCTATTTCTAAATCTCGAAGCAGATTGTCGTATGATTTAAAATGCGGAACAAGTATAGATATGTAATTCTGTCAACATTCTTCTTCTTTACATTCAGCGAAAGAGTATGAAATACGCAATCTTAGAACGAAGCGAGCTCGAAAGCTTGCAAGGAATTTCAAAGACGGTGAATTATTGAGCTTCGCTGCAATATTAAATGGAAGTGTCGATGTTGCCAAAATCTCGGGAGAACGTGAAGAATTAGTCGTCAATTTAACAGAAATTACAGGTTGGACTTTTTTTTATATCGAGATGGGAAATTTAAATTCTATAATGTTTTGTTTAATTGTAATTTAATTTATTCGATAACAAAAAAAATGGAAGTATGAAAGAGATTTTCATCGAAAACACATATGATCAACTCAGAAATCCGAAGCTTTGTTTGTCTTTAATATATTTCTAACGTAAAAGTGACGCATTACTTTGAAATTTTTTTTTTTACAAATATTTGACACACATTAGGAATTTCAAATTGAAAAATCATTAATGTCGATAAAGCAAAAGTTAAATTTTTTTCTCCCAATCAGGTTGCCCACCACATGCTGCACTGGACCTAATAATTCTCCTACCTCGCCGAATACTTTCTCCGAGTTCCACATCACGAATCGAAAAAGAATCAACTTTGGATTTATTCAGAACTTTATTTTCCATCTTCAAAATCAGTAAGTAAAGACTTAAACTAAGACTTGCACCTACCATGATTATTAAGCCTAAGACAGTGAACCCCATGAATGTGAAAATTTCTACACTTGAAAAATATCTTCGGGCTGAACCTCGTCCAACTCAGATTGATTTCTTTTACTTGAGCTTTTTGCTTTAAGTGAATTTAATGGGAATTAATAAATAATTTGTCCGAACAGGTACATATGAAGTACAAGTGAGCGTTGTTGCTATACAAGATCAACTTGGGAGAGTTCTTCTGCGTGATTCTACTAGTGCCAATGAAGTTCTGAACAGTATTAGGCAGGGATTAGAACAAGACAACAGACTCAGACAGGAAGTCAGATACCGTAAGTAAAAACATATATATTGCTTGCAATGGACAAAGCCGTAATATACCAACGAAGTGGAAGCACATGTTTCTGTGCTTTACCGTAACTAAAGATCGTTCATTGTTTCCATTCGATATACTTTCTAAATATCTAACCCTGTTGCCCTTCTGAATATCTAACCTTGTTTCCATCCGATATACTTTCTAAGTATCTAACCCTGTCTATCTTTTTAAATATCTAACCCTGTTTATTTCAGATGACACTGTAAAAATATTAGAAGATATGAAATCAAGGGGAAGATCGATCACACCAAAATTTTATTATCTATAATTGACGGAAGAAGATATGGAAGAGTTGATAACATATGAAAACACCACTGATATGTTCAAAATTATCGTTGGTGTTGGAATTGCAAATGAAAGGTAATTTTTGTACATCTGCAATGATAATCTTAATCATTTTTAGGTTTGCGGTGTAATAAATTGCGCAAGAATTACAGTCAAAGCTAAATGTACTTGATGAAGTTATTTAGAGTCGGTTTTGCCGGTGAGTGATGTTAGTTAATCCAGCGACCGCACAAGCAGTCACGAACACCTTGCGCGACATGACATGACGTTCTGCGGAGCAATGTGGGGAGATTTCGAAAATCAATTTATCAAGGAGAAGAATTGGTGCATATATGACTCAAATTAAAATATTGAGATAAATCTTTATACAGTATCCACCATAGGTAACTGATCTCTTGCATGTTTGTTCCATTTTAAAACTGCAGTGCTGCGTTTAGTTCATCAACTTGCGCCATTTTCATTGAGTTGATTCCTTCATCTATAAGCCAAGCATTTAGAAAATCGAAATCAGTATTTTTATACTTTTGATCTACAGCTGCTGTTTTGAGTTGGTAGGTAAAATATTTATTTTTCAACAGTGACGTTCGCGCCGTAGTTTCAGATCCGCCATGTGAAAATGCAATATTTGCTTCAACGTGGAAAAACTTGAATGAAACGTATCGTGAAGTCGCATCTCAGCTGTGTTATGCAAGAAATGATGAATATCAGGTCAGATCCTATCGAAATTAAAAAACAATTTTTTTAATGAAAGTAGTAATAACAACTACTCATTAAAGAATTTTATAAATAATTATAACGGATAAATTGCTAAGAACAGCACATATCAATACTGTTACTAATAATCTATTACGAGAATTTTCTGGAATCAAATATACTTGCTAGGATTTTATTCGAAATTTTCAATCATGTCGCATCTGATTTGTTGTAGGGCAAAAATCTGACACTATTAGAAAAGTTGTTTCCGTATTTTCAGGCTTGGGGCATTGTTGCTGTTGACGAAGGAGGTTTACGCAGTGAGCCTAGCAATATTGTATCAAACATTATTCACAACCATCGGAGATTGGTTGATTGTCCTCCAGAGCCAGAATTAGTAAGTATATTCGAAATAATAATTTTAGATTTAGCTAACACTTGTGACACTCAGACAACTATGGTATCAGTCATGCTTTTCCCGTCTCTATCGTTACAGCCTCAACCTAGCGTTGCAGGAATCGATGTTACAGTCGTAACCATTGCAATTACAATACCTCTTGCTGCCATTCTTGGTATCGTTGGCGCAGTTATATGCTTTGGTCAAGTGAAAAAATACAGAAAAAAGAAGAGAGAAAAAAAGGAGAGAAAGGAACGTGAAGCGGAAGAAGCGGTTAGTTACTTTAAATTTCTTCTTTTCAAATATCAATAAACATAAGCATATAAAAACTTCGATAGTAGAAAAATCTAGCGCAGTAAAATTACGTTAAATTTCCAACCTACACCGCTTAATATCCCTTACTATTTCTAATAAGAATTGAACTGGAAACTGAATTCCCACAACGAATTATAATATATTTCAGTATAAGTGGCACTAATGTGTATATCCCCATTACATGAACAATAACATAATTTACCTTCCGTACACGATTTGCTTATGTTTTCATGTCTGCTTGGAGATTTTGTCATGTTATTGTATATATATATAAATACCCACAGGCTGCAGAAGCAAAAAGAGCCGAAGCAATCAAAAATGCAGGGTAAGTCCACCGTTTTTGTGTCCGAGTTCTGCCGTTTCGATAACTTAAATAATAAAAAGGTACAGAGTCTCCTGTTTCGTTTTTTTGTTTGTTTTCATTATCCCCGAGTTTTGCCCTTAGCCTCATTTAGGACTTGAAATTTCGACCACTGAAAATTAAAATAAAGATTGACCACACCACTGGGGGTTATGCATTACATCAATGGATGCCATAGGCTTTGTCTCAGTCAAACTGCAACCTTACTGCTTAATTTCAAAATAAAAAATATCATATTCACCGCTACAAATCGAAACATCGATACGTCTATAAACATGGCGTATAAACTACACCCATAAAAAAATGTGTGTGAGATTTGTCTTGAGGATTTTCGACTGTAATCAGAACAATTGACCTATAAATCTATATATAGTAGGGCGGGGGATGATGGCCCCCCTTATTGAAAATTATCTATATTTCGAAAACCTTTCTTCAAATATTCCTAAAACTTTGCAAGTACAAACATAAGGGGCTGAACTCTTTAGCCACTCGGCGGCGTCCGCCGGTCTCCAACCATCGCAACAGCAGAAACGTTTTTGAGCGAAAAAAAAATTCGGGGAAGTTGGACATATGGTCGGATAGGACGGACATGTAATAAAATCGCATCAAAATACTAGTATTGCGTTCTGTTTCTTATCAGAATATCAAAATATGCAATGTATTTGGAAAATTTTTTGGGGCATTCGAAAATTCCCCCTATGTCCATCTTACCCCTTAAATTTTTGAAGTTGTGAACCCATATAATTGTTCACGAAAGTATGATAAAACACCACCTAGTAAAGCAGCCAAATTTTATTTGATCATACTTTCACACAAATTTTAATCATAACACCAAAAGAACATCTGGGATTGCATGAAAGCTATCGTCATGGAATTTTACATTCGAATGAAAATATTTATACAAAAAAGCTTCAAGCAGAGCAGTCATCACATTGGAAGGACACAATGTGTTTTCCATAAATCCCGGCACAAATATCGTGAAGCCACTTTCGGCATTTCTGGCACTGAATCCATCCCTCGTCCTCTTCGTCGTCAAAATATTTGACCTTGCAGACAGCACAGAGGTTACTGTAACAATATCTTTCATGTCGCTCATTCTTACGTTTATTTTCTTTTTTCTTCCTGGGAGCTGCAACTTTCATAGACGAGCTAGATGACATCGTTTCTGCGAGTGCTGTAGTTTTCCTGAACGAGCTAGGTGGCGTTGTTTCTGCGAGTGCTGACAGTTCGGCTACATAATTCTCACTTGTTAACACTCTAATTCCTGCCTGAATGGCTTTCTTTGCCTCTTGGCTCTCTGAGTGGCTACTGGAAGAGGCAAATATATTCAAATGATAAACTGGTGCTATCAGATCTCTGCTATTTTCTTGCCTCAAAGAATCACTGACGTTATCAGAAACTAACTGAACTCCTGGTGAAGTTCTACTTGAAAAAATCGTTAGAGAGCACAGAGCAGCATGGTTCACTTGTGACACTTTCTACCTCTGTCGTGGTGTTAACCTCATGAGATGGTACATCTTAGTCTCTATTTGTTATTTGCCTCTGTTTGATATTCTTTGGTATTTTCTCAACATTCTTTAGGATTTTCTGTTTCCCGAGCATCCAAAACTTGCATCTGGAAAAACATGATAGTACATAAGGGTAAGATGGCCACCCCCCATAATTTCATAAGATTATTGAGATTATCCAAGAAGTGTTTTGACAGGTAAAAGCAATAACAAAATTAAAAAGAAGACTTTCTGGTATCTTATTCACAAAGAACGGGTTTGAACGGTCAAAGTAAATATAAAACCGAAAAACGCAAGAAATTTATTACCCCCTCATAACCCCCCCATTTTTACATGATCACATGCTGAAAGATATAGTTAGCTGCTAGATGGCACAAGTCGCTCAGTTAGTCCTAAATCATTGTCAGTAAGTATAAACTTACCAACAAACGCGCGATTCAGAGTTCCTTCGCTGAAAATGAGCATATAGTGCCTCCAAGAAAAACGTGTCCTTACTAAATGCCCTTTTTTCACCCTTCAAAAATCACAAGCCACGTGGAAAGCTACACAACTGACGAACTACGCCAAGCGCTGAACCGAAATGGCTAGAACGAATTCCCTCCTTAGCAACGAACTCGGCAATGGCATTTGCAGAACCAAGCCCCATAAGATGTCGCCAATAGGTCAATTTGAAAAAAAGTGTCCATCTAACCCCGTGTGTCTATCTTCCCCCGCCCTACTATATAATATATATATTATGTCTGTTAAAATTGGTGTTGTAATAAATTTTAAAGATATAAAGGTGAAGGAAAAAATTTATGATTCGTTCTGCACGATCAATTTCGCATCAGCAACAACAATCCAGCAAAACGCACTTTGTGCCCAAATATTGAGGCAATGTAATGCTGTATTATGGCTTCTCAAAAACTTCTATTTTTTCTAGGATCCGTGGGAACGTTCGCGCCAACATGGTCGGTTTGTTACAAAATGTTCGGCGAAATTCAAACCTGAAGCTGAAGATCAACAAAACAGCACCAGTGACGCAGCCACCAGTTTAAATTACACTCATGAAGACTTTACTTATAGACAAGTCAAAAGGTGTCACACCGCCCCACATTAAGTGCAAACATGCGACTTCCGCTCCACACTAACTATACTAACTATAAAAAAAATTCATACGCGTCTACTTGGCATTTACATTATGCACCACTGTGCTACATACATGCGCTATTACATATTGTTAGTTAAAACCATGTTGAGAATTCCAATATGGCGCACATACCTCGAGGGGTTGCAGTCACAGTATGACCTGGACACCGATTTGGGTAACATTAACGTCGCATAGTATTGTTACAAGCCAACAAGAATGACTACAGCTGACAACTGAATCAATGAAGTGTTTTCGTTCCTCTGACGTGGTGGTTCGTATTCGCTTCCCGTAATATCCTGCTTGGTCTTGGCGATGCAAGTACACTAAGAACCGTAGTCACACGGCACACCCACCATTCAACCTTTTTCAATATACGAATTGCATTTATTGTATATTTTTCATTTATCGAAATTTTTCTTATCAAATGAATAAATTTATCTGCCTGTGAGATATGTGATTGTCTGTCATATATGTATGTAACGTACTGAATACAAAAAGAATACTCAAATAAATTATAATAATACAACAGAGGAACACAATGCCCAAAACAAAAATTATTGGTCTGAATTCTTTCATCTAGTCTTTTCTTTGATATGCATATCAATCCAATCAATGTATTTTGATATTCTGGTATATACTCCGGGTCTGTTCGGGAGTCCACATCCTTTTCCCCAGCTCGTCAAACCAACTTCTATCCACATACCATCTTGTGGATGCTGACAAACTAGAGGCCCGCCACTGTCACCCTGATTCGAATGCATTTCAAAGTAATGTTACGGAAACAAAATAACTTAACAGTTTAATGGCATTGGGGTGGCATTGGAAGTATCACTGCTAGACATGTAGTTATTTTTTCTTTCATTTTTCCCACATAATTTATCTGTTAATCAGTACAAGCATGTATAAAGCTATTTTTACATATCCACGAAGACTACGCAGTTGGCTGTAAAGCGACATTAAAATTATCTGAAAACCAGACAATTTGTACCTGACACGCGTCAATGCCTCCTTCAAGATGGCCCGCACAAATCATGTTTCTTGTAACGCGACTTCCATAAATGTGTGCAGTAGAACAAACTTCATGTTTAATGAGATACACATGAGCGGTTTGTAGAACAGCGGGCCTTTTGCCTAAAACAAGAGAACGATGCCTAATTATTCTAAAAAGACCGCGCATTGATACCGTAGATCGACAGACCGACTAGCACTAGTGTGACGGAAGTGACGCCACGAATTAAAATATATATAACAACAAAATTATAATTGCTATTGGTCTTGAAGCGGCTTCAAGCATCCTCAAGTAGAAAATTACAAAATCGATAGTTCATTGGCCGCGGAGAATCACAACAACAAGAATTTAGCAAAATAATTTTTGAGGGCCGCCTGTCCGTGTCCAACAATGAACGATAAGTTATTTAGCATCAAAAAATCATTACAATTTTTGTAAAACGATATACCTATTTCGTTGATACCGAATCCTGTCACGTAACATTCTGGTGGCTCGCTTGGATCGTGTTGTAGCCAGTCACTTCCAGCTTCTGGTAGACAGACAGTATTTATACCTGGAGATTCCTATAAATCGAAAAAAAAAGTATCCGTGAATTTGTTCAGTTGGTGTTAATAAACCCATCAAGTCTACTATAAACGCAACAGACTTGAGCCCTATTTACTTAGTCGAAAATCAAGACTTTAATGTTTTGACAATGACAACTTAAAATGGGTAAAAAATATCAATTGTTAGTTCTCTCTTCATCAACGGACGGACCCGATTAAAATATTATTGCTCTGCCTTCCAACCATGCTTTCTACAAATGGTTACTTTTTTTTTAATATTTATCGAGATTTGCTAATTTGAAGTTATGAGTTTCCAAGACATAGCCTTATACCGTTAAGTAATTTTCAATGGAAGTGTGGAAGGAACGTTTATTTATTGAGATTTATTTATCATATATACACACACTTACTGGCACATTTTTTTCAAGCTGTATCAAAGCTATGTCGTCTCTGTGACTTGAACGTGTGTATGCTTCATGAATTATTAATTTCCTTCCAGGTATAAGTACGGCGTCATCATCCTCTATTCTCCTGGAGGTGTGTTGGCGTCCCAGAGCTATTGTGTATTTACTGGCTTCGTATCGACTGGAAAATTTGGAAAGCTTTTTTGTAGTAGCACTTGGTGTATTCAATGAAGTTTTTACAGCAGGTCATTTATCATTAAATTGCTCGGAGAAAATGAGAAAAAACTAAACATATAACATAAAAAACGTGACATACTAATTGTTGAAGCAGTGTGCAGCAGTTAGGATCCAATTTCGTCGTATAAGTGATCCACCACAAAAAGGAATAGTCTTTCCTGGACGAAAAATCTGAACCTGTTGAATATTATTACAAAATTGATCAGCTACGCAACTAGCAATGTATTCTTTCACATTGGTTGATACCATACGACTAATCGGAATAGTTTCAACACACAAATGACATATATATCAGTTGAAAACCATATTCTAGTATCGACCGTTTGTGTGCTGCTAGCAAATGATAAATGGGATAGCAAGACAAACGGGAATGCTTGTTTTCCTCTCCGGGTTTGCAACGAAATTATATGTCACTAAATTGTGATGAAGTTTATCATTCCACACTCAATTCCATACGGTATAACCGTTGTGCATAATAAATTACCATTCTATTTTTATAAAACGGGTAGTATGAAGAGTTATATGATAAACCCAAACAAACATAAGATCGGAGATGAACCTACCTGCCATGGCCATTCGTGTACTTGAGCGTCTCTGCCACCAAGAATTCTTCCCATAGGCAAATCAAAAACTCTGGTACCACATCCAGACGAAGGTTCCTGCATGCAAGGATATGCTTCTCCGCAAGCTTTTATCTCTGTTCGATCTCCCCTACAATTTCCAGACAAACATCTGCAATAGAATGGAAAACAATAGGGTTCTGAAAACAAAGAAATATAAACGGCCAACAGAATTTTGCTACAGCGATAAAAATTGTCTATGCTCCCAAACCTTCTTGTACGTATCTGTTCTCCATCACAATGTGAGCTGCAAGATGACCATTCACTCCACTTCGACCAAGAAAATGAGTTGACGCCTTGACTTTCATCTCCTGCGTTTCTACTATTATAATCTAATAACATATATAAATGTTGAAACAGAATGACATTTATATCTCAGTAACGTTCCCATAAATCAGAAATAAAAAGGTGGCGTTGTATGCCTACTATTTGATTTATATACGACTTGCTTGACGAAGTATTAGATACAATGTATACTTTAACTCACCACAATAATCATTTCCTTCATCAGAATGATCGCCACAGTCATCAGCATCATCGCATAACCATACCATAGGTATACAAAATTGTTGATGGTAACAAGTAAAGTCTTCGTTCCCGCAACGATCCTTAACTAGAAAATGGAAATGAAAGTCAAATATAAATTTTAAAGCAGCGGACCCACCGAGAAGAAAACATCTATCACATTTTAGATGGTACTCCCGTAGTATGTGAACCAAGATGGCGGACACCGGAACGTAGTATGTGTACCAGGTTAGGGTTAGGCCGTAATTTCAGATACAAATACTACGGGAGTCACCTGACTAGTCCCCAAACTCATAATAAAACTAAAAAAAAAAAATTGGAATAAAATTATGGCCTAACCCTAACCTGGTACACATACTATACGTTCCGGTGTCCGCCATCTTGGTTCGCATACTATGGGAGTACTTTTTAGATAGAGAGTAAATTACGCATTACTTATTCTCTTTGAAGATACTCACTCTCTCCGCACACTTCAACTACTTCGTCTTCAAAATCTGGACAATCTGGGAACCCATCACATGTCCATTCTTCGGGAATACATTTCGAGTGAGGATTCTGTTTTTCGCATTGAAATTCTGTGAAATCACAGGGTGTTTCTACAAATACAAAATATATATCTAAAAAAATATATCTAAATATATATATATAAGTAAATGTATGATTAAAATTTTGTATGTTTCACAAGTTGTTCTCGACTTTGATTTGCACGAAGGCATAACACACTCAGTGATACATGATCAAATTGCACGCTTTGCTGTAACAGCTCATTTTTCAATTTTTAAAACTTCCATCTCATTTATAAGCATATCAATCAGTCAAATTGGTTTTCGAAAGATGCAAAAATGCTGTATAACGGCTAAAAATGGGCATGCTTACTGCATCCATGTTCATCTTCACCTTTCACACAATCAGGGATGCCATCGCAGACACGCTCAGGCGGAAGCAAAAACGACTGAAAATCTAAACGAAGCATATTTCATCAAGAGTAAATATTTTTTCACAAGTTCACAACAACAATTTCTCGCAAAGCGGTTAGTACGTAACGGCTTCCAAGTGATTTCTTTAAAACAAGACCAAACCACGTAAAAAAGAGACACCAAAATATTGTGAGACAAATGTCACCCTGTGCACCCTAAAAACAAGTTCTTTGGCTAGTTCAGTTAGGTAGAATGTTAAAACATTATTTACTGAATCATCAACGAATAGAGACACAATACACTAGACATAAATGTTTATTGAGGGCAACAATAGAGGTGTTAAGGTTTCCGCCGAATACGACAGTTCAATCAAGTTGTTCATATTTGTAATTTTATCATCATACCATGAACGCACTCAAAGCAATCTTTTTCGTCCGTTTCATCCTTACAATCGAGCATTCCATCACACTCCCATTCGCCGAATATACATTTCTTATCGTAGGTACATTTGAAGTCAGTAGGAAGACAATCTTCTCCTATTCTTGACTGTGCAGTTCTGTCCTTATAAAAAAGAAACAACCTGGTATAATGTCAAAATAGTCTGGATGTACGACTATAATAAACTGAACTAATGATTACAGGCAATGGATTGCTTGCGGTTCAGGTGTGAGATTTAGTCAGCAGCACATGAGTTTAATTTAAGTTATTTTATGAAGAATGATATACAAAACTTGCTGACTTTTTTCCTGTGTAATATAATATGGCTTCATTTAGCTTATTTTATATATATTATATTAGTGCATATTTTGTAAGTTTATTATTGTCTGTTTCGTTACATTGTCCTGTGGTTTTTATCAAACCAATGGAAAAGTTTCCCGCTAGTCCGAAAGTTTTCTCCGTTAAAATCATCACATGCCTATATTTATTTATCAGTCAGCTTCGCGGAATCTCGTAGTGTATTTTCCTATAGCCGGTATTTATGTACATCGTGATCAACCGATACGCGCTGTCATAAGGACAAAACCAGAAGATAATCTTTATCGTTGATATAACCTACATCTGTATATAATAACCAAGTTACTCTATCGTTGATAAAATGAATCTGGCACCTTTTCGCCGTCTTCAGATACACTATCATTCAAGACTTTTTTGATTTTGTTGACAACGTCGTTGGTGGCGTTATTTGTTCTTTTCTTTGCTACTTTAGCCTCGAGCAGCTTTTTCAGCAAAGATAATTCCAACTCATCTGCTTCGACTAAAAAGATTATTGTACAGACTCAAATCTAATTTCATATTCTGAGATGTACATGGGTTAGAATGTGATCTGTAAGGGCCCTATATGGGTTCAATATTCTGGAACAACCATCACTACCTAAATTAACTCCACGGATTGTCCGAAACTGTTCCGAATATTTAATATTATCTGAATCAGTTTTTCAGACGGAAAGTTTTTTCAAGCAACAGAACCAATATTTCTTATAAACAGAATATTTGATATTCTTTACTTACCGCCGTCACTTGAATTGCTGGAGCTAACATAATTTTCATCATAACTTATCAAAAACAAAAAAGCAACATAAACAAAAAATAGAGCCATCGTGGCAAATGATGGATTTCAAATGGCTCTTTCTTCAATGTTTGTTTACATTTTCTTTTGTTTGTTATTGTAATTGTCTGTTTGTCAAAAGTAGTTATCACAGATTACTTCGTTGTTGGTAAACAAATCAGCTCCGATAACACCCAATCATATTGAATGCTTACGAGCAAGGCATGGAAGTAAGTGTTGGACAAAATACAGAACTGAACAAAATGAATAGTGTCATAGTATTCTGATCATCGTTTGGCTTAGTATCACATACCAATATTTACGAAAAGAATATTATAATAATAATATAATGTTTGTATATAATAATATATTGTTTTACAACTGACTAACGAGATTGTTCAACGTTTTATTTTACGATCTGGACAACTGTTAATCCCGTCGGGCAACTGATATTTGCCATATTCCTCTCAAACAAAAACGAGACAAAACTCAAGACTGTCAAAATTTAGTGGATAATTTAGTGAAATTTTATATCAAGATTTGCATGACTAATCCAATGTCTCAATAATTAGAATTTCTGGAGGCAAATAAGTAATTTTATATATATTCGTATAAATAATTTATATTTTGACGATAGAAATTAATTCGAAACTGATTACTAATTATGTCGCGCGTTGAATAACACATTGAGTGAAACAATAATGTTATCTGTAAATCTTGAATATGATTCGGGCATCATAATATGTTGAATACAGCCCTACTAATTGGTTATTCACGCCCCTAATGGGTGTTAACATTGGCTGCAGTCCCAAATTTATCGCGTACTCAAAATGCGCACCATTTTACAAGTGCAACCAACGAGGCACAGAAACCTAATTCGTCATAACTTAATTGAACTCGATCACAGCATAAATCTACTCGATTATGTAGCTTACATTCAAAATGTATGAGGTTTTCTGTTGTATATAGGAAAGTATCAAATGGTCCATTACGTATATACACAAGTCAACTAAATTCAGATGTGATCAGAAATTCAATGACAATAAGCATATACGCCAATTAATTATTTTTTATCTTTGACTGTTTCATTAGCAATATCCTTTTAAGAATAGGTGCACGTCACCTCGATTAATCTTGCGGTGCGACCTTCATGCCCGGGGGCATTTTTACGATTAGAATACTGGTTTTTCATGTGTTCTTATGACGCCTCGAGAGTTCCATTGAATACCGGTTTTAGTTGAGTGAGTAGATGATTTACAGCATACAGTAGCAAAGTAGATGTTTAGTTGCCAGTGTTGTAAAAACGAAATGTGTGTAGTCAAACAACAGTTTGACTGGTTCTTGTTATTTTGGTTTTTATATGAATTATGTCTTGATTGTATTTTTGAGTCGTCATACTTAAAGTTATTTAGGCTTCTAGAAAACTTAACTTATATTCTTAACCCTGCGACATACAATGTGGATATAAATCTAAATCGAACAGCTCGTCGACTTCGCTTTTATCTAAGGCTGTAATAAGTGTATTTTACACAATGTAGAAAAGTGAGTGAAATATATATTGCAAGAGGTGAACTAGGAGCGATGGGTACAAATTATGTGCAATGTTGCACTTATAAGCATGCAAGATTGTCTGTACTTTGATTTAGGCATATCTGGGATCATTGATTCACTGGAATATATTTCATCGACGAAAGCGGTTTAAATTTACATAGAAGTAAGCAAGGAGTCAGTTTGTCGATAAATTACAAGATGATTTATATATATACAATTCAACATTATACAGGGATCTACAGCCTAAAATTTAAGTAGTTTAATCACCCGCATATCAATGGCCGGATTATTACCACAAAGACTTATTTCTTCGACTGGAAGCGGGCCTATAGCCAGAACCCAGGAGTATCAGGTAAAATACAAAATTAGTAATTTAGTACTCAAGTAATTTGATTTTCAAGTTTTCAATAAAATTATACTAAACTGAATTTACCCAGACTTTACATGTTTTTAAGGAACGTGTTGGGTTCAAGAAGTTTGGGGAAATAAAAACACCAATTTGTATCGTGATAATTTACCAATTCATCTACCATTGAAGGAGATTTTGTTATTTTGTTGAAGGCTATGCTTGGTAACATATAATTTCGATTTGAAAAATGTTAGTTCAACTATTTGAAATTGTGATGTCGTGATTGCTGTCCTTCTTAGAGTCATTGGATCATCTTCTATGGTCAATAAAACAGAATTATTACAGAAATATATTAACAATTACATATGTATTCAACATTTAAACTAGGTCTTCAAATCAAGTACTCATAATGCTGCTGTGTTGAATGGACTCAATGATTTACGTCACGATGAAATTCTTTGTGACGTCACGCTCATGGCAGAGGAACAAAGTTTCCCAGCTCATAAAAACATCTTAGCATCATGCAGCCCGTATCTCAGAAATTTGTTCAGTGCCGAAGGAGGAATAAAGAATGAACATGAGGTGAAATCATATCATAGAGGCTATACAAGTTTGTATTCAAACATTATAAGAACTCTAATTTGAGCTCAATTTTCAAAGCACGTAATTTCCACTCCAACTTTGTTTTTTGACACGTAAATCAAGTTCCTTTGATTATAACGCGGTGACATTCCTTTCACATTCAGTTAATTACCCTAAAATAACTACACTATTGGAGATGAATTTCCGGATTTTTCATACAAATCCCCTGCCAAAAAACACCGCCAACGCTCGAGGTAAGAAAATTAGTATTTATTTAGTTAGGGTTAGAAATGCAGATTGCGCTGCAAGTTCAAATTTTTAAATCATTCCTAACCCCAACTGGATAATACTAAACGCGGGGGGTGTTTTTCTATCAAATCTTTCATTTTTGCATTAGTTGCGGGGGGCTTTGTACAAAATATCCAAATTTCTTGATTCACGAAGCAAATGTATTTCCACAACAAAGCTTATTTCTTTTATACCCTGTCTAGTGTTGAGCATATACCTTAGCTATCGGGCTATACTCTTAAAACAGATCTTCGCTGTATTATAATTGTGAAGAAATGGTATTTTCAAGCAATTGTTAAGAATAGAAAATCGGAACTCGAGATGTCTAGACTGTGACAATTACAATCCATCTTCATTCTTGTCAGTAATTCATCCTAAACCGGTTATGTTAATTACGACGAAGCTCGGTTCAAATATCCTTGCTTTGGAAATAACTATATAACGGTCAATACGCGTTGATCTCAAAATTCCGAATTTCAATTTCTACACAATTAAGTTAGTTTGCATAACAACTTTTCAAAAATAACTTTGAAATTTAGCATTTTCTTTTAATAATGTTTTCCCCAAAGGTTGTCGAAATCCGCGGTGTGAGTTCAGAAGGATTGAAACATGTTATAAACTTCGTTTACACATCGGAATTGGAGTTGACAATGACAAATGTGCAGCATGTTCTTGCAGCAGCTGGCCACATGCAGTTGAAACCAATTCTCAATTTCTGTAAGGTAATAAAATTAACATTGGTAACTATATACTTCAAATTTAATAATATTTCGATAGCATTCACAGTAATATACTTCAACTATAATAAATTCATTTAATTCTTTATAGCTCTTTCGATTTTTATCCCCTTCTGCCCTCTGATATGACTAATAGAAATAGAAAGACTAGGTCATGATCAACTTTTATTTTAATTTTTATGTTACAGGCTTTTCTTGTCACTGAGATATCCGTCTACAATTGTGTTAGCATTATTCATATTGCTGAACATTACGAATTACGAAGTGTGGAAGAAAAAGCTTATACATTTATTGCAGAACATTTGAACGAGCTAGTTAAAACTGAAGAATTACAGGTGTGTATGTGAAGGCAAAATAGGTACAAGAATTTTTACTTACTTATATGCATGCAACCACTTTTATGATTTTAATTTATGTTCTGAAAATAAAGTTTAATTGGAAAAATCCATTCCATTCATCCAAGATTCCTCTAATGAATGTCCGAGACATGTGTTTTTATTTCAAATAAAATACAAATATGGACATATGAAATAAACTTCAATTTATTGAACAATTTAGGATGTTCAAATTCGATGTTTGGTGTAGATGAATGAATAGTAAACGCGGTTATAGATTATCGCAATTTTTGCTTATGAAATTTAGCTTTCATGCAATAATAATGTAACCTTTGGAATTTGTTACTAATCTCGTGAATTTCTTTACCAAGAACAAAACACTTTTATATCTAATTTTTTCTCGTTCAGAAACTGAGCATCAACAATATGTCATTTTTGTTGGATTCATATTCTCTGAAAAACGTTTCTGAGCTCGAACTTTTCGAAGCAGCAAGACAATGGCTTCTATTTGATTCGGAAAGGTATATTTTGCTTCAATATAATTATCAAATGAAAATTATAGAAAATAAATTCATACCTATATCTTATTAAGACTATATTTGAAAAAGGTTTGGAATGCGGAAAAGTACAATAGTATGCTGATCAATTTTGAGTTTTTTTGAAAAATATTCCGAATTCAATTTCGATTTCTATGCCATAAAAGTACACAAAAACGATGAAAAACACATAATAATAAATTGAGCAAGTTTTCTAAATCCTCAAGTGGCATTCATAGTTGTTACAAAAGTATTGGATGCTTTGAAACATCACGGGGAAACCGAGATACGAGTATTTATTTTGCAGTATTTTGTTATTGCCTCATCACTAAATTTCTCATCTTTTTTTTGTTTTTGTTTATATAAGTTATAAGCTGGCTCTTATCCAGTGATATAAAATAATTTTGTTGTCAAAACAGGTACAAGAATGTACGTCAGCTGATGGAAAAGATTCACTTCCCATTGATTCCACCACGTGATCTGTTACGTTACGTAAATTTCGTTGACTTTATGCGTCTTGAATGTAACTATCTACTTCTGGAGGCATCAAACTATCACATGCTCCCACATTCCCAGCCGATACTCCAATCAGTCAGGACACAGGTATTATATTTTCACCTACATCTACATTTATCGTACACTTACATTTATCGTACCCCTATTCATTCAACACTATGGTATTCTATTAGTAATGTTGCTTTCATCATTAGGATGTTGGAAAACGTTAAGTTTATGTGATCTAGAAGAAACTTTCTGTTTCAAGGTGCGTTCAACCGACAAGAGGATGGTAATCGTTGGTGGGGTTGATCAACACGATAGAGTGTCCAATCAGCTTCTGGCAATCAATGATGACATGTCTAAATCTGAATTTCTGCCTCCGATGCATGAAGGATTGTGTAGCCACTGTGTCGCAGTCCTCAACAACTTTTTGTATGTCTTGGGAGGACAGAATCTGTTTGATGAAAGAGGAACAACTGCGGTAAACACGGTCATTAGATACGACCCTAGGTTTGTGAATCTATCTCTATTCTTCACTTGCAAAATGAAATATCGACTGGTTTCTTTTGATATTGTATTTTTGTGTATCAAGATGTAATTAGTAATCAAATGCGTTACTTTAACTCCAAGCACAACTTACAATAGATGCGCAGTCATCAAATTCATGGAGGTGATTCAACTCTGCTGTAGTATCAACATACACTTGTGAACGAATGAATACCTTGTAATTTCAACTAAGATGCCAATTCAACCAACTTTTATAAATCAATGACTATCAATAAATATCCCGTCTCTTGACTTACCAAAACGGCAATATTTCAATGCTAGATGTATCTATTTGAAGAAACATTTTCCAATGTCTTGCTTCATTCACTGTATATTACAACAACAGGTTTAACATTTGGATGAGAATTGCTGCTATGAATGACAAGCGTGCTGGATTCACAGTAAGCGTTGTAGAGAACCGTTTGTATGCTCTGGGCGGAGTGAATAGCAGTGGAAGACTGTCTTCTATGGAATGCTACTCCCTTGAAGATGATAGATGGAGATATGTTGCATCAGTACAAACTGGCTTATGCGATCACGCCCAAGCTGTTTACGGAAACTTGGTATACATCAGTGGTGGATTCAAAGAGGGAAGATTCAGCAATCAGTTGCTGGCATATAGTCCAAGGTAGAACATAAAATTATTCTTTTTACGCGCTCAAAATTACGACAATATTGTGCATAATTATGCCAAAAAAATCAAAGCAGTAACCAATTTAATATGATTTAATAATCTATGCTAAATTTCCAAATATTTAATTCCAGGCACGATACTTGGCACGAAAGATCTTCAATGCATTATGCTAGAGGATGGCACGCTATGGTCAGTTATGGAGACAACATCCTGGTTACTGGCGGAAATAGCGGTCTCACTAAGAGAGTCGATATTCATGGTAAATACAATATGATTGAACAATGACTGCCAAATATAAATTCTAATCTCATACTCACAAAATGAAATACACATAGTAGCATAGTCAGTATTTGTGCTTATCCACTTTGTGTATCGTAAAAATTTATAGAATAATTCGTACTCAAAATTTCTATAATATTCACAGAAACTGAAATATATAGTGGAATGACAGACCAATGGACATTAGTGTCCCCACTGCCGATGCCGCACAGTGAAGGTGGATGTGAGATATATGATGGAAAAATATATCTGGTAAGTCGTTATTCAAATTGTTTTCAGGTGGGAGTTAATATTCATAATTGTAATAGATTGCCATGCAAATGGACGATATGAAATAACCTCCACAAACACCGAAGTTCTGAAGTCCATATGCAGCAGAAAAATATCCTAATTTTAATTACTGGCGTAAATATATCCTGCCTAGTACTTAACACCTCAAAGTTTGTAAGCGTGAAATATCATGTTCTATATTTATACCTCTCTAATTAAAACGAGTTTGAACTCAGAGACAGAGTTTCATTCAAATAGTCACTGAACTGTCGAGCATAACATTTATGTCACTTGGTACTTCAAATGATTTTTAAGCATTGCGGGGAGGCTATTATCTTTTTTGCTATTGCCTATATTAGTAAATCATTAATTTTATTTCTAAGGTTGGTGGCTACAGCTGGGCACATCAGAAATGTTTGAGTACAATTCAAAGTTACGATCCCGCAAAAGATACTTGGGAAAATGCTGGAAATCTTCCAATTGAGTTATCAGGCGTACGACTTACTCTTATTACCATCCCATATTCTGTATCGCCTCGTAATGGTCTTGTATCCGGAGGTCATGTCCCACTCTCCTGGCCACCCAAGCAAGTGCCTGGACGCTTCATGGAACAGGTAGGTAGTTTTATATTTTTTGAAACCTGATCACATTTTGTAGTTTGAAACAGATAATCCATCATGTCTAAAGCAAAAATAATCATCAACAGTAGGTTCGGTTAAATATGTATCTTGTTTGCTGAACATAAGTTTATTGTTAATCGTGACGTCTTAATGTATATCTAGGATCCTCGAATGATGATGGGAGGTATGGCAGGTATGCCGTTGATGGGCGCTATGATGAGTATGCCTGGAGGATTCCCAAGTACAGGTCAGATGTATCATCCTGGCACTCAACCAATGTCTGGTTTCCTGGACCCTACAACTCTACAAGATATGAGAGAGGCTATGGCTAATATAAAGATGAGTGGAGATCCGAGGTATGTGTATTATTTGAAATATGACAATATTCCAAATATTTGTTCTAAAATCTTCTTATTTATTTATTTTCTGTGTTCAGACTCAGCCAACCGCAGCCTATGAAACGAACAGAACCTTCTAGAATACGAAGCAACCCATCATCTCATAAAGATTTAGCTTCTGAACTAAGTTCGGATGACCGCGCTCGCAGTCAAGACGATTCTAATATATACAGGTAATAAAACTAAAATACTAGTATTACATTTTTCTATCATTTACATTGTAACTTTATGTGCAAAGTGCATTTTTTTGCAGTCGACCACGTAGTACCAGCATAGATGATACTATATCTCTGGGTTCGCGGAATATCTTGTTCGGTAAAAATGGACTCGAAAGCGGACCCTCCGAGGCACACACTGCAGTGTCAATGCCGCGTTCGACCGCCTCTAGTGGAAAGTCTGTCAAAAGTGCAAGCTTCAGAACTCCCGTAGAAGAGAAAAAGAAAACATCTGACGAGTCTTCCAGCTCAAGTGACGACGATGATGAAAATAAAGCAAATTCTTCCTTAAAAGTAATAAAGTCAAAAAATGAAGATAGTGAAGTGGATGAAAGTACCATTAGAGCATACAGAGGATGAAGATCGGCACAAGTGGAACAAACTGCAGAAGTTCACTGCAGTACTGTATATATACCGTCGGCGTCTAAACTTCTGGTAAACAACTCCGGATTAGACTGTATATTCATATTAATTGATTGTCACAGCTAGTTTGCGAAAATTTCTTTACAAAATATGAAGAATGTAAATTTTAATGAGGAATGTCTTGCCTAAATATTAGTATATATATATATTTATGACATTTTATCAAATTTTGTTGTACATTTTTAAAATAAGTTAGTTTCGTTACTTATAATCTTTGCGTTAATTTAGATAAAATTGATGATCAAGTAATTATTTTATTATGGTGAATTTAATAAAATAATCGCTCTTTATTGTCCTTCTACAAACCAACATATGAAAAATAGAGGAATATGATCCAAAATATACAAGACACCCAATGTCATTGTTTATTAATTAATCTTTATCGTAAAATTTATTTGATTTCCATAGAACTTGTGTATATTTCGTTTTTCAAACAATAATATGCTTGATAGAAGTTTCAATGACGTTGAGTGTTAACTGCAAAAATTGACAGAGGTTCATAATCGCATGTCATTGAACCAATGAAGACAATTTTTGTTATTCTTGTAAATTCATAAATATCATTGGAAAGTGTAATTAATAAAATTTAACACAAAATATTGCTTCCTCTTTATTGGTTATTATAATTGAATGCGATTTGTAATGATATTACCGGGGCATTTAGGCTAAGCTGAAGCAGAACTGAAACGTTACCTGCATAAATCGCGAATATACGTGGGATGTTTGCCTCGTAATCATAACTATTGTTAATATTATGTGTATATTTAAAAATATACTTTATTTTTGAGGTAAAACAGTTGCAATTGTCAGTCATTAATAAATATCAAATATTGTTAATCTTTCATGTCATTTGAAGTCTCCGCGTGTCTGTCTAATATTGTCAAGTATAAAATAAAAATAAACCAGCTATACATCATACAGTACTAATAGTGAGTCATATTGACCGAAGAAAACACTAATTCAAATAGTCTATGAGTATTCATTTGAATATATGACTCAGCTAGATAAAGAATTGCTATTCCGCAAAGAAATCCAGAAATGCGAAATACTAATATCCTGTAATAAGATGGTTGTATGATGATATTGCTTGGAAAATATACAATACGTTTGTTAGTTTGGCTTTACAACTTATAATAAAATAAAATGCAGAACATCATGCTAATTTAGAGTTTTGCTAGAAATTGAAGAGTAATGTAAGCTGAGTAATAAACATAAGTGTAATAAATACTACTATTAATTTCAAAAAATTTCAGAATATATTTTACGAGAGTATTTAATTTATTTTGGACTCACTGGTTAAAAAATGGAAGAAGAAGATTCCAATATTTATGAATATGCAAATGGAACAAGCTCGTGTGGAGGACTTCCGAGACCTAAAAGAGAGGAAAACACATATGTGATTCCAATTCCTTCTCCTCACCCACCTCCAACGCTATCATCAGATGTGTACGAATCCAGTGAGCAAAACTTTATAAGTATATATATATAAATTAAGTACCAGTAAGCATACTTGCGGAAACATTACCACAAAACTCCCAAAGTAAAAAAATAGACGAAAATAGAATTATTGTTTCTGATTTTTCAATTCTCAGTTTCAACAACACAAAGTTTCCTTTGATTGATTGTAGTTGGTTGTAGATTATCACCTATTTCGCCATAATTTCCTAAGCGTTTGGATTTTTCAGAATATTAATCGATGCACATTCAGAAAGCATTGAAATATTGTGATTTTTCCATAGTGGATACTATCTTTCAATCATTTCTTCTGTGTGTGTGAGGTAATGTAACCATAAAAAACTCATTTTTATTTTTCAGTGATGGGCCAGTACCGACCCTCTGACTCTAGCATTCAAACTTCTACAACTCGCAATTTTGAAAAATACAATGACTTGAATAAGAAAATGAAACGTATCATTGTATATTTTGTTTTTATAATATTCCTCTTCGCTGCATTTACCATCGTCGGATTTGCATTATTACAAGTACGTGTCAATATTCAATAAATAAATGATATGGCCGTACACCTGTAGCCAAATTCAGTCTGAGAAATTTCAAACAAAGCAATCAAATCAATTTCGGCAATACTTTTGCCGCATACTAAATGATTTGAAATTTAACGTAAAAACTAAGAGATTGTGTATGTTATTAAGATGAACTTCACTAGAAGTTTGCATCTGGCATTAACAGTGAATAAGAACACATTCCAGTTATTTACCTTCATATTAGTTGACCGTTGTCAATATCGCATTGAATTCAACAGAGAGAGAGAGAGAGAAAGAGATTTCTTGTTTCTTCAAACAGAAAACAAGCGATGGTACAATAAAATAAAATATGCAAGGTAATTCGGTATAGACTGGAGGGAGCAATACGACCACAAGGTCATCAAATTCAGCTTCTCCCAAGGCATATGTGCAACCTATATTCACCATAATGACATATACAATTTGCAAGGTATCACTATACTATACTGTGTAATAAAATTAATGCGATCAAGCGATATAATAAGTTAGATTTCTTTTAGATGAAGCATGACTGCTTATCTCGGGATCTGGAACAAACGTCACACGCTTTGAATGACTCGGTCAAAATTCAGAAGCAATTGCTAAGAGTCACAGGATGGTATCTTGCAACGAATCATAGAATTTACAAACTCTATAAAACAAACATGACGTATTTTGCTGCGGAAAAAATCTGTCAAAGTGAAAACTCCCTACTCGTCACATCGGGAATAAGAGATCCCGTAATAAGAAGGTGCCGTAGCTTATCATTATTTTTAAATGTGGCCAATTTTACAATACTTATATAATATACGAAAAGATTTCTACAAATATCTAGTATATTCAGTTGAGCTGCAAATTACGACATGAAAATATATTAATTTAATGCATTTATTGGTTTATTTTTTATTATTGTTCACAATTCACTATCTGAAGGGCATCGCCTACAGCCACCTACATTCACAGTGTTAGTATTGAAATTCCACACTTTATGGCTATAAATGGAGCAGTGCTGCCAACAATTAGATAAATTTTATAGTCTAATGATGCATATTCCTGACATAAAACAAATTTTTATTGCGAAATATTGAGGGAGAGTCAACTCGTGTTTGTTCAAAATTGAATTGAACAAGGCGACGGAAACATTAATCCGTCAGCGCAAAGTTTGAACAATGGAAATATTTTGACCTGCATAGCCTACCAAGTACCAGAAAGTGGCTCAATTTTTTTTTTTCGTACAATGAATGTGTCAATGTACAATGTGGTCGAATGTAATAACGGCAATCGTATTTTCTTATTTTTTCAGCGAGTTAATAAAAAACGTGGTACAACCCGGAGGCTATGATACATGGATCGGTGTCAATGACATTAAAAAAGAAGGACATTGGGTATGGTTAGACAATGTGACGTCAAATTTGAATGACACTTATTGGATGGAAGGACGTCCAAATAATTATAACGGCAACGAGAACTGTGGTCATTTGTGGAAAACACACAATTATAAAGTCAATGATGCTAACTGCAAAGAATTTATGTATTTCATATGCGAAGCTTGAATAAAAACAATTATACTGATGGCACCTAACGAAACTCTATACCTCAGACATTTCGTCATGTTATCCATCTAATGTGTAATGAAATACCCTTGGAAATGACGAGCTGATAGCTTTCCACTGAATACTTTATCGCTTATCGAGAAATGTTGTTTCCAGGAAATGGGTGGCTGGTACTGAAATGAACTATCGAACAGTCTCGAATTAAAGAAAACCAATTGTGTTGGATATAAAATATCATTTAATATGAATAGAATTATAGAAATTTAGAACAGTGATTGGTCATGACTTCCGGTCAGTGTTGTCAACTTGAGAAGGTCAAAAGAGGTTTTCTCAATACAGATAACCAGACAAATCGTAGAAGCTGAGAAATATTTTTGGTTAAGTATGTCAAAATATTCACTCATTTTGTTTTTGTGAATATATTAAAATTATATTAAAATTATATTTCATGAATTTACACAATTTCTATCAAAAAATAGTTTAAAAAAATTTATTCCGTTTTTTTTTTAAATTTTTGCAGGAGTTGTAGAACTATGTTGCATTTTTATTTAATTATATTATTACTTAATTGTTAACTATTGTTGCATTCGCTAACAATTCCTGTCGTTTATTTTACAGTAATAAATCATTCAAACAGTATATATTTCACATTTCAGAAGTAAAACATATAATTAAAATCGAATATACATTTGGAGCGCATCATTTTGAAATGAAATTTCAAGAAAGGCAGTTTGTGCAGATTTAATTTCAGATAAAATGAGTTAAAAAGCTAATAAAATTTTAAACTTGAAGAAGTGCCTATGGTGCGTGGTACACTATTTAATAATAATGTATGCATTTAAAACGTAAAAACTGTCAGATATTAGAATTTTCACTCAAATACTATATTTGGAATAATATTTGCATTTAAGGAAAACATTTTTCAAATTTGGTGAAGGCATACTAGGAATATTTGACGACTACCACCTTGCCACAAATTGGGGTAATTTTGCAATGTAAAAGCTTCAGCTACTAATTTGAAGGCGTTTAAAACTACTAAACAGCGGGAGAGTTTATATTTAAAAATCGTAGGACGAAATTTTGTAATCATCAAATAACAAGTTAAGATTATCGGCAATATTTAAAACGCCTAATTTAAAATTTGTTGAAAAGTTAAAATTGTGTTCAAATATCAATAGAAGTACATTTTTTCGTAATTGCGTGTAAATCATTATCAATCAAAAGTTAATTAAAAAAATAAAGATATTCAATATTTTTATCAGATTATGTTTTTCGTTGTCATCATCTCTGTCTTGTATAACTAACCCATACGTGGCCATATTGAATAGGTGCAGAGAAAATTCAGTCAATTCTGTCAACCTGCAACCTCTTAATTCACATTATATAACAACATCAATAATGCAGGTGCTCTTGACTTAAATACAAATACAATACTGCCGTTGTAATTGCTTCCTGGCGTGTCAGCAGCTTCACTTAGATACGAACAGTAATGCTGACAGCTTTTATTTGATGAAATTTTTACGACTAAACCTGTATGAGTTAGTTCTGCAGTGGACTTCAGCTTCCAGATATCCATTCTTTAGCAAGCAATTATGATCTCCAGCTACCTGTTCGTAGGCTACTTATTAAATGGACTACTAATCAATGGTAAGTCATTAGCATTATGTGGGATTATACTTTGCTACGTTGTTGCATTGTTTACTTCGCCAGTATAGAACGAGTTTTATTCCAATGAATCCAAAATTTTTAATTGCAAATGATGTTGTATATTTGAGCAACTCTGCTAATACGAAGCTAACAAGAACTTATCAATCGTAAAACGTACTACCACAATTTATTGTAAATTCATGTTAAATATTTCATGGTAATTATCTCAATCTTCTGGTATAGCGCATTATGATAGAATGGTAAAAGTAAGTATCAGATGGAAATTCAGAAGTAAATATGAAATTCTACGCAACATAAATATTGTATATATATACTTATGGAACTATAAGGACATGAATGCCATCAGTGCCGACCGACTGCTATTTTTATTTTATGAACAAAATGTCTTTATTCAGTTCATGCGAATGCAACTTCACTTCTTGTTTTATAGTTAGTGGAGATCCAATCGAGCACGAACTGTTAGAAGATTTGTTTTACAACTACACTCCGCTTGAAAGACCTGTTGCGAATCACAAAGATTCATTGCGAGTGAATTTAAAGCTTAGTATCCAGCAAATAATTGATATTGTGAGTTCACGTATATAGTGATTCTAGATCTAGAGAGTAACACACCTCCGAAAGTTCAAACAAGCAAACATCGATGTAATATCTTATATATAGGTTAAATGAAAAATCTAAAAGCATGATCACTAAATTACGTATGTACAGGATGAAAAGAATCAAATCATGAAGGCTAATGGATGGATGGATATGAAATGGAACAACTATAGAATGACATGGAATCCAGAATTATATGACAATTTGACGAAAATCAGAATACCATATGACAGGTAAGAAATAGAGCATAGTTGTTTTACAAAAAAATAAACTATTGGAATATAACAATAGCAAAATAACACGAAATCACGAGGATCACATAGTATAGTAAAAGCTATGACACTCATGATACATGAATTCGCACTTTTCTGTTTTGAAACCAATTTGGAATATTCCATATACCAAAATTTTTCTTTTGCACTTAATAGGTATTAATTATACAGTTAGAGAATGAGTAAAAACGTTATTTACAGACTTTACAATACATAATTTACTGATTTATATTCTCAGTAGCTTCTGGCACTCACTCTGTGATCAATCTTCCATTGTCCTGAGCGAGTCAGCATTACCTTTCTTCGAGCAAATTTCCTTGTAACAAATACATTTTGGGCAAAATTGAAGTGTGAGGAAAATAATGGAATAAATGCTAGTAATGCTTCACAACTAACTGTACATTATTTTCAGAATTTGGGTACCGGATCTACTTCTGTACAACAGTGCAAGTGAAGAGTTTGATCCATTTATTCATACCCACATAACAGTTGACCATCAAGGAGGAAATCTGTATGTACCTCCAGGTAATATTTTATCAAAAAACATTCGAATAGGAAAGTTCAAATTCCCCTCTGAAATAGATGAGAAAGTGAAGCCTCCTGATCAAAGTCTAATTTTTATTTTATTTGAACAACCAGCCAGCTATTATTATATTGCCAAAAGGGTGTCAACTTCTTCAATTGAAATGCACTTATGATGTGAAAGAAATTTTGTTTTACAATACCAACCAATGCAAACATTTGACTTTAATCGATGTTTTCACGTTATCCGTGTGCTGTTAAAAATATTCAAATTAGATAGGTGTTTTTCCGATTGTATATTAATTTCAAATCCAATCAAAAAACAACATAATTTCAGGTATATTCGAATCAACATGCAAAATTGATGTCAGCAATTTTCCGTTCGATCAACAAATTTGCAAGTTGAAATTTGGTATATGGACATATACCGGCGAAATGGTGAGAAAATCACGAAATTGATTGAAATGCTTTTTGTATGTGTTTGTATTTATTTTAGTACGTGTTAGATATACTTTGAACGTATACAGTACGATAGGATTTTCTACTATAACCGAACAAAATGTGATAAATTGGCGAACAAAATCGATGTGATTAGTCCAAGAGTTGCTTATTACACAACTTACTCAAAACCATATTATGTATACTGAAAACCACACCATATGTTCAACCCATTCCGTAGAAAGGGCGTTGCAAAACCCATTATGTATTTGTCAAAATGAGTTCACCGCACTGCGCTTACAACGACGTTTCGCAATTGTGACTAGATATAATAAGAGAAAATTCTATAGAAGGTCCTCATTTTATCGTGTTTTCCCCCAAGATTATGCATAATTTAAAGAAATGCATTAACGAAATTACGGCCAAGAATGTCAATGCATATCATAACAATACCCAATATCGTATACAAAAAATACACGTGGCAAAATACGAGTGACGTATGTCATAGCTAACCATAAAAAAACGATGACTTCAATTGCACACGTGAGATTAACTACATTGTCAAGAAGGTCAATAGACTAAAGGGTCGCACAGAGTCAGTAAATTTAAAGCCGAAATATGAAAGAATTGCACCGAACAATTTTTGCACAGGACAGACTAATTTGATACATCATTCAATTTTAATTTTTTAAACATATAAACATCCAGACGGTTGACATTGCAAATTGTATATTGACTATTTTGAATAATGAGTTCACAGTTTTCTCATTTAAGCTTTGATTCTGCTTGCATAATATCCGGTTTAGAAATGTTTGTCGTTAAATAGGTCCCAGTTTCTATATTTAGGAAGACAATTGTAGGCAAATAGAATACATAAAAAACAATCAGAATACCAAATCTATTTCACTCTTAGGTTGATCTACAAGTAGAACCTAGTTCGGGAGGAACTGATATTACAGAATATATGGAAAATGGAGAGTGGATGTTACTGGACGTCAGTGCAACTCGACATGAAGTGCAGTTAGTATATTAACAGTAGTTATACACATACGAATATTTCAAGCTTGGAGAAAATAATAGACGTTTGGAGACATTTGATTTCAAGCAAATGTCCAGTATACTGTGCGCCATTACATCTTGTAGTCCAATCTCAACAAAAACAAAACAACTCAGTTGGCTTATATGTATTATTTTGATGATGAAAAAATAATTTTCAGATACAAATGTTGTCCAAATACCTTTATCGATATTACATTCTACATGACACTTGAGAGAAGAAGTATGTTCTACGTTGTGAATCTTGTCATTCCATGTATACTCAACTCACTTCTCACTCTCCTCACATTCATATTACCTGCTCAAGCTGGAGAAAAGATCACACTCTGTTGAGTATAATTTATCATATCATTTGACCTTTTAGTGATTTTGAGGGTTAAAATGTACTTTTTGATACTTGGTATTAACTCAAAGTTTCATGAAGGTCTGTTTTACTGATCTTATATGTTTGAACTCTTTCAAGTCCCGTTACTTACTGACGGAAATGACCTGCAACATCATAATTTTGTATGGTTTCATCATCTATTGTTGTTTCACTGGTCACCCGCGACTTTATCCATATGAAAATGTTCGAAACTGTAAGTGAGACCCACAGTTGTAACAGCCCCTTACTAAAAATTACTTTTACTTAATGCGTAATCTTAATTGAGGCAAATGCTTTAAAAGCGGCATGGGACATCTTTATTTTATAAACCATGACGTGATTTACTTTAAATTGGCACTACCAAATGTGTCTGTCTTATCAAACGACTGAGTTATTATTTTTTTTTTTTTTCAGCAATAACCGTACTACTTGCTCAGATTGTCTTTATGTTACTAGTCATGGAATCAATGCCGTCAACATCGGATGCCATTCCTCTGATAAGTATGATGTAAAAACATTCATTAAATAAGCTTAGTTAGTTCTGAAACTGCGTATTCTCTTATCACATGAAGGTTATTAGTACCAGTTTTATAAAAAAAAAGTATAAATTGAAAAATTAGGAATTTAAACACAGGAGCCTTGAGTGAATATCAGAAATAAATTTGACAACTTATTCGTTTCAGGCAAGTACTTCTCCTTCAGTCTATTTTATGTCTGTGCATCTGTTGGAGCAACAGTCTACGTACTGTCTTTTCATTATTGTGTACCTGAGCTGTTTGGACCTATGTCACCAAAGGTAATAAAAATGTTACCTTTCCAACAGTAGCCTACTTATCGTAACGTATTTGAGCAAAATCTTAGCCCCAGTTACTTTATTCTCACGTTTTGTATGAAAAATTGCTTTTCATTTGTACTCCCAACATTTCACTATATCTTCTTCTCACTAAGCTTATTTCGGTTTGAACTTGAGAAACATTCCATGAAAAATTATTTGAATAACATGGATTCTGAAATGGCAACAACAATATATAGAGACATTTATAGTTTTATTCTAATCGAAAGTAGGGGATGTCATACTGGCATTTGACATGGAATATATATAAGCATAGGATATGAGGAAATGATTCCATTTATTTATCGATTTTTGTCAGGTTTACCTTAAGTGCCCTCGGCTAAAGTAATTCAATCTATTGCCAGATATCAAAAATAGTTTTTGAATTGATTTCATATGGTTATGATAGTTTTTAACCATCATTTGGTGTTGCCAGTTAGGGTTAATTCACCATCACATTTTGTTTTATTATATATATATATTCGAAATTAATATTCGTTTTTTTCATGCTATTGTGTATTACTTTTTAGATGAGAAAAATATTTCTTCATCTTATGCCTAAGCTACTTCATTTCAAAAAGTATCCGAACGGAGAATATCTCTGTGTAAAGGATCCTACAAAACGATTAAAATGTCTGTGTAACTTCGATGTTACACAAGACCTGTTTGATGACGAAAAGTCAGCAACAGGATCTCAGTCTACGACATACAGAGGTTAGAAATTTATTTTAGTAAATACTGTGATACAACGCCGAATATACATATTTATATACTAACCGTATAATATAAAACTCATTCTGTCCAGAGAAGAAACATGAGTACCTTCATTGTACGACAAAGAAATAGCCTACTTCTTCTGGCATTTCTTGCTCGGAGAAAAGTTATGAATTCGAAATATCCTAAAATAAAATTGTTTCTTTTAAGACATTAAAATGCTTCAGAGTCTTCATCGACATCTGAGATATGTTGCTCATAAATTATCTGGAGATGACAAATGGGAATATTCCAGACTTGAATGGCAATTTGCTGCTAGTGTATTGGACAGGTAGAATATAAGACTAAATATATATTTATGCAAAATATTTCATTGAAAATACGTAATCAGATCGTCATTTGTTAACTAAATTCCAACGTATACAATGGTCGTTGACGCTAACCGCTTCCAATACTCATTTTGCACTCATGTTATATTTCCAAAATCGCTCATTTGAATAGACTTGTCAGAGCTGTACATTTTTATTAGAAGTAGGTTCTAATCAATTAAAAAGCGTTGGTTATCTCAAATTATTCTGCTTGGCAACATAAACTCGCAAAAATATTTATATATTTCTTCTTGATTTCAGACTGGCTTTGTGGTTTTTTACTATTCTGGTATTCGTCGCAACCTTGTCTACATTGTTCGCGATTCCTTCAATCAACAAAAGTTTTTATTTCCACGGTCATTCAAATTTGAACCCGTGAAGAGAGGCCTTTGTTTATACAAATATGGATATCTTGTTATTAAAACAAATCAGAATAGATATGTAAATATTTTATTCAAATAAATAAATAAACAGTGTAAGATATGCAGAGAGAATCTATTATAGTCATAGACGCTGTGGTCAAGCCGGAGAGAGGCAGTTATCGTCTGCAAATGCTCACTCGAAAAAATAAATAAAAATAAGTTAAGTCTTAGTTACACACTTTACATACAAACTTAACGTATATGTATGCCATGTAAAAATGTAAAACATAGCTAAAGCATAATCACATATCGCATTGTAAAAGAAAAGGTATTGCTCCAGAAGTAATGAATCACAACTGGTTCTCGTGTGTGACAAACTTGGCACAGCCATATATAAGGGTAAAAGAGTTAGTTTTAGTAATATATATTGATACATGATCACACGCTGATAATGACCTATATAAATAATTTGCAACAGATTTCGTATCGTCATTCCATTTAAGATAATTGATTGCGCTCCAATACACTACGCTGTCGTTATTGGAAAAAGTAAAATCAACTGGGGATATTAAAATTTAGTGACTATACGAACACAATGATAAATGATTGTTCAAAGTGTAGACTTTTAGAGTATTAGCATTGAGGGCATTGTCATTGATTCTCAGTTACGACGCATATTATTTTGCTCGCAAGACTCTAAATCCCATGGCCTATGTCCCAGTGCGTCCCATAGAATTCATTAGGGTATCATTTAAGCCAATTTTTCAGATTGGAAGCTGAATGTAAAATGATCGATGTTTGGTGGAATAGGAAGTGAAAAACAATTGCGCGTACTTTTGTCTTTTTAAATGAAATCAATATGGGGTGATAAATGGAATCCGATCAATAAAGCGTTGGGAATCCAAATAATCGAAGCATAATTAAGCACTTTGTATGCTGAATAATGATATGTTCTCAATGAAGCAGTGATGTCATGCATATGTCAATAGTTCAATTTCACATCATATATTTCAGGGACCTCGAGCAATGCACTTTAGGGAAAAGTCATTTAGGCAGTCTTCCATTTTGCATTTAATATAAATACAATACTGTTAGAATGGCAGCCTATAATATCTCCAAAATCATGCTGTTATATTCACATCTTTTGCAAATGGTGTGTTGTGTTTTTCTGGGTCATGATCAAACAGTGATACATCGGGCAGAGTAATCTTCATCTTTTCTGATAAATTGTTCAAATAGTCTAAAACTTTTGAATTTACACGAACGCACTCTTTCTTATGAATGTCTTTTTTGCCCTCAAGTGATGATTGCTTTTTAACAACCATGGATTGAAGCATATGTCTCCTCTGGTAGGCATTGAGGGATTGATTACTCCTCATGCTTGTGGCACTGTGGATTCTGGGCTTTGCCTCTGCAAAATAGGTTACGAATAAGTAAGACGCAAATACCAAAAAATTGGTTTTCTTCTTAAAGTTTATGAAATGTCTCAAAGCACACAGTTGAGTTTATATAAGTAACTTACAGCCGGTGTTGTATAGTTTCTATCTAAATATAAATTGGGATTTTACCTAAATCAAAAATACTGTTTCGATCCAAAATCTCATCAAATCTTCCAAAACACATATTTCAATTTTTATGCGTCAATTACAACCGGCCAATTCGAATACAAATTGATATCACGCAATTCACAGAAAGCAAGCCATTTCTTATTTTCACCGTTTAACATATTATTCAAATGGTGGCACTTTGGGCCTATTTGATCAACTGGAAATAGAGGAAGGTTGATATTTATGTTTAAAAGTACGGTGCCAATTTAAAGGCGATATTCTGATTGAATTTCTTCTAAATACTTATTTTTTGTGTAAATATACCCATGGCTCCACCGTAAAGACTAGCAGTTTCTTTCTTTTCCTCTTCTGCGACTGTTTCCGGAACTACTAAAGGTTGACCACGATCTTCCTTTGGAAGAAAACTTTGCCTCCTAATCAAAAATAAGCAACGTAACCGCACAGCAAAAATAAGTTTCAAAATAATTTTTTCGTAAAATTGTAAATCAACTACGCATTTCTATGTAGACATAGGAATAGTTTTATTTTGGTTTAGCTATTACTCGCTTTTATCAAAATCGTTTAAAGTTTGCGTTTCGCCGATTTTGGCAATTTTACGCGGAAAATGAAAGACATGTAAAAAAATGAATTACTTTATATCAAAATAGAATCATTTGAATAAAAGTACATGTGACGATATAAAATTAATTTTGCTACAGAACGATATTTACGTACCTGCTAAATGGTCGTGGCTCAGGTAATTGTATTACTCCAGTCTCCGGACCTGCGGTGGCTGGGGGTTGAGGTGCACTGCAAATCACACGCAATAAGAATATAAAAATTGTTAATATAACCTATTAGTTGTGACGAATGTGAGAAATACTTGAAAGTCTTTCCATATTCATAAACTAATTGTTATCAGAGAATATGTGATCAAGCGATATTAAAATAAACAAACCTTGACTGTACATATATATTAGTTGTACTACCTTTCCAGTTTGTTGGTTATACAATACGAAACTAGAACTAAACAATTTTTGGACCTCCTGAAGTATGCGCACCAAGATGGCGTACAACCTGAACCCAGGTTGGGTATCAGGTGAGGGTTCAGGTTGTGCGGCATCTTGGTGCACATACTTCAGGAGCACCCAGTTTTCAGTATTTCTTCGATTTTGTCTTATTGTCGTGCAAAGGTATTATCGAATATCTGACGACGTTTAAGATTTAGGTTCAATTCTAAACGAAGACAGAAATCTCACTGGATCAGAAAATTCAGATATATCTTACACTGAAGTGGACATCGGATCGCGTGAACCTCGTCGTGGTCCTTGTTCCGTCCAAGCAAATCTAACATGTGGAGGAGAAGCATCGGGTCCACCAGGTTCATTATCTTCTTCTATAGGTTGGCCGTACATGATGTCTGGTTGGCTGGTTCTTGCTCTGGTCGCCTGTAACATAATATCATGTTTTAAGAGAATGCCAAGAGAATTAAAGGTGGAAGGCGGTCATCTGTGGAAATCTTCTTTATGAGCAGCCAAATGGTTTTATATCGCTATGTACTTGGATGTACTTAAAATGATAGATACAGAAAATAAACTATAGTTGTCTTATACATAATATTCGCCTTCTTCGTAATGTAAGTTACTTCTATATAGATGTAGAAATGTTATATAAGTCCGTGGGGAAATTTGGTGGTACTCCTATAATCGACTAATAGAATATTTTAATCAGGTACCGACATTCTAATTTTGAAATAATTATAGTTCAGCTCTTGTCAATTTACCGTGATTAAGCACTTGATAAAGTCATTCACACGTTGATTCATTCATTTTGATTCCCCACGACGACCCAGTGTCTGTTTTCACCCTATTTGCTTATACTTGAGAAACATTATAAGCTAAGTATAATAAAGTGTTTTTCCGTGACAGTTCGACATACAAATGCCATTGTAGTTTATAATTCACGCTATCGACGCTACTCAACCATCCTTAAGAAAGTTTATCAGAAAAAAATATATACTTGACTTAGTTTGCTTAGTTAGATAGCATACTGCCATATTATCAATATGTCGTCGATGTGTGTGGCACGAATTATGACGGTTTAACTGATATCGTCATCCTTGACCACAGTTAGTGAATTATTGAGCAAATATACACCCCGTCAGAAGAGTATATCGTAAACCCACAAATTTTGCTGGTTTTTACAATTGAAATTGAATACTAATATACTAAATCGTCTTACTTATGTATATAAGTTTTAGCAATAAATATAATTCACACTTCGAAATACAGATTTTTATGTAAGCAGGTCTGTTTTACCATGCTGCTGTATTACGGTCACGCTTTTATTTAAACATGTTATATTATCCACTTTGCACCCTTCAGGCACGTCGTAACATTGTCCAAGCGTTGATCAAATTTTGTAGCGTTATAATTGATATCAAAAATTCGTATATATAACGATCTTACAGAATGATTGATTACTAAAGTTTGTCTTTTACAAAACATGGACACATACAAAATTAAGCGATGGTACATAATCCATTGCTTTGGATTTCTCAAATGAAAGTTGACGTAATGAGCTACGATGGAGCAACTAAAGAAATATCATGCAAATCTAGAAAAATAAAGCACTCACTGGTCTTGGCGATCCTCTTTCATTTGATGCAACAGACGCGGGTAAACTCATTCTCCTTGATGCCGTAGGCGAAAACATGAAATGTCTTTCGGTATTAGGAATACCATGCTGACTATAGCCAGTATTCTCCTGTACTCCTTTTAGCCATAGCTTTGTTTCTGTAATTTCTTGTTTAACTTGACGAATCGCTCTCATATGCTCACCTTCAATCAGTCTTATCGTTGCTCGAAGTCTTTTATTTTCCCTAAAATTGATACTAAAAGCTTTTTGCACTCTGAAGGAACTAAGAGTGGCGGGTCCACCAACTCCACCGCCTCTAGACATGGCCGAATATTGCACGGACTTTTTGACAACTACTGCTCGCAGTATCGATAGAATTTCTTTTGTTTGCTCGTGGTTAGAGAGCGATTATGCCTGAATTCATAATATAAAAGTTTGTTTGCTTGCTTTCAAAACAAGAACATCAATACCTGATGAAGTTCGCTTCTCGTTGACTAACTACAGACAGGTCTGCTTCCTTTGTGTTACTTCATACCAAACAATACAGACGACAAACAAACGAATTTTTAAATTTTTCGAACAGTAGAGATCTGTCGTCGCCAACAGCACTATACACTGTAATGAAAAATATCAAATTTATTTACATTTCGATGTATGCAACATACCTATAATATGAAAAACCGATGAAGTGTTTAATATTAACTATCCAGTAGTTGCCAGTGTTGACTATTTCATAATGGCGACCTGCTGCTTCATCTGGCGATTTTCGGAAAATAATTGCAAAATTTGACTCACACAACTGTTATCAGTAACACGAATTTTGCAAAAATAAATCTGCATTTTGATAATAGTGTTGATCCCAATTCTCCATTGTGCAAATAATTTCTTTGAGTTCTAGATATCATGTTACGCATGGCCACAAAACAAAATGTTTGGACGCGATGTAATTCATAATCTGATATCTACAACAAAGGTTCTTTAATCGTAGGCGTGGTATTCATGCTCTACCATTCACACGGAACATGTCAATTTTGTTAAATACCTGTCGACAACGATTCGATTATTGTTGTTTTCAATTAAGTATAATAAAAAATACGTTTCATGAGAGTCAGTGAGTTCTCTTGTATATTCAAGTAATTGTACATCCTACATTTCAATGTCGATTTGCTGGATCCGAATGAGTTTACAAGTGCTGCGAAACGCAAATGAAAGTTAGGCTATTTTTCCGTTTAATTTGAAATTGAAACTTCCTGTCAAAAAAAGTTTTATTGTAAACATTCTCACTGTCGGGGCGTTATATACGACAGTGAGAATTTTCACAATATTCCAAGAACAGAATTGTGCGAACCCCCCGAATCCCATCATAAAATATACCCGATTTGACATACTGTGCGCGCGACAAATACATTTTGTAATGTTTTCAACAAGGCTTCGATTGTTTCTATTGTAACCACATGTGTTGTAACTCATTGTAACAACATGCATTACAATAAGTTTTAAAAGTCAAGACGTACAAAAACGAAAAAAACGAGGTAACTTAATGTGATACTAAAAGGAGTGGACCTACAAGAAACAAAATAAAAGCGCAGAACTGCTAAAAAAGCAAAAGATTCAAAATAGGAAAACCAAAAAACGAAATGAAGATCACAAAGTAAAATGTTGAAAATCGATAAAACTCATATGAAACATATGAAATAGTCTCGAAAGTTTCCCCGAGAATCACCTCTAGCTTTTTGATTAATTCAGACGTAATATACATTTGGGGATATTTTTATTATTTTCTATCATCAGGCACGGTGAAGTCAAATTGAAATCTACATTCCCGATCACACATGACAATGAAATTCCACCAAATGTAGATCATATAAAAATTTAAGTAAGTAAGTAAGTAATGTACTTAGTGAGTAACTAGTATTATACAGCATTTTTACATCAGTGGTAATATCAAACATGTCCTAGTTTCATGCTGATACATAAATATTTTAACGTATATATACCTAGTTACTTACTCTTGGACTTGTTTACTTCACATACAAGTGCAAAAAGTAATGGGCTTCCAAAATTTAAGACCGATCAAGCATACATAAAATAAAGCAATGGAACCTTGTCTAAACACATATATTTCGTTGTGAAAATGATCATGTATGTGTAGCGAGTACATTGGGGTAGTTACTGTGTATTTCAATATTTTCACCACGTATTGTTAATAGAGCATGTTATTCGCCTGAAACAAGGTCGTTGCTCTAATTCATTTCCTTTATGATTTATTTTCCTCACTCAGTGTTGCTTGTCTTTAACGTTCTTCGTTAGTTAGAAATTTGGTTTCATCACATATACTTGCGTTAAGGTTTTAGGTGAATTTCGTTATCTGTTATTTGGATCAAATCGATTGTGCAACTTTACAATATACGAACATTTGGCATTCAATACATTGTTGCTTTATTGACCTCTGAAGGAGTCAAGATTGGAGTTACACTCTGTTAACGTGTGTCCAATAACACGGGGGCGTGGACACGAAGATAGGGTAATTGCCCCCTATATATGCAAGGATTCTATGAGAGTAAATGTTCATGAGTACATTATCAAGTACAGTACATGCACAATTATCCATAGGTGTAAGCGCATGTGTGTGAAAATGTACATTGTTGCAGATATGGGCTCACGTGAATAACAATTCCCATGTGTGCAAATTGCCTTTAATGTTGCGTAGCAATAGAGATAGAAGTAGGCCTACTTGCTGCAATTTCGCGAGCTGCAGTTTATTTATCTGCTGGCTCGTTCACAATGCTGTACATTTCATAATGAACTCCGCAGTTAAAAGCCAGGCCAACGAAAATACTACTATCTCAAAAAGTAAGTCCGCCTTAGGCCGACGGTAACGCGTTATTGAACTATAGAGGGTCAACATAGAGATACCACCTCTGTGTGACGTCATAGTTCCGCATGAGTAAAGAGGTATGACCTTCTCAGCGCTTAACTTTGCCGCCAAATATTTTGACCGAAGGTTTTTTGTTGCCCCAAGCTGCGGGCATTTTTAAGTTATTTTGTAACGCTTCGTATATATATATATATATGAGTAGATTAGCTCTAAAAATCACGCTAGCTTTCGTTTCGATGCGATATTTATGTCACAGACTGTGAACTTGACCTAACACGGTACGATAACCTGGCACCGGTACGGTAACTGCTGAACTGACAGCAGTAGCAATAATATTATTCAGATATTGCTATTTCATTTTCGGTAATTTTGCTTTCAGGCCCGTACCACAGTATTGTAGACAACGTAGCTCTAATCTATCTACCGGTGCCGGAATCTGTTCAGGTCCTTGGCCGTACCAGACTGAGTCCATCACATGTAGAGTTAACACCATATAGTAAGGTAAGCTAATTGTGTTGGTTTGGCCGCACGACACGCTGATGAAATCCCTGAAATGGACTTATTTCAACTAAAATTTTTGATTCGCTGCCAATGCCCTTGACTGTGGTAACAGGATTTTCAATAACTAATTTTTTTTAATACAGAGTGATTTGGGAAAATCTTTTTTATTTTCAGATGAAAGTCAATCTTGCAACTGATGGGCTGAGCTGGAACGTCGGCCAATGTTTAAAAACAATGAATGGGACGAATGGAACTGCCAAATTTGTTTTGATGTTTGCAAAGTAAGTCGGTCATTTTTTAAAAGAAAAAAAATTCCCTATTTTTGTGTCAGTTATGCATGTATCGTCCATTCAGATGGTATGAAATTGTCAACTGTTCCTGTAATTGCCCCATACGATGCGTCGACGATGATAGACTGTCTTGGTTGAAGAATGACTTCATAGGTTCACTGTTGGAGTGGGAAGTGAGTTGTATTTTTTGTATGGTTTTATTCAATATGATCACAATCTCTAAAAAGATCTACAACCATAGCATTTGAAGATTATATTATATTTACTATGCCATAACATTGGAAATGAGAGATGTCATTTTGGGGTTGGCTATTGTTATTTTCATGCATTATTTATTCTTGAAAACAATTATAGAATGAGCATGGTGGAGATGAAAAGAGTTTTCTGGCTCGCCCAACCTTAGAGGGACTGAAATTCACCACACACAATTTCATAGAGATGTGCAAATACCTTCTGGCAAATGGTTTAGAATATGTGTCTTTGCACTGCTTTAATCAGGATGTTTTGGAAGCTTTCTTCGGAAATTTGGTGAGATTTTTTGGGGGGCTGAACTGTATGGGTATCTATCTAGCCATGTATATATCTAATCCGCAGCATCACATTCATAGAGACAACTTGGATCTAGATCAAGCAATCCAGACATATCTCAAGTAGCCTATGGAATAACCCAAATTTCGCAAAGAAAGATCATCAAGAAGGTCAAAGGTGGTAATACAACCTATGGGAAAGCGAATGCCTGGACAGACATATGTGGACATCCATTGCCATCAAAAAAATGAACATTAGCATAATTTCGGCTGCAATCATGACTTACGATATTTAGAATTTGCAGATTATGCTTTTTCTCTTATAATATCGTGGATTGTTGCCGTAAAATCAATATTGGTCTTTTGTTCGAAACATTTGACCATACACACAAGGCTTTGGAGTCGGAAGTCCAACATTTTTTTATATCGTAGCTGTGCGCAAAATTTGGTTGAATTAATCAGAGTCAAATTTTTATCGTAATATCCCATTCAAATTTTTCAAAACTAAGCATTGAATTGACTAGAGTATTTTCAATAGATAATTAAATTCAGTAAGACTCAATAAAGTTTTTGTAAAAGTTTGGTTTGTTGTAGCCTGTTTCGAACGCTTCGTCAAATTTGAATTATGGTCTAAATTTACTGGACTTCACAGCCTGCTCGGAAACTTATTAGTGCTGTTTTATAATAGCATGGCAATCAAATAACAAGTTTGGATGGCAGAAGATTGAAGTGGATGATGCAGTTTATTGCCTGGTGTATTTGAGACTTTGTGTATTTTAGTCGAATCAAATTTAATTGGGTGCTTTTTGTTTGGTACATAAGAGAAACACTGAGATAACCCGGCCCATACAATAATTAAACAATAGACTCAATCAAGTACCTCAAGCTTTTTATTTTAGCAGTTACTAAAAAAAATTAATTGAAAATATGACTGTTGCTGATTTTTGCCAAATCTGGTGTAGTACCTCTAGAACAGACACCAGACCCCGGGGCCCTCTTTTTGAATAATTTGTAAAACAACTTTCTTGCATATGCATGTGAAAGCACTCTTATAAATAAACTCGTTACATATCTTGCTATCTTGACACTTTCTTTGTGTCCATTGCAATAGGGTAGCATGTCATTGACATTGGTATCAAAATTTTGAGACTCTTCTAACTTATTTTCAATTCCTGCAAATTCTATAAGATGTGGCTGTTTAGCACATTCCTGCGCTACTTTTTGGTAAGCCTCTTCTAATAGTGACAAGTATGCCTGAGTTGGATACTTTAGCTTTCCCTCCGGGAACTGCAGTAATGGGATTGTTGAATGGGAGGGCCTTTTTGCACAGAGGGAGTCCAGGGCTTTTGCTGATTCTGCAAATTTAACATACCCCTTTTTCAGGGTATATCCTGCAATGTACTCAATTATGCCTTTTTCATAACTGTCGACCTGTTCGCAAAATAAATTCTTCGGGGTGGCAAATGTTACATTGTCATCCAGTGGCTTGAGAATGTAGTTGGTTATTTCCAACATGGCTTTCGCTGTAAAAAAATTTTCCGTATGCCCAGCGAACATCTTTGGCGAGAGGTGTGAGCATTGAGAGAATTTTAGCATGACTTAGTCAGCTCCTTTCTCTCTGGCAAAGACTTGCATGAGGGCTTTTATAATATTCAAGCCTTCAAATGTTAGCTCTAAGTCGGATCTTACGTTATTGACCAATTTTATAACTTGATCATCGGAAACTTCCGGAGTTCTTCTATTTTTTACTTGTGTTGATGTTTTCGAATGAGGAAATTCTTCGATTTTATCGAAATCCTCAAAAAGGAACTCAACAATTCTATGTATCTCGTTAGTAGCCATTACGGATAAATAACAGTAAGTAAGATAACCTGAGTAAGATAAGTTACTAAGTAATAAACTAGAGCTAGGCTGGGTATGTGAAAAATAATTACTTACAGAGATTGTGCAAATTGACAATCTAAACGTGGTAATGCTTTTGACTTTTAATTAATCAACACTCCTTTTTTTTCTCACTAATTAGGCTATGTGGCTGATTTCAGACAGATAACGGTTTTAGCATCGATTTAGTATGAGAATAAATGGTAAGATAGCAGTCCAATAAAAATAGAGTAAAATACAGTGGTTTTCAATCGCAGAGGCCAATACAATATTGATAGAATACAGTAAAGAAACATATTTAATAATTCTGAAAGCAAACTACCGAATCAAGACCCTGAACTGATGGATTGGCTGGATACGAACCCGCGACATCTTGACACCAAACGGCCAACGCTGAAATAGATCGCGCTGAGAAAAACATCGCATTTCCTACTTCCGTACCTCTTTACTCATGTGGAACGACCTTTGAACCCGCGAGTGAATTCTCTATTATCATTCTCTGTGATTGAACAGTCGCTCGTTGGACGATAACTTAGCGATTTTGAGATCGGCATGACGACCAATTTGGTGGAAATTTTGATCCCTTTTCGACGTACCGGTACCTGTAACACTCGGAAGACGCTCGCGGTACACAGTTTGCGGAACGCTGGGCTACAGCAATGACATGAAACAGATTTGCATATCATGTCGTTTGTTACAGTAATCAAAAATTAGTCCCGGGAAACTGCTATAGTACCTATTGCTATTGGCAGCACCTGGTTGTATATTTTGATGAAAATGATGTTTTTTGAACATTTAACTTAGTTTTTTCTGGGGTCAAGGGTTGGGGAACATCCATTGGCATGTGGCAAGGGCACCCAAAGTGACTATAAAACAACTAACGTTAGATTTGAAGATTGTAATTTTTAATGTTCCGGTACCGTAACGTAGTTCCATGCAATACCGGTATGGTATATTCATTGTCATTTTGCATTAAAATACCAGAATGAAAAATCCATTTGCCACCAGTACTTTAGTAGCTAATGTAGAATGTGTCGTGTCTTCTTTAGAGTAGAAAGCAGAATTATATTTTCAAACTTCAAGAAGTTGAATCAGAATTTTCATTGCTGCATTGGCGATAATTAAAGTCCAGAAGTCAAATTTGTTTAACGAACCGGAAAAATTATGTTGACTAGCTTTACAGCATTATTAACATTAATTTATTGCAGGGGTGGGCAACATACGGCCCCAGCCCGCGACGAGATTTTGACCGGCCCGCTGACTGTACATCAATACATTATTATATCACATTATTACACTTTTAGTACATTACAGCATTATGATAAATTCATTATGTGATTTTTGGTTTCTATTTTTTTGCGGTTTAAAATTTACTTCAAACGTCATTTAAAATTTTCTTTCTTGCATTAGCGAATAAATAGTCTATGTGATTAAGATATTGAATATTATTCATGTTATAATCCGGCCCGCCGAGAACTTCATTTTCCCACATCTGGCCCGGCGGCTAGAGAAGTTGCCCACCCCTGATCTATTGTGTCTGTGTGTAGTTCACTAAAGACTGAAAGAATACTTGCAGACTTAAGGACTTGCATTCAGCATCAGGTTACAAAGTTTTTATTTTCATAATATTTCATTTGGATGTCGGAATTGAAGTTAAATTCCAAATGTTTTTAACATTAAGACCTTAACTTCTGATCTTGGAGTCCATTTTTCTGGACCTAATCTATACCAAGGTTTCCCACCCAAGAGAAATTCTTCCCTACCTGCTTACAGCCCTAGGGAATTTTACAATGTATTTGCTCTAGTATTACCACTTATTCGTATTCTTCAGTTCGAATATTGGATAGGATTTTGTATTCATGCTGCAAAAGTAAGAATAATAGGGTCTAGTATAGTACCACACACACTTCTAGTGGGCGTAGCATAACAATTTTTTACTGTGTCAGTCCTAACCCCCATCTGACTACTTCATCCAAAAATTATCGTCCTTTAAAATATGCGGACTTTCATCCAAGACGCGCTAGTCTGTGCACCCGAAATCGAACAGCTATTTTTCTCATCGTGGCGATCCCAATATGAGAGAGAAAGGCTGATGTTAGTAGCCAGCGTCGATGCCATTTCGGGCGATTGTACGTGTATTTGACAAGCTCTATGACATGATTGTGATGTCGTAGTGACATAATTTTCGGATGACGTAATCAGATGGGGGTTAGGATTGGCATGTCGAAAAATTTTGATGCTACGCCCAATAGAAGTATATGTGGTACTAAATTACTGTATACCAGACCTGAATAATGTTGGTTGACCTGTAATAGTTGGTTCAAATCCAATTTTGTGTTTTTAAAAACAATTTCAGATAAATTGACTGTTTACTGTGCACTGCTATTGTAGCGGTATTCAAATTGTTTTTTCATTGATCACCCTGAATCTTTGGAATATGGAAGACTTTCAGTCGGAAACATTCAATTCATTCAATCGAGGAATTGGAAAAGATATCAAAGATTCTACCAATTGTACAAATGGGAAAAATTTTAGCTTGTATGTGGTTGGCGTCCCTCCTGATTTCACCCAGAAAGGATTGCATAATCTTTTTGGTCAGTGTGGTGAAATATTGAAATTGAATATTCTGCCCCCAAAGCAGATTGGTTGGCCAAAAGTTAGTTTTGTTGAGTTTGGTAAAATGACTGAAGTACTGAAAGCTTTGGAAATGTACAAAGAATTCCCTATTGGTAATTATACTATAAAAACAAGCATTGCCAAAAAAAAAGACGAAAGACCAGCCAAGTTAACAAATGATTCACTGAAAGATGTTGATCTAGGAGAATGTGTGGAGAAGAGTATTCAGCTGAGCCGCGATCGGGCAGAAAAACGTTTTGAAAAAATGAGAGAACAAAAAAAGCAACAACGAAAAGAGGAAGAAAAATCAAAGCAACCATGCGCCGTCTGTTCAAAATTATGTCTTTCAACCTGTGGACAATGCAAAACTGTGTTTTACTGTGGATCAACTTGCCAAAGAGATGATTGGATTGGACACAAAAAGGTTTGTAAGCTGGCTGATCATCAGCAGCACATGAAAGATATCAGTGGCAATGAAATGAGCGATTCTAGTGATAATTTAATGGTTGAAGTAGATAATGTATTTGTTGATTCTGTCAAATCACATGTACAGTCGATTGCAAAACCAATCAAGCCCGATGTGAATAAAACAGATGATCAATTTTCTCAAAAAAGTCCAACACCAGCTGTCAATGCAGTGCTACCTGACAGCGTATCAGTTGGAAAGATGGTTAAAGCTTTTATGGTTGATTTACAAGTGGAGACAAGAATTTTATATTTCCAGCTCGCTCCAAATGCTGAATCTGTGCTTGCGACATTAGATCATGCAATAAATGATTATTATGGACAAGGAAAGGGTGTTGAGTCTACCTCTGTACAAATTGGTGGAATGTATGCTTGTAAGTTCTCAATCGATCAACGTTGGTATCGAGTGTATGTGCAAGATATGAATGAAGAAAAAGGAACGTGCAATGTTTGGTACATTGACTTTGCTAATTGTGAAAATGTTCAAATATCAAACTTGATGATACTTCAAAATGAATTTTTAGATGCTCCTCCTTTTTCTTTGAGGTGCAAGTTGTATGGCTGTGATAGAATTAAAGTTGATGACATAGTCCAAACTATGGGCGAATACTTGAATCAATTGCCAATTGAATTGGAAATCAAGAGTATTGTCAATTCGATAGCATTTGTTGCACTATTTTTTGATGTAGAAGGTACTAAAACATCTTTAAACAAAACTTTGATCGAAAAGTTTTTGCCAAATATTAAGCAAAACACTTGTCCGAAAAAGGACAATGTTGTTAAAATATCTACACCTGCAGAAAATGTTTGTAGTCCCAAACCCACTCAGTTGAACACAGGATTGCGTGTTGTTCGTAAAATTCCCGTGAAATCGGACCTTAGTTCCATATTTCAAAAGATAAAATTCAAACAACCCAAATCTGAAGAAATTTTTGAGGCGGTGATTCTGGATCCAATCATTCCGATTGGCAAATTTGATGCTGTGATAAGTAATGTTAATGGCGTTCATGACATTTCTTGCTGTGTTATTGGACCTCAACAAGAAGCTTTTATTAAATTGCAAAAGGATTTATCAGAATATTGTGAAGAACATTTTTTGCCAGAAAGTTTTACAGAAGGAACCATCTGTGCTGCCAAATGCTCAGGAAAACCTGGATGGTATAGAGCTGAAATGCTATCTAAGGTCAGCGAAACTGCCATTTCATTATTGTTTTTCGATTTTGGCAACAAAGAAAATGTAAATGTTGAGAGAATATCTAAATTTCCAAAAGAAAAGAAGTTTTGGGATCTTGAAAAACAAGCAATATTCTGTAAATTGAAGGATTGCTCATCTGGAAGTGATGATTTTAATACTGAATGCTTTGGTTTGTTAAAAATATGTGAGAATCAGATTGTGACTATCGAAGTTGATGGAGATGACAAAAAATTTCCTTTGCCCGTTACTATTTATATCAACGATGACTCAACCGTGAATGAGTATATTACACAGCTCAAAATTCAATTTGAGTCCTCTCAGACAACTCATGAGGAGAATTTGACTGAAATTGAAATTGCACATAAAGAGGATTTGAAAAAGTACGAAACTATACAGGTATTGGAGAACGTGCTTGATGATATAAATGAAGGCTCACATCACGAGATTGCACTGACACATGCTGAAAGTCCAGAGCATTTGGTTTGTCAATTTTTTGGTGAAAATCAAATTAAAATACAGGAATTTACTACAAAAATGGCAGAATTTTATGATAGTTCCAATTTCGGAGATTTTGAATTAGTCCCCAACGAAATTTATGCTGTTAGATATAACATTGATTCAATGTGGTATAGAGCAAAAATTTTGGAAATGGCAGCTGAAACCGCTTCTAATCAGGATTTTTTAGTATTCTTTGTGGATTATGGAAACAAGGAAAAGGTGAAGAGAGAGGATATCAGAACTCTTTCACCTGAGTTTAAAATCTTACCTATTCAAGGCATCAAGTTCAAACTTCTTGGCGTTTCTAGTGGAGACAGATCATGGTCTGATGAGTGTATATCGATTTTACAAAGCCTTTGTAATCAGAAGTTTGATGCTGTGTTCCACAAAATTGCAAAAGACGGTGAAGTAATAGTGGAGATTTTAGTTGATGGCGATTCCCTTTTTGAGCAACTTGTTTCAGCAGGTTTAATTTTCTCAGAGAAACCACAACTCACAGAATTGCCCGTACAAGAGAAAATGGAAGAAACTTCAATAGCTTTGTCACTTGAGAAAAATACCAATGTTACAGAGGAAAATACCAATTCATTAGCAACATTACCCACGGACGATTGTAATATCGTTACCAGTCCAGAACCAGCACGAAAAGAACTAGATAATGGTCCTCCTGCATTGGATAATCCAATCATCACAAAAGAAAACAAAGTTGAAGGTAAAAATACATCACAAATAATTGATCAAGCAAATATACCATCTGATCTGAAAAAAGTAAAAATGCCTGAATTTAGTGAAACATCAGACAAAAGCCACTCGCCTGATGAAGCACAGGAAACTATGATCAAATTTAAAATTCCATGTGTTATACCACCTTCTGACAAGGTTTCACCTATTGGCGTTGTATATGCTAATGATCCACACAGCTTTTTCTGTCAACTTTTGGGTGATGAATCTGCAGAAATTGCAAAATCCCTCACAGAAATCAATTTGATTTGTGCAGAGAATCTTCATCCGAAAGCATCGTTTTATGTGGGAGAATTTTGCGTCGCATGTGCATCTGATAAAGTGTGGTATCGTTCAAAAATTCTGCAATTGAGTGAAGCCACTGAAGAATGTTTAGTACAGTATATTGATTATGGCAATGAAGAGCTTGTTAATTTCAAGAAAATTCAGGAAATGCCATCAGAAGTCGCTGAAATTGAGTCTCAAGCAATACATTGTAAGCTGTATGACTGTATACCAATGGAAGGTTTGCAATGGTCGACTGATAGCATTGACACTATCAAGACTCTAATTAACCAAATGTGCCAAGCAAGATTTATTCAACAGGAAGGAGACAAGTTTGCAGTTGAACTACTACTTGGTGAAAATCTTGCTCTGAATGATTTCCTGGTACAACAAGGTATGGCTAAACATGAGCAAAAAGATGATATAAAGCAAGAGGAAAAGGAATGTGTTGTCAGTGAAACAAAAGGTTTGTCAATTTTTCATATTTAAAATGAGTGATGTCAAAAGGGTTTGTATTTTTCCAAATTGAGGATTCTCAAAAACATATTTTGAGTTTGCGGATAGATATTTTTTTACAGTTAGTTATTTTTTGCTGTAATTCCTAAGGTAAAATTATGAAACCATGTTGAATTTTACAAAATATTTGAATTATTTAGATGTTCTGTTACATTGTGTCTGACTTGGCATTTCCTTTCACTTTTATCACCCTATTAATAAACCTTTGTGAAATATTTCATTCTTCATATTTAATTCAGCTGAATCACCGAAGCCTCCATTGCTTGTAAATGAAAGCATTTCGCAAGATATAAGCGATGGTGTGGAGTGCACTTTGGAAGAGGGAGATATGGTTTCAATCCAAATTTACAAAGCAACATCACCTGATGAACTTTATGTCAAAGTAAAATCAGACATGGATAAAGTGTTTTCTGTCAAATGTAAACTTGCTGGTAAGTTTATATTTTTAGGTAATTCTAGTAGATTGGACAGTTTAATGGATATGCCTACTCCCTGGTAGTGGTATAATTTCAATTCAAATTTAATAACAATAAATATGTAAGCATCTGTGTATTTTTAATAATGATGGAAATTTTTAGATGTTGAACTGGTCATTAACCTATCCTTTTCCCGCCTTTTTCTAAAGTTAATTTTTAATATTACCCAAAGTTTAATAAATATTGTAAATTAGGAAATGTTGATTTAGATATTACAGAAAAGTTGAACATTGTTTTGATTCTTATTCGATATTTAAAAATTTGAAATTTTTAAATGACATTATTCCAATTTACCTCCGAAAACAAGAGTGTTTCATTCTATTTCAGATATCAAACCTGTTGGTGAATCATGGTCGAATGAATCTTCAGATATTCTCACCATGTTTCCATCTCACTTTATTGATGGAAAAATCTTTAAGATTGAAGATAAAAACGAAAAAGGCAAAATATATATTGCAAAAATACCAGATGCTGTGAATGCTCTGATTTTGGCTGGCCTGGCTGTGTATTGCATGTAATGACAGAACAAATGTGTGCTGATCTATTCCAGTGAGTAATGAAACTTTTGCAGAATATGAAAAAATAAATTAGGGCATGCCATTATAATTTGCTACTTCAGACATTTACACCACTTGTATTACTTCAGTTCATACTAAATTACTGACATCATACTCAAATTACAGCATGCCATTGAAAATGGTCAATGACATGACTAAAAAATTATAATTTAATTAGTTCGAAGCATCAGATAGATATTTGTTTATTTGTATTGTTAAGCAAATTCCTCTTGCTCTCTTATGCCTTCCGCATTCCAGTAAGTCCAGTTTTTAGTGAGATTCATTCCAGTTTAACTGTATATTATGTAAGTTTTATGTTCAAGCTAGATAGTCTTTTGATGCCTAGCTGGAAGTGTGTAAAATTCACCGGGTGGTCATTCTGTTTGCTGCGTGTTCTGTCTATATCATTGTATGTACATTTCTTTCATGGTTGTTTACTTTATTGTGTGATTTTAATCATGTTCTGAAACCGTTTGCATATTTCGGAGGTTCATCAAAATGCATCTCATTTAATGATATTCTAGTCTTCCACACGGAAATAATACCATAAACATACTTTTATTTGGTACCGGTAATTGTCAAGACGAAAGACGATATATCCCTGTCTTGATCTGACATGGGCAAACTACGGCCCACGGGCCAAACAAATCCGGCCCGTTTGGTACATTTGGTACAAATTTTGTTTTGCGCAGGAGGCTTATTGTTTTCCACTTTTGGAACACTGCAAAAACTTTGTTCATAAAATGTAACTTTTTACTTCACACTTGTATGCCCGCCAGTCTAGATATGCAAAATTTTTGGCCCTGGTCTGAAAATCTTACCCACCCCTGGACTCTTGATAGTTCATTTATGAAGAATATCAGCCCATCTACAAGGAGGACGCATATATCCTGGCTGATAGTCATATTTAAGTGTGATTTGTGAGACTATACCTAAGCTGTAAATGAGTTTTATATCAATACAAACAAAAAATTACAGCTCATTGAAATATTGACTGACAAGCGTTGTCAATCATTGTGTTTCTGGTGATATTGTTTCAACCATGTTTGACTTTTGGTATTTCATTCAATAGCATGAATAATTATGTTTTTATTTAATTTTTCCAATTTCTTTTACCAGTTTCACTCACTATATCTTTATAAGTAATTTCGTTGATCTGGTCAGATCGATTTCGTTACACAAGTTTTTTCTGTTCAATAAAATGTGCACGAATGGTAATGTCTTTCGATCAAGCGTAGCTTGAAGAACGAGATCGTATTGGTGTGGGATCGTATTGGGCATACATATTACCTTGCATGGCGTAGTATCTTCCCTACTAGGATTTATTACCTTGCATGGCGTAGTATCTTCCCTACTAGGATTTATTACCTTGCATGGCGTAGTATCTTCCCTACTAGGATTTATTACCTTGCATGGCGTAGTATCTTCCCTACTAGGATTTATTACCTTGCATGGCGTAGTATCTTCCCTACTAGGATTTATTACCTTGCATGGCGTAGTATCTTCCCTACTAGGATTTATTACCTTGCATGGCGTAGTATCTTCCCTACTAGGATTTACATATTTATCCCGACGGGGGGAGCAAAGTCGTTAGGACGGCCTAATCATATGGCGAACCACGTCTACTAGTTCGATTACCAGTCCATATCGCGTATAGGATTATTTAGCCAGTTATTTGTTTCATATGTATGGAAGGTGGAGGAGCCGTAACCGACCAGCGGCTAGGTGAACCAGTCTACGGCGGCAAGAATTCTAGCAATTCTCTGACACATGATATGGTTGCGGTCGCGAGAGAGCCCCCTTAGAAGTCGAAAGCTTTCAATCTCATTGTAAGTTAATCGAAGACGACCGGGTGCTCAAAACAAATAATCATACAGAAATGGGGATAGGTATGTGGCCTTCGTCGCACAGCGGATTTGATTACTACACCATTTGAAATGTATGCGTAAGATGGCGCTAGTAGTAGTATTGTTACTTCGAGAAATCAGCTCCGTCAGAGGAAAGGTAAATTGAAGTATTTTGATCAGTCATGGTTAGGGGTATTTTTGTAATTATCCCACGGAAGAGTATAGATCCGGCCCAAGTATGGAAAAATCGTATGAACAAAAATATCGCAAGGAAAGATTGCCAAGGGTTTTTTACAATCTCTGAAATCAAGATTCATAAGTTATTCGAATTCATTAATTTCCTCAGAAGAAGTAATGAATTGTTCTGAGCGGAATTAGGACATGAATGTACGGGAACATCCTTGATGCAGCGAATTCTGTTTTCAATTCATTTTTATTTAGCATTAATTGCTTTATTTGTCATCGCGTCATTTATAGTAACACTCTGAGCCTTTTTTCACAATCTTTATAAACATCTCGGGAGCAGCATAGCTGACGATCTGTGTTACTCAAAGTATTGTCATATTACATTATCAGACTCTAGGCATGGTGTGAGTCGAATACGACGAATCCGAAACCCCAATGAATTGAGTCGAATCTCCAGAGTTCATGTCATAATGGGAACAAAACTACAACGTCAAATCACCAATCCTATAGTCATAGTCAAGTTTATTTTTCCATCCAGTAATAATCACCTACGTAATTGACAAAAATAAAATTAAACACACATTTTTACTGGAGAAGGGAAGCCACGGGAAACCAAAATTGGTTATCAAACAGCGACACCCAAGATTCAATATCTAATTGAATTTCTAAGGTGGAAAATTACGTTTTTAGAACACTGTTATTATAGGTGAGTATGGCTTTAGCAGCTTAACCACTAACAGAATTCACTACACATGGAGGTTATATGAGACGACCATAAATGCTACATGGCAACATCTCTAATCGAACCCACCAGATAACTTATTGGATTCCCCGATTGGGCAGGCAAACAAAGTTCAGAGATTCTGAAGTGTGTGAATTGAGGGAATTATACTAGTTGCTACAGTAACTTCGCCATTCAATTCGATGCAGTGCTGACCGAGCATTGGAATCCACGTGATGTGATAAAATAATAAAAAATATATACATATATATATATAATTCTAATAGCATCAAATAGAAACACCAGATCTGTGCGGTACTAAATTAGACCAATCAGCATATTAGACGACGTAGCGGTACCGTGTGTAATCACTCACGCAGATGCGTGATACATCAATATGATATATATGTCGCCTAGTTCATTAAAACCATATTTTATGTATGGGCATGTCATTGAGTCAGCCGCTCTTCAACATATATATATATATGTAACATATGTCATTGCGCATGATAATATTTTGAAGTCAGAGTTCAAATGTGACTGAGCAAAAACGAAATAATAATGGACAAGAAATAACAATAATAATCATTTGCCATAATAGGAGACAAGTAACATGAAATCGAGAAAATTAGTCAAACGAGTAATGTAATACTTGCACAAATATCAACTATCACCAGCATACAATATTTAATAAGTCATTAGGATTTTTTTTAGTTGGTGGTATGAGTACAGCCACAAAAAAAAAGTTGTTACAAACATCCGGAGTAAGCCGAGAAATTTTTATCAAATTTGATTTGGAAAGTTGATAAGGCAACCACATGCCTTCCTTGTTTGCTCTTTAACATATATATGAATATCATATGTCATTGCTCAAGGCAATGTTTCAATTTCACAGTTTAAAAGTGAACTGATTAAAAATAAATGATATTATTGGACAGGAAATTCGATAATATTCATTTGTCACACACAAAGACAAATAAAATATGAAATTCAAAAAATCAGTGAAACCAGTAATATAATAAATACTATCAAATATCACACGTAGCCTATACAGTATAATATTTACTAGGTCAATAGGATGGTGCAATACCCTTATATATATATAACACGTATTTTATTTGTTTAATATGCACATAGGTACATACGGTATAGATTTTATTAGCACATTGTGAGAATGAGATTTAGAGATATTTCTTTCATGTGGCGGTACAAAACAATTAAATATTTTCAAGATCCTGTAATAAGTTACGTATGTATATAAGGTTGTATGGCCCATCACGTAATATTGGCTCAATGAAGTTTGTACTGAGTCTTGCAAATGTTAAATTACGGAGTTGTCAATTAATAAAAACGGGTCCATATCCAGATTTTAGCTCATTTCTAAAATCACAATTCCTTGATTGTGAAGTCAAATTTGATTGTACATCCAAGAAGACAATACCACAACGTACTAATTGCAACCAGTCTGCCCCAACTGCCCCAGTCGCGCGATAGTGGCGGTGAAAAGGAATTGTGGTGCTCGTGTGTCCCAGGGCCAGGCTGTTGGGCACATGTTTCGCCATTCTTGACCCAGATAAAAGTTATCGAGTCATATTCTTGTAATCTTCTTCTTACGTAATGTACAATGAATGTTTGATTTATGATTCAGTGCAGTGCCTTTTGTAATAAAAACCACAAGACATCATTCAAATTTTAGGAGCTCCAGAAGTATGTGCACCAGGATCGCGCACATCCTGGACATAGTATGTGTACCAGGTTAGGGTTCAGGTTGTGCGGCATCTTGGTGCACATACTTCGGGAGCGACAAATTTTATGGTACATATTGCAAGCATAATAATAAATTTCAGTCTATAGGTCTGTGACTCTTATGTGTAGTGACCTTTTTGAAAGACTCTCAATCAGTCATGGGATTTAAAATTTCAGGAACAGTTTTTTTTTTGTTTCAAACTGACTAACAACAGTTTCCCTCATTTCAGAAGATCTATGTACGTCACTATTGAGCTGCATTAACATGACATGCTTTATATGAATCTGGTACATACATTTCGAAATGACAAATATAACGCTATAAACTGCGTTCGTCTAACTTTTTATAAAAACGGTTTTGCTGATTACACGTCATTCCGAGAACGGGTTCGCGCATTCTACCACTGCTCTCAACACTTGTGGCCCCTTGGAATCCGTTTCCACGAGTTATTTTATGGGTCACGTTCTATAATAAAGTGAATGTAATAGAACAAATTCCACACCGTCGGTTTGCTTGTGCCGCCCAGAGAAACGGTCCGTGGTCCAATATAGAGATCGAAACCTGGTCTAGGTAAATGCTCATCAACAGTTTACATCTTTCTCAGAGTATTACTTTATCAATATAGCTATTTTTTCAAAACTACTCGCTGAATAAATCATTGAATTTCTCGCCCATAGACTCTATATGTAACAATAATGGTCCAACACTTTTTCCTTACCTACTTCTTTTTCCTGCAGTATTACAATGCATTATGTAAGTGTTCATGCTCCACAAATTCATACCCAGTCTAACCCATAATAACTTTTGGTTAGACGCAGTTGAAATCTTATGTTCGCTGGTGATGTTTTGGTGTCGCCCTTTGTGGCAGACTTATTCGTAGTTTTAACACACTTTTACTTCGAATTTCAATCGTTTGTACTCTACGCCTGTCATCAAGCCAACTTCTTTGAACATCCCATCTACTTCCGTTATAGAAACTTCTAGGCAGCAACTATTTTCTTATCCTACAACGGCACAATACATAATTTATTTCTTATATATTGTTTTATTATAAAAAGCACCGTAGCTTACTTTTTGAGATAGAGCGCAATGAAACCAGCAAAGCAAAATTATATATACAAAATGTAAATGGCACAAACTAATATATACAGACACAAGTGCAAAAACGCCCTTGACGTTATGGCTCATGGTAAGATAATTTGCCAAAATGTACAATCTGATCCAGCAGTTGTACTATATGAAAACAAAATGATTGTCAGGAAAGGTAGTTGATTGTATATTATTGCAAATATATATTTGAAATAAATAGTGCGTTGATAAAACTTGGAATATACAAATATTTTTGTTGCGCCACAAATATGTTTATGATATTTGAAATTATGATGAAACATGCAAAAAAGATTATAACATTTTTGCAATATTGCACACATCTGTGGCATTATATATATCGCGGGAATATTTGTAATTGTTTTAAGTGCATATTTGTAATAATAAAATTTAGTGCACGAATTAACAAAAAAAAAAGTATAAGTGCAAGTGAGTAATGAGAACTGTTTTTTTTTCAATTCTCGTATTTTATCAGTTCAAACTTCAGTAAGCAGAAGGTCAATTTCCATTCAACTGGCTGTGGCTTACTACTGCTCATCTCCAGCTTTACGTTACGATTGCGCCATGTAACATTGCGGCTAAGCTTTTTCCAGAAGCCAATTTGCATTTTACTTCTTCATCTCCAATTTAGAATGATGCAGGATAGAGTCAGTATTACTAAAAAAAAATATATATATATATATATATATAAAAAAATTGCGGTATTAAAAAGACCTGGATACAGTATAGATTATCGAATACCATTCCAAATGTAACTCCATTTGCGCTGTGTAAACGTGGAGGATAAGTTATTTGCTAATTCACCATTTCAAGTAGCGTTCTCCTCAAAGTCAATTTAAATCTAGTACACTTACCTATTAATAAAAAACTTATTCTTGCGGAGCAAGCCGCACAAGTGGGATCCGACCAAACAACAACTTTATTTGTAGTTGTGCATAATACTCCATCACATTTTCCAGGTACAATGTCACTTCCTGAAAAAATCAAGATAAACTGTTGAGTCATGAAGCCTAAAAATGCCTTGTTCTACATAACATACTTTCTCAAATCAATCTTGTATGTAACCATGAATCAGAATCACCGTCTGCTTATTACGTCAAGAAAAATTACTCAAGCGTAAATCCACCAGGTGATACAATATTACCACGCGTCTTACTTTACAGGCGGTTCGTTCAATCAAACTAGGGTCTAATGAGTAAGCAATGTCTTATTTATTACTAACACAGCATAAAGCCGAAATTTTTTTTCAGACCAGAAAGCCCTCGACAATATTGCACCTTGAACACTAAACTTCATATGCCCCATTCGTTATCGTATTAAATATAAGCATATACAAACTTGAACAACGCAATATGATGTACTATTTCTTTCACGAAATTTCTTTAATTCCAAAAGTTTTAATTATGAAATTAGTTTGCTTGACTTACCAGCAGGATACCATTTTTCTTCATAAAAACAACCTTGTGATGATGATGATGTATAATCGCTAGTTGACGATTGTGTGGCGCGAGTCAATATTTTGTTGACCAGGGTCGTCGAGAACACTACAATTTAAAAACAAAGATTTAAATCTCAGATAATATACTGGTGACCTCTAGGAATACGCTCAACTAATGATGTATGATACCGTCGTCTTTAAAAATTCCACATAAATCAAATGAGCAACGGCAAAATGTAATTTGTCGTCATGACCACTTAGAATATTTTCACATCCAACTGTCATGGGCTGATATGACTAACTTCGTAATACCAACCTACGGTACGCAGGCACGAATACCGAAATAGTGACCTCATGACGTTCCCATTATGTCACCATAGGTCAGTAAAAGTTCGCTTCCTAAAATTTGTTCGTCATGTATCCCTTTGTTTTTGAGGAAATCCTAACTATATTTGGATTATATAGTATAAGTTGTGCTCTATATGCATTGTTCAATATATATTTTAGAAAGAAGCCCGGATTAGATAATTGTCATTTGATTGCCTTGGGCATTTAGTTTTTAAAAGTTGTATATGATGAAAATTCCCTATACTGCAAAATATTTCTTGATGTGAAGGCTATTTTCATAAGTGTTATATAGCTAATTATGATTAGATCACGAGACAGAGGGAAAATCAATTGATTCAATTTAACCGTTTAATGACCGCCCCGAGAAAAATATATTAAACTTTCACACCAATTTTACATAATTCGTTACATGATAGTTTACTTTTATTTTAGAGTATTTTCATAGATTTACAAACGATTTGATTACTCACCATTATTAGGTGATGGGGATGGAGAAGCTTGGGAGTCTGGTGACCTAGTGGTTTCAATTTTGGGTGGTATTGATGACGTCAAAGGCGCTTTGGATGTGTCGATTTGTCGAGAGGTGGATGATTCAGTTTTTACAGTAGCTGAACATGAAAAAACAAAAGTCTACTTTATATGTTTTGAAAAAAATTAAACGCGATTGATTTGTGATCAGCCTGGCTTGAGGTCTTCGGAGAGTCTAATATCGGATTTTTAATCTACATAGTGGTGAAAGAATATGTATATTAAAATATATAGATGTTATAACGGCCTAAGTCGTTACACTCCATTCAACGATACATTATTTCCGATGGGGCCCCAAATCTGTTGGTCACCTACATTCGAAATATTTTATGAAGAGTAGATTTGCGTAAGATCATCAGACAAGTGGTCATTGATGCAACTACAAAAACATTCCGGGGAAGATGTGAGGATAGTATTACTTGCAGACTGGCCAGGTTTTAAAACTGTTATTTCAAGCCTCTGTTTTCCACTCGCAATTGCAAAAATACTCACTTGTAACATCTTGTGAACAATTAAACTCGTCTTCCCCTTCCAAACAATCGGATTTTCCATCACAAACCAGTTCGATGTTTATACATAAGTCTAAACATGCAAATTCGTCGTCGCTGCAGTCTAGCTCGTAATCTTCATCCGGTATCGTGGATAATTCCTCAGTTGTGGTTGTGACAGGAATTGTCGTCGTGTTCACTGTAGAAATATGAAGTTCGCTTATCCGATGTTTTGACGAATGTGTGAATAATTATTAACATTTATTCCTCCTATCAATAATTTGCTATTCGTACACTATTAAAATGATAGACTAAATTGAAAATTTACTGTTGCGTAAATTATTGGCACAACCTAATCCGAAAACTTGGAATTAAAAAATTATAAATTTGAATGATAAATCGAATTCAACTAGGCCATAACAGCGCGTGCTATTTTTCATGACAACATAAGTTGACTTCAATTGTTGAAAATGTCATACCTGGTGATGACGAGTCACAGTTTTTCTCATCTGTGCCGTTGAAACAATGAATATTCCCATCGCATAGCTGGTGTTTGTAAATACAAAATCCGTCTCCACAATCTACCTGGTCATTGTTACATTCGATAATACCTCCTGTAAATATGCAAGATAAATTTAGAAATGGAATAACTGATCGTTGTCCAAATTTATTTGAAATACCACTGGTGAGTCCGACACATTGTGACCACCAATATATTTGTCCTATCGTAGGCTAAAATACTATTCGTAAAAAATTTTTGGGATTTATAGAGATTCTTGATTACTATGAACATCTTCTCTAATTTAAATTCCCGTTCAACGAACCAGTCAACAGAGCGGAGCCTAAACTCGTCAGATGGATTGATTACCCACATCTGGGAGCGCGATCCGTCAGTGGCCATTCATAGCCTATCTAAAAAATCGTTCTATTTTTTGTATAGGAATACAAAGTATAGAAATATTGAAACAAAGATATTATTAGATTTTGAATTTCAGCGTGGGTGGGATTAGTCGGTCTACCGTCCCATTTTTACGGGTTAACAGTGGATCAAACAATGTTTATTGTCGCGATAAATTCCGGACGAAAGCGGAAACTAAATATTGTCTGAATATGTAGTGGGAGGTTATGTCTATTTTCTGTCATCCATGAGCTAGATATAGATGGATTTTTGTTTTAATGGCCAAAAACAAATACAATCGGTTGCGACCATGCAACCATCCCAAAACGTACGTAAAGCGTTGACGTAGCGTTAACCATGCAGTTTGGCGCAAAAATCCCGAATGATTTTCAATTTATTTTAAACAAGGCACCACTGTAACTATCACGAAGCCTAGTTGCTTGTGAATTGCTTTGTACCTGACCACTTTAGAAGGTGAAAAAAATTTCGGTCACAACTAGGCGAAAATATATCCATAAAACTATTTCAAAATATTTCAGCGGCATAGAAACCTCAACTAATAATTATATTTAGTTGATATATATACCAGTGCAATTAGCTTCATCCGCTCCATCACCACAATCAACTATTTTATCGCAAACTTGAGACTGTAGAATACATTCAGCATTTCCACAATCAAATTCATCGTTGGCACATCCGTAGTCATCATAATCGTCGTGATCTTCTGTCAAAACAAACTAATCTGTCAGGTTTTTCAATCGCATAGAGTAAAAGATCATATTTGTCAAAACAGGGATATTTATTGGTAAAAGATTGCGTACATCCTACGCCTAAAGCAATTGCTAATTATTCTGTACAAATATGATATATATATATATATATATTGAGATATTTGAGTACGGTCATAACAATAATATTATTACAAAGATTCAGTGAATATTCTAGAAACTGTGGGTACGAAATTAGAGGCTCATCAATATTATAAAATTAAACTTTGGCAACATATTAACTTAAGTCGTTTACAAAAGGCGTTGATCGTATTCGCGGTTGCCTAAGGTTATTACGTCCAACCTCAAGTCGACATGGTAAACAAATAAATTACGATATTGTCTGAGTTGAGGTTATTTTTATCGTGGCAATCAAATATAACGAAAAATGGTTTTGGAAAATTACGTAAACGATCAATCTGTATTCATAAGGTTATAGCTTATTCCTATAATAATCACAAGTTAATTTAACCCAAGAACACAATTTCGGGTTCCTAAAGGCGCGTGGGCAGCCGGGTAAAGGTGACACGAATGACTCTACGAAAAGATGGTAGTAGAATAAGGCCCGGAAAGTAGGGAAATAAACAAATTAATTTAATTTCTCTACTCTTCGTTGACTGTTACATCCATGAAGATGGTGATTTATGGGGATTTAATTGAAATCATTATTTTCCAATTTAAATTCAAGATCCTGACCCGCAAGTCCGTTAAACTAACTACTGCTCTTTTTAACATTTTTTTTTTCAAATTCGAGCAATTTATTTGACACAATATAAAGTTTTGAACCTAATTTTTAGCCACATGACGTGACTAAAGCGATGTATGCACTTCTAAAGCCTAAGGGCAAAAATTAAGGAGTTTGAATTCGCATTGAATAAAATTTTCGGGTGATTTTATGTTAAAAATTTATTACGTGATGCATCACATGATAAAGTGTTTTTTTATTCGGACATTTAGAGAAATCAGTAAGTGAGAAAATTTTAAGTACTCACCAGTTGAATTTGCCTCCAATGTTTCATTTTTTGTTTCAACCATTACCTGACTCGTCACCTTTGAAAATAATCAAATGAGTATGTTATTTTTCTGCTTTAAAATATAATAATAAAAATAAAATAATAATAGTATCGAATTTTCAGCTATATACTGTTACAAATATAGTCCAAATGACAATAAAAGACGTTTCTATTGTATTATTTTGATTTCTTCATATTCTACAATGATTTTAGTCATCTTGCATGTACATTGCAGTTTTAATCATACAGGGAAATAAATCATGTTCTGCATCTAAATTAGTCAATGCACGATTCGTACTTAATCAAGATGTAACGATTCCCGCATTTAGTCAAGGATAATAAAATAAGGAGGAATGCCGTTGTCATGAGAATTTACTAGACGTCAATCGTGACGTAACCGAATTATACTGACCATACCTCTGAAACGAAACAATAAATTTGTGTTGGTTTAATTTTGGATGGTACAGTTTGGCCTGGTTTAACCCATTACTCATTTTATTCTTATTCTATTGAACTCAAATCATTCACATTGCCAAAGCATAAAGAGAAATCAAAGCTTCGACTTTGCCACACTATATCCCGATTCCCGGGTTCACTTTTCCCAACTGGGGAGAGCTTTTGTGTTGTTGGCGAGAAATTTTGCTTTGTAATTGCGGTATCATTACTATTATTCTTTGGTTATATATATACTTATGCACACATTATAAACTACTTAAACGTGAGTTGGACTCGATTTGTTAGCCCGATTCATGATTTCTCCGGTATTTATAACAGAGTTGACATAATATCATTATTAAAATGGCAATTAACGAGGAATTCTCATTTCTAAGCAATGGAGAAGTAAATATGCCACTTTCTCGTGGGAAAAATTCTTCTTACCGTTTGCGAAGAAAAAACCAAGAAACACAATATTGACATCGTTGCTGGCAAATTCATTCTGTTTATCAACTGCTCTTGACGGTTATTGGATGAATGAGAATATATATATTAATATATTATTTTTGAAAATGGGTTTAATGATTAGTACGTAAACCTTGAATGCAAAAACATTAATAAAGTAATTTATAAAATACATATTATACAAACGCAAGACCCGCGTTCCAACAATGCAATTTCATCATGTATGACATTTTAAATTTGAAATAGATAAATAGGGAAGAATGAGTTATTTTAGTTTTTTATAAAGGACATTGTCTATCCATAATTCGATTTTATGTTAATGGAGAAATTTCAGTGATATCAAAAGCTATTCCTCAATAAGCAAAATGCCATCATTTATATGAAATATCTTTTTTTTACTCAAAATTTCTATATACTTTGATCTAAAAAAGTAAAAACAATTTAGAAAATCGTTGAACAGAAGAATTGCAAATAACAACCTATCATATTGTGCTTATAGTAATTACACTCTGTTATCTGTTTTCGAACGTGACTTGAGTCTGGTTTCCTCGTACTACGACATAAAGGAAGCTAACAGACCTCCAGGGATATATAATTACCTATTTGCTTAATACGCATTAGACTTTAAAGAAACCACTTGAATAAACCGCATGGCTTTGTCACGACGGCCGCGGTTACACAAAAAGGAACCTGATACAATTTCCGCGTACTTCTCAATATCAGATGTTAAGTTACTACAAATTTCTAGAGTTTTGTTACCCCACTACAAAATTAATCCATGCTACAAAATTAATCCAAAACATAGTTTTTAAATTTAGCCTTTAAATAAGCAATGCAATATTCACATTGCTACATCATCTGAATGATATCTAATTCAATTCATTACCATATATCACTATTACTTTGATTTTGCTGCAAACTAGTATGACCATGTTATTGTGCTATCTGACCCTTGCGTACACCTATACCTAGCCTACAGTCCATTTATTGTCTTTTATCATTACTGTAAGGTGGTTGCTACTAACTATGTATACTAAAAAATGAATTCGAGTCATATATATATACCACCTACGCTTTTTCATCCTTAACATGCGTCTCAGGCGACAAGTCGAAAGACTTAAGAAATCTCGCAATCAGACAATTCCTATACTGTTGGCAATATTAATAAAATAAAACGTTACTTTTAAACGCAACTCACACGTTTTGTAATTGAATGATATGGACTGCGTATCGAACTCAAATCAGACTAAAGTAACGTAACGACTGATAACAGTTTAAACACTGAGCGCTATATATTGAATATATGAAACTTACTGAAGAACAATGTAACGCAAGTGAACTTTGTCACATTTCTCGTACCACACGCGCGCATAGATATGAGAAGGGCACCATGAATACCATCAATTAAATAAAATTTCCCATTAGCAATGCCCTATATGGGAAAGTCTTTTTTCCTCTTACTGATACCAAAAGCGTTTTGACTGTGCGAGAGATAACGTAAATGGCTGCCTATTCTTATAAGTAAAAGTTGTTCCATTATATTAGCCTGAAGCGTTTCAAACTTGCTTCACAGCAATCTGATTCAGGGTTTCTGTAGTTTCATCTAATTATAGGTTTTTCATGAGACATATCACTTTTGACGCTACCTTTATTTTTACATATTTACACTTGTATATATATATATATATAAAACATTCAATCCTAGACACCGAAACCAACTGATTAATATTATTCATCACTCAGTGGCATGGCGGCCCTGAACTAAAACGTAATATATTTCTGACCTTTGAACGTGACTGACCAAAGTGTTCAGGGTTTTTTATGCTTTTTTTTGCGCGGTGACACATACCAATATTATTTGAATGAAAAGCGCTAATACAAGTATTTCAGCGGTAAAATAGGGAACGAGATCATCCTATCAAAATTTTTCTAGTCTGTCAACATTTATCTGTTACACAAAAAAATTGAAAGCACTTGTTGTGAACTTGAAAAATTCTTCGATATATAATTGAAACAACTATACCAAACCATTTCAACTTGGATGGATGTCGACCTCCAACACTAAGAAATCACTCATCCAAGCCGCATATGACGTAGTTAAGTTATAGGTAAGTTATATTGATAACTGAGACTACATAAGTGGTAGATTTCAAATCTCGAGAATCATTCCATCATTTGAGTATATTTATAAAAATTATCGACATTTATATTATTTTACGCCAAAGATTTTAATTTATTAAATTGGAGGCATTCCAAATAGTTTGCTTTCTTTACCAACTAATTAATCTATTTCTTATTCCAAATAATATTATTTGTTGGTAATTAGAATGTTAATTATTGAACTACCGCTGAAAGTCACATTGTATAATCATCATAATTTTAAAATATAATAATGTACTTAATATGTTGCTTTAAAATACTTTAATATATAATCAATTGTCGTAAGGGAGCAACGAATTCAAATTACGAAAAACATGAAAATCCTCGTGATTGCCTAGTCCGGCTGAATCGGGCTTTAACATTGTTTTGGGACATAAAGTTTTTTTATTGTTTAGATATAATGTAGATGACATAAAAAATGATACCCAGGTGGGTGTGGAGTATATAATGTTGAGCAATTTTTTTTTAATGGATTTTAAGTATTTGTACCAAGATGACGCACAACCTGAATCCTAACCTGGTACACATGCAATGTTCAGGTTGTGCGCCATCTTGGTACGAATACTTCGGGAGCACCTTTTCATTCAAAACAATTATTTCATAGCTACATGGGTTAGTTTTTAATACATAGTAACATTGCATCTCCTTACAATGTCAGAAATTCAATTTTAGTAGAATAAATGGTAGTTTATTTCACTCATATAAGCCAAGATTCTTTTGCGCTCGTCAAACTACATTTGTGTTGCTGCGGGCATTTCCTTTTCCTGCTTAAAGCTTAGGGACTTGGGAAATATTTTATTAGTTGAAATGGATTGGAATATTCGACCTCGTCTTTTACTCCGAACAAGACCATATAAAACCACCCACTGGTATCTAACGATGTGTAACGTGTTTTCTTTTGGAAGAACCGGAACCTTCCAGGTGCAGCATTGACTTTTGCCAAATCAATATATCCTTGTGGAGATAGAAGGTATGCGTAAGCGAAACCGAGATGTGCACCTGTTATGCCAACATAGTTGAGTCAAACATTTTGATCACTAGTACCTCACACACATTTACCTGCGTGCTTCGGTTGTACGTAGTAACGCGCACATTTTTGCGAACAAGCATCAAATTCCACTTGTTTATTGAGCTATAGGTTTCTTGAAGAGCTTTTGTGTATGATTTCATTCCATAGAATTTGTATGCTGTTTTAAAGGATACTAGTTTCAGCCTTCATTCATTCAAACCGCGTGTTGGAAGTAAGTTTTGTAATACTGCGTGTTGGTTTTCAAATGGTTATTTATATCCATCACTTGACATCCTTAAATCGGTGATGCCAGTAAATCTTTAATACAAAAAAATCAGTATATATATATCATCTGCAATAAAAACAGCAGTACCTACTCAAATGACTCATACTACTCGTACTCATATTATCTGCTCCATCGCGTGCCTCTTAACAGTTTACATGAGTGCCAATTGGTATCCAAGCTCAGCCAGTGACAAAAAGTTTCGGACTGCGGTTGGCGTGACGAAATGTTTTTAAATATATAATCCACAATAAGTTTGATGCATATTACTGGAAGTTACGCCTTATATGTCTTTTCCCATTGCACTATTCCTTTACTGATTTAATATGACGCTATCTGACATAGTTTTTCAAGTGTGTAGATAGGTATAATCTTTTTCACGCTGTTCAGATGGGAATGCGCGAATATATCGGAGAATCGCTAATATTGGTTTGCAATGCGATGAAATCCAATCTTGGCATTTCTGCCCCTCGCAACTGCTGCGTATATTTATCGGAGAAGTTCTGTGGCGTGGTTATCTAATGAAGAACACATGGGAGTATTTTTTCCACTTCTCCACTACTCTTAAACCTTGACATTTCGTCAAATCATTTTTCCATTTAACCTTTTTTTAAAACATCCCCAACAACCAAAATTAATTCACTGTATATATATATTATTCACTGTCGAGAACAATGATGAAATTATAAATTCTAAAACCCGCTTTCGTGAATTTTTGTTGTAGCTGATTCGAGGGACAGCATGACAACAGGCAAGAGAAGCACGGTAGTTTATGACAGGGTTTCCCGAAAGGGGACAACGGCCTCCTTGGAGACCACTGGTCGGTTATCTGGGAGCACGAACAAACAGATGGAAATGAGAATATATAATAACAATGTATTTTTATAGAAGAGAAGAAGCAAAAGTGTTGAAAGTCTTTGGTAGTTTGAAAAGCATTGGCATGGAACATAAGAATGAACTACATTCTTTCCCATGGATATACTATAAAATGTAGCAATTTTCTCATTCTTGTTCTCGGGATATCATTATCTTTCACTGCATCGTCGTGATCATCCCGCTGCATAACAATCCTTGCTAGCAAATAATTGACTGTTCTCCACCGGGTGTATATCCACTTGAACCACTGCCGACTGCATTAGCAGGATTGTATTGTTAATTGCAACAAAAGCGGGTATTTTGAAATAGAACTCTTTATTTTACGCGTATGTTTCAACAGTATTTCCATATATGTAGATCGCGACCCAAAGCTGGGTTCAAAAAATACCTAAAAGTTATTGATTTTTATTTCCTAGTGAATTTGGTGCTTCCGTAGATTGTGCACCAAGATGGCGCACAACCTGAACATAGTATTGTAACAAGCTAGGTTTCAGGTTGTGCGCCATTATGATGCACAGATTTGATGAAAAACACTAATACAAATATCAAGCCTTAAAAATAATTGCTCAGGGCTGCAAACTCCACACCCATGCAGAAATGGTGGGCAGATAAATAATCACACATAAAAAAAACTTTATGTCTGAAAACAAGGTTGGGCCCAAAAAGGCCCCTCATCTGCCGGACTACTACTTCTACTTTTGGCTGTTTGCTCACTTTGTTTGTGATCTTATAGATCGCAAGGTATTTACAGTCATAAAGCCTATAAAAGTCGGGAGTGTTGCTGTTAAAATATATTATTTTTAAACGTTCACCTGGAAGCAAATGCAGCAAGGATCTTGGCCTGAAATGTTTTATCTGGTAATTTTAGCTCGATTCTAAAATAAAGTTAAAAATAAAATTGTTGTAGGGCACTTTCGCAATAAATGTAAAAGCTAGCATACTTCTATATGCAAACTGGTCAAATTCTGATACAAAGATTTACTCATTCTTCGCCGCATTAAAACTGAAAGCACGTAAATATCCTACATAACTAGTAAAAGTGCCCGATTCTTAGCTTGTATTTTTCTCTCTCTGAGTTGATCATAACTAGATAAAGCACAGCATGAATGACTAGTTACATTACTCAAACCACGACAATTTACCGCTATGCATTTATGAATGAATCATTTTATATTTTATAACTTATGCTAAAGGATTACACATGGCACATTGTTTTCAACGGATGCTTCGATGTAGTTCGGAATAGTTTGACGTCTTCATTCAAAAATAACATAGATTAATTCTCACTGATGAATTTTAACTAACTTAAATTAATTTAAAATTTTAAAGTATTTCAAGTTAAACAGTGACCCATTCCTAAATACTTTCATATTGTAGCACGTGAATGCGGGTTACTTGAGACTTTTGGTTAGCTTTGCTTTTTTCCGAAGTAAGACCCTGCTGCTTCGTTTCTTAATTGCTATCTGCTCAGAATAGAAACTCGTATACAACTGAACTCCGTTTATTGAGAACAGCGGCACAACTTGAACAATACAACAAAACAGCGATCATAAACAAACGTCTACAAGTTTACAATACTGTATATCGACTGGGGAGCCAGACGAATAGATGAGATGCATTGCGCCGCAACAATTAAGAGTTGTTGCGCTACTCATCATTTGAGTAATCACATTACGTCACATCTTCCCGTCAAACAAGAAATAGCATATTAATTTAAATAGCATCAATAAATGTGCAATAACATAAAACATTATTAATCAATACCCATATCTATCAGGTCTTTTAACAGTGCGTGTAGATCTGCGGAGAGGGGGGGGGGGGTTGATCTATATTTTATTTGATCAGATACACTAGGATTAACTAAAACACTGCTATTGGGATTATTATCATTAATAATTGGGTCATGTTGTATTTTCATATCGCCATTATTATAGGAAGATGTGTATGGATCAGAAATACTACAATCGTAATCATATTTCTTTGTAAAGGGTTGGAACTCATCAGGTGCTCTTGTATGCCTCAAATGCCTTCGATTTCTTCGATAAAGACCACCATCTTCAGTTCGGATCAGATACGATCTGATGTCAACATGTCGTTCAATTCTACCTTTTCGCCATCTTTTCCTACGGTCCGGCTTCATTCTGACCAACTGACCCGGATACAATTTCATCAGCTCCCTCGTTCCCCTGTTGTAATATTTAGCTTGAATGTCTTTACGCTTCTTTAAATGTGGTTCGATATTCGTAACAATTTTCGGACGCAGAAGAGATTTTGATGTTGAAAGCAGAGTTCTTGTGCGTCTTCCAAATAACCTTTGTGCTGGTGAACATGGTATTCCTTCACTCGGCGTATTACGCCAATCGAGCAACGCAAGAAATACATCACTCTTACTTTCAATAGCTTTTATCATCAAGCTCTTCATTTGTTTAACGGCGGACTTTGCTTTGCCGTTGCTTTGGCTATATGTAGGAGAGCTTGTAACATGCTGAAGTTCATAATCTCCAGCAAATATTCTAAATTCCTCGCTACTATATTGAGGAGCGTTGTCAGAAATCAGTTTTTCTGGTAAGCCGTGTCTAGCCATGTGTTGTTTCGACGCTTTGATAACTTCTGCAGATGTGGTCGTATGAAGTCTGTCAGCTTCGCAAAAATTGGAGTAAAAATCAACTGTTACCAGATAGTTTCTGCCTTGCAGTTCAAATAAATCGGACGCAATAATTTGCCATGATCGAGAAGGAATTTCATGGTGAATTATCGGCTCTTTTTGTTGATTAGGTTGAAACACTCGACAAGTAGTGCATGACGAGACATAATCATGTATGTCACTGGCCATTTTTGGCCAGAACAGAACCTCTCTTGCCCTACGAATGCAAGCCTGTATTCCAATGTGACTTGCGTGTATGCGCTGCAGACAGGAACGGATTAAGCCCCTTTGGTGCCCTAAACACTGAAGACTTTGGTGCCCCCTCATGTGTAATTCAATTATAAAAACAATAAACCACATAAGTGTATTATCCATTAAAGATAATCACAACCAACAGTAAATAGAACAACTTTTACGAACATTTTTAGGTTTTTTAACTGTTATAAATAGCCAATATATATATCGGCCGTTTACTGCCTATATTATATATATGCAAACACGCAATATCGGGCCGATATATCGGTTGGGCTCTAATCCTGAGGGAGTGTGACAATAAAGATTCATGCCTCCAGTCTCAACGTGAATCGAAATACCAAAGGATACAAGTCACAACTGTAGTTTGGAATTTTACCGGTACCTAGTAGTCTACCTCAGAGTGATTCAAGGTTGCTAGGTTGAAGGACCGCAAAAACTTTTGAGGAGGTCTCGCGAGCCGCAAGTCGGAGAAAACCCAAAAGTGATCAAAATATCGCAAGTTTACTTACTCTAAATTTAATAAACAACGAGAGTTTAACCGTTCTAATCAGACTATTATCATGTTGCATGGGTGGCGTTCTTTTAAAGAAGATATATAAAGCCTTCAGTTATTTTAAAGTTAATTACCGTTGTATTTTGCGCATCTCGCGTTTAATGTCGCTTCAAATTATATTCTTTCGTGACAGATATTACTTGAAATCAAACCAGACACTGTGTGATGGACAAGGAAATACGTTTCGCCGTGTTTTCCTTATGTCACCTTTCTTGCGACACTCATTTTATTACGAATTGTTATATTGAGTAGTTTAAAAACATGCAGCGTAAGCAAGCTTAGTGACATTGTCAAATACCTACCAAGTCCGTCTCAGTTGGTATTTCGGGGCCTAACTAAAAAAAACTGGATAACGCAGCGTTTTAAGTCGGCTTTGCGTTTCGTCACTACTGTCACATAGCAGACGCTTGTAAACAGAGGAGTGTTTTACTAAAATAAAGGCACAATGCGTTAGAAAAAGGGTTTGAATCTCGGGATCCCAACCCCAGTTGGAATATCTAAAAAAAACTCAAAAACGTTCCTTCATTAGATACAAATATAGGCTAAAATTGTTCTGTGAGCGCACGGAATGTATCAGTATGACAGAGTTTGGACCACCCTGGTCTACCTTATCAAAAAACTCCCGACTTTGCTGACCACTAGATCGTTGAAATGCAATCGTGGAACCGCCACATAATGTAAATAGTTCATTGGTTCAATTGTCGAAGAGAAAAGATTTTTTTTAAAACAAAAATGCAGCAACAAGGTAAATATATACTAGAAAGAAAAAACAACAACAATTTAAGAAAACGACTCATAGGCCCATTTCGTGTCCAATAAATAAGTTTCAGTGTTTATTTTTAATAAAGAAGGTTAATATGATACTTGAAGACGAAAAATAAGCAAACATTTTGAAGTTTTGAGTCGTATGATGAACTCGTAATATTTTAATAACACCGATAAACTATATATAATTCTGCTCTAAAATTTCTGTAGTGCCCCTCTTTGCTTGCTGCCCTAAGCACGTGCTTATATTGTTTAATGGTTAATCCGGCGCTGGCTGCAGAATATATTGTTTGGCAGATTCTGGTACCACAATGCGACATCCTTTCAAAATTAGCCCATTTTGAACAGTAAGGTCTTCTCTAAAATTGAAATATTCTTGCATGGACCGTGGAAGCTGTTTCTTGGTAATCGGCCATCCATCTTCAATGATGGCTCTAAGAGTTCGCATTGTCGAATCTTTCTCTGTAGATTTTTGTAAAACATGCATTGTTTTGTCCAACACTGAAATATCTTTCAACATATCAATTTCTTCAATTTCATTAGCCAGTGACAGATGAAATACATCACTTTTACCAATCGTGTCAGTACTTTTATTAATATATGCTCGGCTCAGAGTATCGGCAATGAACATATTTGCACCTTTTTTGTAATTTACCACAAAGTCATATTTTTGTAATTGAAGAAGCATTCTTTGTAGTCGTTTTGGTGCATCTACTAATGGCTTTTTAGTAATAGTTTCGAGTGGTTTGTGATTGGAGTCAACTCGTGCATTCCTTCCATACACATAGTGTTCAAATTTTTCCATGCCAAACAAAATCGCCAAAAGTTCTTTTTCTATTTGGGCTTAATTGCACTCAGTAGATGTCAGAGCACGTGAAGCATAAGCAACAGGGTGGTCATTTTGCATCAAGCAAGCTTCCAAGCCCTTTGAAGAAGCATCACATTGTAGGACAATAGGGGCTTTCTCATTATAATATTGCAAAATAGGAGATTTCATCAAAGTCTCTTTCATTGTATTGAAACATGTACCGTGTACTTTTTTGTCCCATATGAACTCATTATCTTTTCTAAGAAGTTCTCTAATAGGTACACTAATTTGAGATAATTTCGGAGCAAATCGCTGTAGAAAATTTGTAGTAGCCAAAATTCTTTGCACCCCATGTTTATCAGTCGGATGAGGCATATCTCTGATACCTTCCAATTTTGCCAAATCTGGTTTTAAACCGTCTTTGCTGATAACGTGACCCAAGTAAGCAACTTTCGTTTTCATATATTGTAATTTATCTTTATTCAATTTAATACCCTTCTCTCTACATCTTTGTAGAAGATCATAAAAAAATTTTTTGTTATCGAGCGTTGCATCTTCAATGGTATCACCCACACCATATATCAAGTTATCATCGGTAACTGGCATAACTCCACTTAAACCATTAAGAGCAAAGTTCAGACGGCGCACAAACTCTTCAGGGGACGGCTTAAGTCCGAATGCCATTCTTCGCCACCTATAGCGACCCCATGGAGTACCAAATGTTGTCAGATAACTACTTTTAACATCGAGTTCAATATGCCAATTTGATTTTTAACATCGGCAATGGTGAATACTTTTGCCTTGTGCAAGTGAGGCAATACATCGTCAATAGTAGGCATTGGATGATTGTTTTGTTTAAGAGCCTTATTCAAAGGCTTTGGGTCAAGACATAAACGAATATTTCCAGATTTTTTTAATACTACAATCAAATTTGAAATCCATGGTGTATGACAATCTACCTTGCTTTGAAGTGATAATGGTACTTTTCGCACTGGCATTTGAACTGGAGTAACAGTATTAACACATTTCGTCACACCTGCATTAGACAAATGTTATCAAGAAAAATATTAAAGTCAGAATTAGGCTCCTGTACTGTATATATATTCGATCAACATGTCAAAATAATATAGCCTACTTTATTCTAGGTTGAAATATACTTCGTATGATATCAGAATAAAGTTTTTTTACGTTTATGATTTAGCACTTACAAAATATCGCACTGTATTTTTTTGTATCTTTAGATATTTTTCCATCATTTATCGTTTCAAATTAGAATATATATATATTTATATTATATATATAAATTGAATTCACTGAGTTCACTTTATCAATTCCGCATTTTAAGTAGGATACATTATATCGATTTTTTGTTATGATTGATTGATTTGATTTTGTTATGAAATCCATGTTCTTAAATATTTAGTTATACTGCACTGCAGTGAAAAACCTTCAGAAACCTTGCAAAAAAACGGTGAAAAATCGTCAAAGTGTGTATTATGTAGACGTCAGACTTGCTCTGCCTCTAAATGAAAACTCACCATCTTCTAGCAGACGCTTTAGACCTGCCGCCTCCCTCACAGAGCGTTCGTCCCAAACCGGAGAGCTCTGAATGCCATTGAAACACTCAATGAGCTCAGACCTAATTTCGGACACGCCCTGCACCACGCGTGATTGGAAGTTCCAACGTGTTGGTGCACAAGCTTGGAGACGGCGGCTACATATCTGGCGAAGGAGGTCAGAGCGCTTCGGCGAAACGGAAAAAAATGAAGAAAACCCCGAAACATTTGCAAAAAATATACGGACGAGAGGGGTATCAAGACACATATTTTCAATAACGAGGTTAAATTGGTGTGCATAACAATGTAAAAAATGCGCATGAGGAAAATCTTCTTTTATATAAACTTGAAAACCATGTTTCGACCCACTCATGACTCCCGCGCCGTCATAAGTTTGAGCTATCAATTTTGACTTCGCGTTGTAAGGCTGTAACACTTCTTTCAGTACAGCCGATATCCTGCAAGCCGTGCGATTAACGATTGGTACAAAGCTGTGAAATCTCTCGGAAAGTTTACCATCTTTCACAAACCGAAAAATCACAGCCAGTTGGGAAACGCACGTGATGTCAGTTGTCTCGTCAGACTGAATCGAAAGGAACTGGCAATTCTCAATTTCCAGAGCCAAATGTTGTAAATAAATTTTATACATTGAGTCGAGCAAATCATTTTGGATATCCTTAGATGTCCCTTTCGAAACAGTTGCGGCATCAAGATGATCTCTCAATACTGTATCTAGGTATGCGGTGTATTTCACCATATCCAAAAATACCCCTCTATTAGAAGAGCCAGCCCGTTCATCGTGCCCACGGAGGGACAGCTCGTGACAACCAATGAACTTCAAAACATCTATCAATCGACCGAGAACATGGCGGTTTTTCTCGACGTTTTGGTTGTGCCGACGAATAGAAACCGCGCGTCCTTCATCCAACTGTGCTGCAATATTAACATTTCCGAATGTTCGGTATTTTACTGCATTGTCCAGATGCTCCATAGAAGATTGATGATCCCTGGCACGCTCGGAAAGATGTTTAAGATCTCTAAAACCAAATTTACACCAACGTGAGTCACGGGCGGTAGCAAAAAGTAGGCAATAAAAACAAAAAAGTGCATTTTTGTCCTCGCTGTAACACAACCATTCGTGTTTTTTATACCAAGTTTCTGCGCAGAATGTACGCCGACGCTTTCCTCCGTCATGGGATTGTTCCAGTGAACAATTTTTTGGTTGATAAGGCCCAAGACGTTGTACCTCTAATTTTTGTTCCAGCGGCAGCTGCGAAAACGGAGTGCGAAGTAGTGCATCAACCTTATTCATTATGAGGTCTAAGGCTAAGAAATGCGAAGCCGGAAAGAAGTGAGGAGCTCAAAAGGAATGTGGAAAATCGAAAGCAAATGGACTAAAGGTCTCTAACTGATTCAAATAGCGAAACAAGCGACAAAAACGAAGGCGAGGAAACTATCAACTCTTCAAGCAACCAACGAACGAGAAGGAATGCGTGAATATGTCAACACGTTGTTGTAAGAAACGTCGGCATTGTGTCGTCATAATTTCGGGGCTAGCCCCGATGATTTAGTAAAAGAAACAGAAAACAAACGAGACAAACGCGGCGAGTGGAAGATAAAAGAGAGAATACGATATACAATGAGCAACCGGGGCAAAATCGGCGTCGCCCCGTCGACGTTCGGCGAAGGCTTTGCGAGCGAAAAATGAACCATGTCGGGAGAATATGGCTAGTGTAGACAGTCTGTGCAACCGATATTGAGGTATTTTTCTAATATTTTATACCGAAATTATTATACCGAAATATTATACCGAAAAAACAACCGGGGCATTGCCCCGGTTGGCCCTATTGACGCGCCGCCACTCTGACCAGCTGAACTCCTAATCGTTAATTTTGGCTGACCGGTCGGGACGCCGGGCCAAGACGTTTCAAAGTGGGACTGTCCCGCCTACAAATGGACGTATGATAAGCCTAAATATATTGCATCTTCTTTAACACTTGTGATAGTCACTTGTCAAGTTATGATCCAAAAATTGTTTTGTTTGAGAATGTATGGTGAGCAAAAGGCTACCAATGGACAATTAATAGTAATCAATGTTGTGACAAGCATAATATTCCTCATAGTATGAGAGATGGGATGTTGCGGTATTAAGAAACAATCGATTTGATTTGTATTTGCCAAATTGTATTCTCTATTTTGTTGAAAAATAATCAGTTCATTCTATTTGATGTTTGTTTGACGTCATCTGCTGCAGAACTCAGCAAACACGGCGTCGCTGACACGTTGACTCTGGTAGTCTTTCGCAGCCCCGCGTCAATCACGGAAATATTGTATGTCTCTTTATTTCAATTGATCTTTTTGTTACCATTTTCTGATTACTTGTGTCGGTACAATATTTCATTCACGATGGAAATATCATCATGCTTGGGCCATAGCAACATATTATTCTATTTTACGCTTGTAGAAAGTGATTTGTCGTATTATGATCAAAACCGTTTTTTGAAAATTTAACTTATACTGAACCTGCAAAATAATTCCCGATGTCTATTCTATTAAATTAAAGTAATGATTTTTTGCAACAAGACGCACTTTGATTATTTTGACGTAACATTCCACAAAGTCAGAAATGTTAACATCATCTGTCTAATAACTAATTTAACAAAGAGCATCTTGGCTGTATATGTACAACGTCACCAATCTTGCTCGGTATAGGAATAATTATTCAAGCAAGATGCTTATAAGTGCAAAGCGGATGGTGACCCGAACCAATGGTTCACAACTCGGGGTCCATGCACCTCCAGAGAGTTCATTGTAGGGGTCCGCGAGTGCATCAGAAATTGTATCGTATGGGCTTCGATCCGAAAAGCCTTTCCAACTGCGCCTCTGACGGTAACCAAAATACAGTCTCGAGTAGCTGGGATAGACAAGGTTCAAATTAGCTGCCATTTCTTTTTTATGGAGGTTCCTTAATTTTTTTTGAAACAATCGCTTTTTGTACCTTCCAAGAAATTTACCTTTTTACATGCAATCAACCACTAAAAAATCAAAATAAACTTTACGAAGTCATCTGTCGAATTTTCGATTTGTACAGTATCAGAGAAACACATTGAAGCCGTGTCAAAGTTCCCGAGAAAGAAAAAAAAAATGGTAAGTATTTGTGAAGAAAGCTTATAGCCTACTACATCAATCTTCTATAAATTTTTATTGAAGTTGGAAACCGGAAAACGCATAAAATATCCAAAATAGTTGAAAACTTTCGCAAAATGACTTTATAGTTTTATACTTCAATATATGCGGGAAGTCTTGAATCTAGTCCTATCACACCCAAGTGTCATAAGAAGATGGTACCAAAAGCTTCCAGCTGAGCTTGGTTTTACAAAGATTGATTTTGTATGGCGATGCTTCTTCAATGGGGTGTAATTTTGAGAAATTTTGCTATCG